CACTAAGTAATTAGAGTACAAGAAATGTAGCTCAGAGTTCAGAGTTGTGCAAGGTGATCTCATGAAAATGTAAACATTAAATTGGATTCCAAAGGTCAGAACTATAAAAACAAAAGTTTATACTTGTAGGGAGAGAGAAAGCGAATAAAATTGTTACTGATAATAATAAAAAGCTCAACAGATGTTTCTAGTTGAACTCAAGTTTAAAATCTATTAATAGTTGTATAATTGATAGAAATTCTATAGGGCTATATACATGTAAGCCCAGTTGTGTTTATTATTAAAGGAGAATTGATCTTATCGAGGTGATCAGCAGGCCAGAGCCAGCAATTTGAAACCATCGGCTTGCTGCCCGTGTCGGGTTAAGCCATGTTAAACATGTAAATGTTAGTATTAGTAGAACAGTTTTATTGGGGTGAATGTAGTAATTCTGGCTTCTTTATAGATCTTATTATGACCACACATAGGATAGTCCTAATCACATCAGCTGTTAGTTGCTAGGCAACCTATCTAATTTGGGCGCCATGTTTATTTTATGTCAGCACCATGTAATAATCTGATTGGACCCTTATTGCATTATTATCTCAACAATATTCGGATATAATTTAATGATAATTAGATTCGTAGTCGCAAGTCTTCGTTTTCTTGCCAAATGGGTCTTGTCTGTAAGAAATTTGACCAGGAAATGTAATAGAAATGGACACCTTTTATCACTGGGGGGATATTGGTTATTTGTGATTTACATATTATAATGCGCATAGGTGATATATACGTAATCCAATCAATTTGTCCTTGATCTTTTCTGAGATATACAGAGCGTTCCAAAATGAATCCTCGGACCTTACGCAGACAGAACAGTTACAAACAGGAAGTAGGAGGGGTTATTTCCCCATTAAGATTTACGACTGGATAATTCTCATCAGTGTAATGACACCCATTTCCGGCAAATTACAAAACAATGTACGCAAAATGAATTAGTTCGATGAAATATCGTTCATTTGCTGGAAATAAGTCAGGTATTGACTTTGAATGACAGGATTACCGTACACAATTGGTATTGATATAGACTATTTTATTTTCTTATCCATCCAACCAAGTGAATCAAATAGAAACAGAGAAATGTGTGCTGTATTTTATTTAGCATAGATATGCCAGATTTACCTATAGGCTTGGCAATGTCCATCGGGTTTATTCGGCATGGTTTCCCCTTGTCTCAGTAATGCAGGACGGAGGGATTTTATATTGATTTCAATAACTATCTTAGATAATAGTTCCTTAAAGGGGTTAAATCCCTAATATTTAGAACCTAGAAATTGAAAACTGATTTACATTCAATTGTTTCCGTTTTTTACTCAAATCAGTTATGTTTGGCAAAATATGCCAGAAGTCTTAATCGAATGTCAATCTCTAGCGTCTGGTTATTCCAGTCTACACCGATAGTATTTATTGCACATGCTCTCCAGAGAAGAATATGGCGTCACCATTTGACATGACTCGTGGAGTATGTCTAGCCGCGCTTTTCGAGTCCTTTGTTACAAATGGCGCTGAAACGCATTATGGTACACGATTTGTGTACCAATAGTAAAATGCTTATTTTGTCTTAAATATTGGATATCGGAAGCCCATCTTTTTCTGAAGATCACAACATCAATGTTGATTTAAATTGACAAATATTTTGTGTTTTCAATGTCGATCGAAGACTTTGGATGATATGCAGTTAAAGACTTCGCTAATTTGATCTAGAAATATTCCATTTGTTTTTATGTAATAAATCAGGGAGAATTAAGATAGAACAAACTAAACAGGAATAGTGAAGATTGTACAAATTGATAAATGTTCTTAGAGGAGAGATAAACTCAGTAGTAAGTGCAGGGAGACTGCTTGTCTTTAATAGTAAGTGCAGGGAGACTACACCAAACGCAATCTGGTTAAAACACAGATCCTATTTCGTTTCGTTTTTATTGTTCAAAATTTTGTTTTACTTGTCTTTACTACACTTGGATCTGGAAGAGTTGTTATTTAACTCGTGTTCTGAATGGTGTCAGGGATAAGCCAATGAAACAGTCTGTTGCGGCGAGCTTTAGGCGTGTTTTTCACGGAACTGTGGGTAATCCACTAGTAACATCAATGCTGATTGGTTAATCAAATGTCTGACGTCATAGGGTCATATGTTGGTCTTTTGACAACTGTCATGACCTATTGTTATAACTTGTCAGATCTTCATGTAGTGTAGGCCATCGAAAGTATAAAAAACGTATTTTGATCAGATTGCACCACACGCAAACAATTACACAAGACAAATCTATAGACAAGACACAATATATAGAAATCACAAACAAACGTACATATCAGATTAAGTGAATGGATCTAGGGGCTAGTCGTAATAGTTTTATACTGTTACTTTAGTTTATTCCTACATTTAAATATCCCATCCCAAGTAAGTTATTGAAGTAAAACCCAGGGATTTATTAACAGCAAAATGTATTAAAGACATATAAATATTTTTACAACAATAGTTTAGTTTTACTTAATCAAATAAATACTTATTAACTTGTTCGGTATAGAATATATAAGTAAAATAAAGTTGGTTGTAATGAAATGAAATGGGTTTAGCGGCCTAATGTTCTGCTCGGACTGGGATAAATAAATACAGTTTATAGAATATATAAGGAAAATAAAGTTGCTTTTATAGAAATGAACAGAAATAGGGTTCAACATCTTACTTTTCTTCTCCAACTGGGGTAATGAATACAGTTTACAGAATAGAAATGTTCGTATATATATACGTATGGCGTTCACCAAGTTCTGGAAACCAGCTTTTTATATTACTTACTACTGTAACCGACAACAGCAGGTGGTTTTATATAAATACTTTTAACTTTATCTATTCATGAGTAACATGTGCTTTAAATGAAATATAAACCAGTCTTCATCATTTTTTTTTTTTACCAGCAATAAAATTACAGTTAAATGGACCATTTTCTTATCTTGGTGTTCTTGTGTTTTTTTAAATAAAAACTAGAGGAATTGTAATATATATTTTAATTCTTACAAACTGACACCTCTTTTACCGCCTATGATACTCACTGTTTTTATCAGAGAAGATTAATTCTAAAATAAACTTTGAAATTTGTATTGAAATTGAGTTACAATTTTCTCATATTATAATGTAGCTGGAATATTCTGATTTCAAATCACCAAACACACCCGATTCTGGCTTTGTCTTCTCTGAATTTCGTATGAGATGAAAAAACGGGGTATTGTGGACGTGTTGGCATGCATGTTAAAGAACCCTTGATTGTTGGAATTCAGTTGGTGTGCCACATAGTCATTAGTCAGGTTGGTGTAGGAAAGTAGGACTTTAAATTCCATTCAGAATATACCCCTCATTCATTCGGAGCCACAGTGACTAAGTGGGTAAGGCGTTGGCTCGCTAGCTTGGAGGTCGGGTGTTTGATCCCTGCATTTGCAGTGAAAGTTCATCATGATTTTCTGATGTGGTTTCCCCTTGTCAGGCGTGCAGGATGGAGGGCCTGACAAGGACAGCTGTCTAGTCATTCAGATGATATGGAAAACCAAGGACCTGTGTAATACATTGGCACACACGTAAAAGATCCCTTGGCAGTTGGAATTCGATATAGTGCCGCGGCCCGGGCAAAATTTCGCTCATAGTACACTGCATGGCGTAGACCAGTCTTCATTAGCCCAGTCGGAGCAGTAGGACTTACACCCCATTTCATTTCCTTTCATTCATTCGTTCATTCATTCATTCCCTGATAAACACCACCACATACCACTTCTCATTGCCCACAATATCTGTACAATAGTAATTGTATAACCTATCCTATTTACCACCAAGGTAGAGGGTAATGTGGTTATTACCAAAGCTGTATATCTCTACTGATAAATTTATCTCAATTGATCTATATAAAAAAAAATATGATATGATAATCTCAGAATCTTCTGAACTTGTATATCGATTTATGCTTAACCAGTATGCTGATATTAATATGTGGGTTACCTTTTTAAAGAATATATAGCATTAACTGTTAATCTGAGGTGCGGAGCTTGTGAAATATGTATCCTTTTACCACTGCTACTCTTCAGTTCTAGAATAATGATAGTGATAATGATGATGGCAAATGAGAATGCCAACTGTTGGGTCTGGATTCTGGAATGTTTCAAACAAAACAATATTTAGTTTGAGGTGCACCAGGTTAAAAGAATTATTTTTAGATACAAAAACTGCAGTATGTAATAACGTGGTTTGAAATAACTTTTCACTAGCTATAAAGAAAGTATCTTCTAGCGGTTTATATTTTTACTTTAATAATGTTAGTTATGTTGAATTTTCTTTCATTTTTTACTAAAAGCAATTTATAAAATATGAAAAGTAATGTTATTTAGTATTTTATTGTTATATAGGGAAATAGGGGTTAACGTCCACTTGACACAAACTGGGTCATTTCGGGACAAACATAAAGTTTAATTTTATTTCATTAATTCGCTTGTGATTAGGGGTCTTTAGCAGTGGGAGAAACTGGAGGACCTGGAGAAAACCCACGAGGTTGTACTTAGTGGGGCTCAGTGAATCCCTGCAGCAAAAGATGGCTAGTTATTTGATTATCCAATGCTAGTTTGTCGCTTAATAAGGAAATACATATAGACTATAAGTTAAATGAGCTTCAAATTTCTGTTTTGGTGAATTAAAGGTTTTGTTTAAAGGTTGCATATGCATATTCCTACAGGAAGATGCTAGTTTTTCAGAATTTATGGAATAATCATTGAGGAAGGTAGCGGTAGCACTAACTGTTATGATTTTAAACCCTTTACCGTAAATGCAGATTTGTAATTCACAGTCAGATACACGTAACCTGCCACTAACAATATCAACTCATTCTGCTGGTGTCATAGTTACGAGTAGAAATAGTATTCTGATTGTATTTATATGATTTATTATAGTATTTATTGACAATATCTGTCATTATTGTATTTTTCAGATTGTTTCATCAGTTCAGTACTGCCATCAAAAACACATAGTTCACAGAGATTTAAAGGCTGAAAATTTATTATTAGACGGTGATATGAATATCAAAATAGCTGATTTTGGTTTTAGTAATGAATTTGTACCCGGCAACAAATTAGATACATTTTGTGGTAGTCCTCCTTATGCTGCTCCAGAACTTTTTCAAGGTAAATAAAAACATCAAATTAAAGCAAGCCTGGATATAAAACACCAGTCAGTCCTTGTCACACACTCTGCCCAAATCAAAGGCTTGGGTTGTTTTATTCTCACTCAAATGAAGTTAAATGAAGGATATTAAAATGGACCCAGATTTATTTTGAGAGCATCATGTGGTATAAATCATTCACAATATCGTTATGAAGGTTTGTACACACATCAACCTTAATGGAAGTTGTGCGTTTTACTAATTAGAAATTTCTCTTGATGACCTGGCGCCTGGTACATTCGGGCATTTTTATGCGCGAACTCTTAGTTTTTTTTTACTGGCACGCGCACAGGTACTATTTCTTTTTCTTTTAACAAGTACCCAAATCGGGGATTTCGTGCGGAGGTAGTTCGGAGGTAAACAGTCTGTGAAGTACAACATTTGCCACTGTACCTGTGTATCGCTAATTATAAACCGAATGTGTGAAGACAGTTCATACATATCACTCAAAAATTTTTCAGTACAAACTCAGTTGATTCACGCTCGATTTGCTACTAAACAAACCCATCGGTTTATTTTCTCAACAGTGTGACCCGAAGTGACCGTGGATTTATTGACCTTGTATGAACTTATCCATACCTATATCCTTACACCGAGAGAAATTATGTAGTCTCGGTGAAAAGAACCATGGTCATCTGGTAGAAAATTACTTTTGTATTTTTTGGAACGGAAAACAGTGTTTTTAGAAGCAAACTAACCTGCCGCACATGAGGAAGTCATTATACTAATAATAAAAGGCGAGACCTCTTTTTGCGGCGCAGGCTTATCACTGAGTAGTAAACCGTCCACAAACAATATAGGAAGCCTAGTGACAGTGTAGTAAGTGGGCTATAGACTATAGGTTTGAGTCGAGATTACTGGCTTTCAGTTTACTCTGTTTTTGCGATAACCAATTATGTGAGAAATACCATACTGACATTCGGTTTTTAAAAGTTGTACGCGAACTAAATGCGTTTGTTAGATACTGACAGAGCAGCCCCGAGTCGAACAATCGCCGCCCGAGCTGTCTTCGTCAGCTAGTTTCACAATATCGTGCAATAGGTGTATTAATGTGATTTTTAGGTTTAACCCCGCAAACAATGCCAAAATAGTGTTTTCACTGCTTACAGAAAACTGAAATTTAAAAAAAAATTTTTTTATGAGGGTGACCCTCCCACACACTCCCTATCGAGCTGCTGCTCGGTCTGCGCAGCCTCATGCCTGGCACATACTGTCAACATTGTATATTTTTCCGTTTCGGCCCTTCCCCCCCCCCCCCCCACAATATATATTTCACGGCTACGTTGCGACGGTACCAGCATACCCAGTTGTTGACACCCATTACATCACTCCTGTCTAACAAATCATAAAGCTGTGGTGTTACGGTGGCGGCATAGTATTTCACCGTAACACCACAGCCACTCTAACCATTCATAATACATCTAACTATCCCTTTACAGCACTCCCTACACATTTCCCCTCGTCCTACTTTCCCAAACGTCAACAACACATCTCATACATCCAGTTCGCTGATTAACCCTTGTACCACGTCTACTGGATTTAAAAAATTTTAGGTAAATATTTGGTATACAAGTGGGCAATGGCCGAGACTTCTTGTTTCAAATTGTATGCAGTATTTTGAGTGGACCTGACCCTGTTTGACATATTGATATATAAATAAAGTTCTGTCATTAGGACTATGTGGTAGATCAGGACAGGATCAGACAAAGTGTCATGATTCATATTCACTGATGTCATAACTATGAAACAGTCATTTTGCAGTATGATCACACAGTACTAAATCTTTGTGTAATATTTAGCGACTGAGAAATACATTAAACAGAACATAATTTTATTCTAAAAGCATGACGTTTCGACAAGTATACTCTTATCATTATCAAGCACATAGTACTTGCTGACTTCTAAACCAATTTACAGATGGTCAAACTGACATGACAGTTTTAATAAATCAATTTATAATTTGGTGTTCCTGTTAGGTGAATAACTGATAATGGCTGAAGATATATAATATGTAAGCCAAGTTACCTAATAATGACATGCTCATAAATCAATATATACAACAACTTATTACATGTTCTAGTTGTCATGTGCAGTAATTTGTTTTAGATCAGTCCTTGAAGAGAATGAAATAATCTGCCTAGCTTTCAAATTTACTAATCAATATTGAGTAGTTTGCTGTAACAGTATTGTTAGTGAAGAGCAAAAAATTGCTAATGAAGCAAAAAATTTGAAATAGCATTATTTCATTAAAAATGGTAGAAAATGCTAAAAATTAAAAGTTGAAATCGCATTATCTCATTGAAAATTATAGTAAGTACTAAAAATTGCTCCTCAAATTTATAGAGCCCTTTACTTAATCAAGACATTTCAAATTCCTGTTTAAAATATAACCAGTGGTCGCTGGCCTGTAAAAAATGAGTTTATAGATGTACCTGACACAATGTCCGACACTAATGAACTAGTATCAGTTATTTTGAATTTTGTGTCAGAGATGTATTATAAATAATATCATTAAAAACATTGAATAAAGATAAATTTGTACTGGACGCAATGACAGCCACCAGAGGGATTGTGCCCGACAAAGCTTTTGGACCTGACATTGGCTGTGACAGTTGCCTTATTTCCAGGCATGTGTGGTCGTAATATTTCAACACAACAGTAGCGTAGGGTTTTGGTTGAACAACCAACATTGTTGGTAATGAGATAGTAGATTCTAACAAGGACAGGGAGTAGGGGCACCAGCCTAACTCTTGTGGGTTTTTTCTGGGTATTCCTAATTAATGAAATACAAGTTTTGTGTCATATTATATGTAAGTACCAGAATGACCATGTTAAAGTAGCTAAGTCTCAACTCAATATCATCCAAAATCTTCGACATTAAAAACACGATTTATTTGTCGGTTTAAATCAACATTGATGTTGTGATCTTACCGGGAAAAGATGGCCTTCTAATATCCAATATTTAAGACAAAATAAACATTTAACAATTGGTACCAAATCGTGTACCATAATACTTTTTAGCTCTATTTGTAATAAGGGACTTGCAAAATGAGGCTAGGTATATTCCACAAGTCATGTCAAACGGTGACGCTATATTCTTATCTGGAGAGCATGCCCAATAAATACTATCGGCGCAGGCTGAAATAACCAGTTGCTAGAGATGAAAATTCGATTGAGAATACGGTGTATTTCTCCGAACCTAACTGATTAGAAATTACAGTAAAAACAGAAACGATTGAATGTAAATCAATTTATATACATTCATATTACATTATTGTATGCGTTGCAACCCATTTGTGTCAATTTCTAGGTCCCAAATATTAGCGACTTAGCTCCTTTAAACCCTAGCTCTTTCAATTTAGGAAAAAAATTATAGTCCAAATAGTTTTTCTCTGATTGTAATTTAGACTATGAATACCAGGATAGAATGGATCGATTTTCATGAATATTGGCTCGTCTCCGTTAGCCCAGTTGAAGTAGGACATTTAAAACCCCCATTTCATTCAATTCATGAATTTTGAAGCAGTAGGCCTCTTGGTATGGACTGAAGAGCTATATATATAATGGTATTCCTTTCATTGTTTGGGATTTAATAATTTTGTTTGCTTGCTTTGAAACAAAATAGAATCCAGGATCTTAATTATTTTCTTTATATATAGTGTATTAAATATATTTGCAACTTTTCTACTTTTATTTTTGTAGGTAAAAAATATGATGGTCCTGAAGTAGATGTTTGGAGTTTAGGAGTAATTTTATATACACTGGTCAGTGGGTCCTTACCGTTCGACGGACAAAATTTAAAAGTAAGTTTAGAAACTTTGTAATAATTTCATTATTAAAGTCGTAGATCTCGATTGTGTATTTTTCAGATAATATCTTCTGGCATATTCCATGTTGAATATTGTGAAATGTTTCAATTCATCTTCATTTCCATGTCATTGGTTTGTGGCCTGAATTGAGCCAAGAAAAACCTTTGGGATTCTGAAGCCCAGGTCTCCCTTGTCAGAGGTGGTGTCTGCTGGGCGGGCAAGGAAAGTGTTCCCGTGCCTAGGCATTCGGATGGGACCGAAATCTGAGGTTATCACATAAATGAACCCTTGGCAGTTAGAATTTGAAGAAGATGTGGCGAAAATACATTTGCTCTCTCATTGCACATGTTACCATAGAAATGAAATTAACCACATGTTAGTCACAAAATGACTTACGATTATGTTGACAGGAATTTAAACTAGTGCTGGACATTGCCACTGCAGTCAAGATATATGATAAGCATTGCGATTCAGGGGCTACGATACGATTCATATCACGATTCGTAACCAGGTCAATATTTACCAAGAAAACAACAGGACAAATGAATGATTAATGTTTTCAGTCCTGCTGATGTCAAAGAAATATAAAAGTGTTTTATATCACGATGTCGATGTGGATCAAAACAATTTAAGAGTGTTTGTGTATTATTAAGAGTGATAGGTTACTTACTGAAGTGACAAAAAAAAAACATTAAAAAAATATTGCAATACATCAATTCAGCGTCTCACAAATCAATACACAAATCGTAAATGTGTAAATCGCGATATATCGATTCAAGGATATATCGTGCCAGCACTACTTTAAACCGTTAGCATGACATTTTTAAAACGTTAACTACCTCCTATTGTGTAATTAATTCGACGAAGTGACGAAGAACTATGTACTATTTTCTAAGAATAGATTGGGGAAAATACCTCCAAGGCGTTATATTACGCCCTACACACAGTGAGTGGCAGTTGTCCAGGACGTTATATAACGACCTATGCACTTAACGGGTTAAACCCCATTCCTCTAAATTCTATTTTACTCAGTATGTATTTTATTGTTATTTCAGGAGTTACGAGAAAAGGTGTTACGGGGGAAATATAGAATACCTTTTTATATGTCTACAGACTGTGAAAATTTATTAAAGAAATTCTTAATATTAAATCCATTAAAAAGGGCAAGTTTAGAGGTACGTTTGAAAATTTATTATGTTTTCTAAAAATTATATCGGGAAGTATTTTTGTAAATTTATTTGGGTAACATAAAGAATAAATGTAACGATTTTCTTTCAAGGAATCTTTTTGTCTTTAAATTGTAATGACTTTTCTCACGATTATAAAATTATATATTCTTACAAAAATCTTCAAGCAAACATTAAAAGCTAGGGTAAAACAAGAAATGGATGCTGCATTAAATTAATGTAACTCAAATGAGGTTGACATATTGGAAATAAATCTAGCCTGTCCTGTTATTGACAGCAATCGAAGTACGAGACCCCTCTCAGAAAATTGGGGATCACGTGGCTCAGTGGGTAAGACTCTGGCTCGCTAGCCTGGAGGTCGGATGTTCGATCCCTGCATTGGCCGAGAAAGTTTATCCGGATTTTCGGCGTGGTTTCCCCTTGTCAGTGATGCAGGAAAGAGGGCCTGACAAGGACAGCTGTCTAGTCGTTCGGATGGGACGGAAAAAAAACAAGGCCCCGTGTACAAATGGGCGTGCACGTGAAAGATACCTTGGCAGTTGGAATTCGATATAAGAGTAGGCCGTAGCGCCGCTCACCGGGCAAAATTTCCCTCATAGCACACTGTATGGCGTATGTCCGTCTTCATTAGCCTAGTTTAGGAGCAAAACAGTAGGAAGTTAAACCCCATTTCATTTCCTCTCAGATAATTACATTATTATGAGGGCTACTGTAGAGTATTTTGTTGTGGAGCCAAAGTGGCTCAGTAGGTAAAGGACTAGAGGAACTGGGTTCCATCTTTGTGTTTGCATAGAAAGTTCCTCATAAGCCGGGTTGGTGCAGAAAAAGTAGTATGTTGTTACACTGGAATATCTTATGTTGTGGAACTGAAACGTGTATTAATATTATGCGCATAATTAATTTTGTGCTAGCCTTCATTTCTTGTTTTACAATATGTTATTTATTTGTGTCTTAAATTTCATTCCAAATCTTATCTCCTGTTGTTCCATGCAAAAAAAAAAAAAAGAAAAATATAAAACAATAGCCTTTTTCATCCATGTACAATACATGATTTTGATTGGGCATATATTAACTAACCTTGTGTTTACTACCTATTTGAAACAGACTATAATGCGTGACAAGTGGATGAATGTAGGTTATGATGATGATGAACTTAAACCTCATATAGAACCCCAACCCGATTATAACGATCCTGTACGAATAGGTAAAAGGGCCGAAGATGATATCTCAAGTATTATGTTTTTCCATGTTGTGGGGGGGAGGAAAATTGAGGGATGGACTTGCATGGTTCCCGCATGTTTTGTTTACCAGGCTTTGATTGTCCAATCTTCTAATAACAATATTTTTGACGTAATTTTAAATCTGTATTTTGTAATTCTGGAAAAAACAAACAAAAACAACCTTTAGATCATTTCATTTGGTGTTTGTGAGATTTCTCACCTGTTCAAAATTCATAACCAAATAAGCTAATTTCAACAAATTTCTTTTTTAAAAGATTGGCCAATCGATTTACTACCACTACCTTGGCTCTTTAGGTTTCTACCATTTTCAAGTATTTATTTTTTTTCCTTGATGGTCAGTCCCTCCATTTTTCTCTGAAGCTGATTAATAGTTTTTTTTCTGTTAGGCTTGATTAAAAAAATTTATTTTTATGATCAGAACACTATGCGAGACCGATGGATCAACTGTGATTTTCCAGATAGAGATTTAAAGCCTTATGTTGAGCCGTCGAAAGACGACTTTGAAACAAAAAGGATAGGTAAATTGTGGTGCCATTCTCCATGCTGACTGATCCTCTTACATTTGACAAATATTCAGGATTCTACTACTTTTCATTGTTGGAAGAAACCAACAATCTGATTGGCTATTATGAAAGGAAAGAAACAATCTGATTGGCCATTAATTGTTGTATTTCGATACTGTTGTAATAATCAACATGTAGTCAATAGATACAGTAATTTTGTACCTCTGTAAACCAAACAACTAACATTATCAAAACCCGGTTCTGGAATATCACTATTTATAGGGGCAGGTTGACTTTAAAAATGCTGAATGTTTCTTCTGATATTACAGTTTTGGTGCGTTTATACATACAGACTTGGGAGCCATGGTGGCTAAGTGGGTAAGACGCTGGCTCGCTAGCCTGAAGGTTGTGTGTGCGATCCCTGCATTAGCCAAGAAAGTTCATCGGGATTTTCCGACGTGGTTTTCCCTTGTCAGTGGTGCAGGACGGAGGGCCTGACAAAGACAGTGGTCTTGTCGTTCGGATGGGACACAAAAAACGAGGTCCCGTGTATACATTGGCGTGCATGTAAAAGATCCCTCGACAGTTGGAATTCGATATAAAAGTAGGCCAAATTGTCGCCCGGGTAAAAATTTCCCTTATAGCACACAGTATGGCGTATGCCTGTCTTCATTAGCCCATTCGGAGCAGAACAGTAGGACGTTACACCCTGTTTCATTTCAATTTTTCAATACAAAATATCTTGTGACCTATGACCAAAAACATGATTTATTAGGTTATATATGATGATGGTAGCACCTCTAAGAAGAAGGTCTTGAATCTCAGCGTTGGCCGAGAAAGTACCTCAGGATTTTCCAGTTAGGTTTCCCCCTGGTCAGTGGTCGAAGACGAAGTCTAGTCCTTCAGATCGGATGGAAAACTGATATCCTGTTTACATGTAAGCATGTTAAAAAAGACGTCTTGACACATCTTTGTTAGCCCAGTAGGTGCATGACAGTTGGACTAAAACCCTGAGATCTTAAGTTACGATGGTGTGGTTCAAAACCTACATGTAAGTACATCAGGACCTGGAATCTAGAGAGAGAGGGAGTAAGGGGGGTCAACATCCCCTAAGCACAAACTTGATCATTTTGGGGCTAACATGGTTCAATGTTATTTCAATAATTTGCTTGTGCGTAGGGGTCTTTACCAGTGGGAGAAAACCGAAGGCCCGGGGGAAACCCAAATGGTTGGACAGTCGACCCTACTCATTTTAACATACAAGTGGGAAATCTAAACCACACCACTTGACTCAATGACAGACCTTCTGATCCAACGCGCACACGTTAACCCCCTTGGAATCAGGAGTAGAATATACAGACAAATAATAGTGATAAAAAGTGGAATTTATTATTGCGTATCTGCAATGAAGAGTTTCATCTATCTTTACAAACTGAAGATCGCGTCAAAAAAAAGCATGTGTGCGACAGGTAATAAAGTTATAATGCACCAAGTCATCCAACATATTGGCTTAAGACCTGGTTATCCCAAGTGTCAATGACTAGTTTCGTTTGTATTGAATACTTCGTACTAATTTGAATTCAGTGACTCTGAAAATCATTTAATCTTCACATATTCTGAATGAAAGATCCATCTCCATTAGCCCAGTAATACAGGCCTGGAAATAACAGTTTTATGTCAATAAAAAAGACAAATCAGTGCCGGACAAAATGACAGGCACCAGAGGTTTAGTGCCTGACAAAGCCTGAATCTGTGCCAGACATTGTCAGTGAAAGGTGCCTTATTTCCAGGCTTGCAGTAATAGTAGAACAGTAGAATGAAAGATTCAGTATTTTTAATGGTCAGACATGTCTCTTTGTCTGTGTAGAAAGGAGTTTTGATAGTGCATGGTATATATTAATGTGTTATATAGATGTACAGACACGAAGCCTGTCGTAATCGTCATATCATCATTATTATGTTTTCAGTAGAATCCTGGGTTGTTTTATGTTTCATTTTGCTTTTGCTTGGTTTATTATTGTGAACATTTCATCATACCAGAGGATACAGTCTAGTTGGATCTGTACTGCTTTTTATTTCCCTTCATTTAGATCTTAGAATATCATGGCACTTCATAAACAGATCTTCACTGCCTTTTATTTCCTAATCTTCACAGGTGTAATGGATTCTATAGGAATTAAATAATTAAAATTTGTAGGACGTCATCCATTCAAACATGTCGCCAAATATTTTTAGTGGGATTTTCTGGTATTGCTTTATCAGACGTTACCTCAAATTGTTTTCTTGCTGTGCTATCTTCTGGCATCTCTACCTGAAACCAGAAGTTTCATAGCATTACAAGAAAGGTACTGCCAGAAAATTGTACTAAAATAGACATTTTAGGGTCCAGCCTTGTTTGATAGATGACTCTACTCCTCACTCCTGCTATTACATCTATCTTAATCTACATTAAAATATAATACACATGCAAGACCTTATTCACAGAAACTTCAAACTAAATGTTTTTAGAAGGCAACTTTTTCATTGGTCTAGAGTTAAATTTGTACAAATTTTAAGGCTCAACCAATGAAAATTACAACATCTCTAAAGTGATTGAGTTCAAAGATTTTGTGAAAAGGTGCCAGAACAAAACAAAATCGTATCGTTCGCATGAACTAAACGAGTTCACTCCACCACCACATTGGTCATTTGCAATTTTTCGGATTATATCTATTTGCTCACGCCTTAATTTATGCTTAAATGTACTGGGATTGATATTTGAACATTTAATTAAGATAAAACCAATAATTAGATTAAAAAGAGGCCTACAAAATATTTTAGTCAACATTTTGCGTGGTGCTGGCTTGTTTATACCATCTGAAAAGGATGCCAAATTTTTCAAATTTTGAATTCGTCATTGTAAATACTGAATGGAATTGCAACCATTTTTGAACTGCTATTCCTTTTAGAGATTCAGCGTTTACAATGTTGTATTTTACGTTACCCTTCCTCTCTCACCACTATTTTGTAAGGATGGAACTGTAATCGTTCTGTATTACTAAACTAAACACCATATCCACTATTAGATAGCAATGATATTTCTAGTCTGGGACCAATCATATGTTTGGCCAAAATCAATAAGGCAGTGGGAAGGCCAAGCTTTTAATTTTCATGACATTAAATTCATACAATATATTCTAATGCACAAAACACATCATATTATATATACATGCTCTACATTTCATCAGTGTCGCAATGTCACTAACATTTCCAAGGCTTATTTGTGTGTGTTTTTTTGATAACCTGTTTCGCTGAACTCTTTTATTATCATTTAATATAGATATTTATAATTGCGTTTTGTAATACTGTTCGGAGCTAACCTTTTAAAATTCAACCGTGTAATTTTTCCTTCCATAAGAATTTTAATCAGAGAAGAACTCTATTGTAATTGATACTTTAGATAAATGCAAAACTTTTTAAAATTCTCCCTGGTAATTGTATGAACAAATAATTTTCCCATCCATAAGATTAATAAGAATTGTAGGCTTATTTTGATAATGATGTAAATAAACCCCACTCTGAAAAACCTTAATATTAATTCGTTGAAATAACAAAAAAATTTCCCATTCATAAGAATTTTAGGCTGTAATTTTGCTGCATGTAAAAGATCACTTGACAGTTGGAATTCGATATAAGAGTAGGCCACTGTCCGGGCAAAATTTCCCTCATAGCACACTAATATGCCCGTCTTCATTAGCCCAGTTCGGAGCAGAACAGTAGGACGTTAAACCCAATTTCATTTCAATAATGTTTTGAGAAAAATCCATCATAATTGAGTACAGTTGGCATGATCGTTTGAAGTAAAACATAAAATGGAAGAGAATTGGCAACTTTTGATCATTGATATACAAGATAACCCATTTCTTTGATGATAATGTTATATATTTTTTGTGGTGAAAGGGGTTTTTGGGTCTAACTAAGCTTTTAAAACTAGAGTGTAAAGCTTACATTGCTCTTTGATGTAAGTTTCTGGTGACTTATGTTTATGATAATTGCCATGATAAATATAAATACTAAAGTATTGCAGGTCTGACTATGTATTACTTATATCTGTACAAGTGTTGTATTTGTATATATTGGATTTTTATTTATCAAATTTCTATGTTTTTGTCTGAAACTTTCAGAAAAACAGATTTTGTTTTTCTGTAGATTACTTTCATTTCATCCATCCATCCATTCGCCCGATTACTGATTCTCGTTAGTAATATATCAAACATAACCAAAGATTGAATGCCATTTCTAATTATTTTCTAGTCGCATGTATTTGAGATTAGCAAAAACCCACATGGTTAATGATAATCTCAACGAGAATTTCAAAGTTAGAATATGTAACCAATAATTAAAACCATTTTGAGAAACTATTTCAAATTTCCATACCTGATTTAATCTGTGATAATAAAGAGAATGAACCTTGTGAGTTTCAAAAATAAAGTAATTATCAACATTTCATAGGGTAGCTTATCTGAATTTGTTTAAAGATGGCCTATCCATATATGTATACATGATGACAACCAGATTTTAATCTGTTTATAGTCTAAAAACTGTACTTGAAAAAATTAGACCATGGCCTGGTGTGAAAATAAGACTGTAAAGTCTGAAATTTGGACTGCATTTTTGAACAGTTTGAAATTTGGATTGTGGCTTTGTGCGTAATCTGAAGAGCAGACTCTTTATAGTTTGAAATTTGGACTGTATTTCTGTATTTTCTGAAATTTGGACTGTATTTCTCAACAGTCTAAAAACCAGACTATCTCTTTTTTGATCTGAAAACTGGTCTGTAACTATTTTAGTGAGAAAACTGGACTGTATCATCTGTGTATATCACCATGTCATATAGTCATCCTCCCCCTCCACAACTATTTATATGTTATTTATTTAAATGTGTGTGTTTATATATAGTTTACAAACTTCACTTAAATAATGGTGTAGGATTACTAACACTAGATCATTATACTCTCCTTTATCAATATTTTGAAAGTTAATTATTCTGAAATTAGATGTACCCTGTGTTTTGAACCATCCAAATATTAGGACACACCAATTGGATTTTCTGTTCTTCGGGAACTTGGTTGCTCTTCTCAAAAGCTTTTAGTTTCAAATATTTAAGTTTTGAAATTTTATGCCTAAAGACCCAGAACAACTAAAAATTGAATGGGTTTGTCCTTAGTTTAGAATATGGACATTTTGTTTAGAATATGGACATTTAGTTTAGAAAATGAGTGATCCTCAAAATTATTTTTAAGAAATGGGACTTGTTGATTTCTAATTGATTTTTATGTACAAATAGCAATTATTGATAAACTTATTTTTGATTAGTAGTGAGTCTTTGTAGTATATTTCAAAAGTCCCATAAAAAAAAAAAGTCTCCGATCTCTTTAAAAAAAATGTGTAAAATCATTGATCCAAATGTATTTTCACTATTCATTTATTCAGTTATAGAATGATATTTTAGGAACAGAAAAAAAAAATGAAAATTAAAATAGATTTGTGAATCTTTCATTTTGATTTTTATCGAACTGTTGAAATAGACTGTAGTTATTGTTAAACTATAGAACATGTAGTTGTATTTTTATAGAACTATAGTTATTATTATTATTAAACTATGTAATGTGAAGTTGTATTTAATGTGTGATATATTGTTTATTTAACAGAGATTATGGTGAATATGGGATACAATCGTAGAGATATAGAAGAGTCATTAAAACTACAAAAATATGATGATATACAAGCAACCTATTTATTATTAGGACGAAGAACAACAGATGTAAGTCTTGTAACCATTGTAATCAGGTCTGTGGTAATCGAATAGTTTGGGCATTGAACTCAGAACTAGAAATGTTTTTTGGGTAGCCACTATGGCTACTGTCATAGACTTTGTCAGATGTAAATTGTCACACAACATAATATTATGATAAGACAGTTGTGTGATAGTTTCTGACTGACAATCTTTTTCTGTTGTGGTTCGCCCTTGTCAGTGATGCAGGACGGAGGGCCTGACAAGGACAGCTGTCTAGTCATTCAGATGGGATGAAAAACCGAGGTCCAGTGTACATATTGGCGTGCATATAAAAAATCCCTTGACAGTTGGAAGTCGATATAAGAGTAGGCCGTGGTGCAACTGTCCGTGCAAAATTTCCCTCTTAGCCCGTCTTCATTAGCCCAGTTCGGAGCAGAACAGTAGGACGTTAAACCCCATTTCATTATCATTTAGCAAGTGCCTTCTGTCCAGGCTTGCTCATAGCGCACTACATGCCATATATTCGTCATTAATAGCCTGGTTGGGGCAAAACAAGAAAACTTTAAACCACATTCCAGAACTGTTTTGACTCCAGGCATGGCTCAGTTGAAACATGACATGGTTAGTGTATCTGAGTGAAGATGAGGAAATCGTACCTTCAAGATTCACACATTGCTAGTAAGAATTTGTACCTGTAACTTACCTTTTATTTTACAGTTAGAGGGAAGTAACTCAGGAAGCAATTTGTCTTTGCGACATTTACCTCTGACCCCAAGTCGTCCGCACAGCGAAAATAACGCAAACCAGTCTCCTAACAAAGTCACGCGCAGCCAGTCAGCAACAAGCAGTTCTTCGGGGAGGTCACAGCGGCGGTCGAGTCACGGTGGGGAGTTCAATACTAATATTAAACGTAGGTGTAGATTGGTGGCTTGTAGCAATATCCGTATGGTTCATTACTTGATATCTCCGAATTATGTAGGTAGGCCCAAATATACCCCATTGACTTCCTTTACTTTGATATCACAAGAAACAGACAGTGAAGGAATAACTTATATAGACTTGGGTACAAATATTCGGAGAGAAGACATAAAAATGATTTTAGTTTAAAAAAAAAATGGATAAATTATGATTGAGTATAAATGTATTTAGAAAACCCAAGATGATTATTTGTTGATCAATACCAAGAAAAGCTGGGCTTCAAAAATTTATTTTATTACCCAAAGATTGATCAATATGGGTAAATTCCTTTTGTAAAATTTAATACAAGGTACAATTTTTATGGATACATAGTTTATTACTATGCAACGTTTTGAAGAGGATTCTCTCTTCTTGATCAAGAATGACCAACAAATATATACAAAATATGAAATAACAATGAAAAACAATCAAAACTTAACACCTTTGACTTGGGGTCATTTATTACTAAACCTGCACAAGAAAATGACCATTCTCGGTCATTTAATTGTTTTTAATTGTTACATATTCTGTATCTGTTTGTCCACCATTCACATAATGGTATTATATGCTTGATAAAGTGGAGAGTATCCTTGTCAAAACGGTGCCTAGGAATAAATTCTATGATTGTACTGTATCCACAAAATTGTACCTTGTGTTCAAAAAAGATGTACAATAGTGCGTTTGAGGAAGTTAAATGTTTTTTTTTACTTTACTCAAGAAGGTAATGAACCATACTTTAACGTAACCTTTTAGTTTGTAATATTAATTAACACCACAGAAAGAAAAAAATCAAAAAATCATTTCAAATTTTTACATGTCATAATGTACTTCTTGAAAGTCAGGATTTTGAATCAACTTTTCATCTTCAGAAGAAGTTAAGTTTGTTTGATTGCTTTTTTCCCATGCTTATGAATTATTTTGTAGTTCTAGAAACGAAAAGACTAGATTGTTGTATGGAGTCTGTGTTTTATTTTGATTTCACTTTTGTTAAAATTTCGCTACATTCTGCTTAAAATTGTGGACACCTGATATGGTTCAATTTCCTCTGGGTTTAACAGAGGAAAGGGAAACAACTCTTTACAATTCACTATGGATAGTTGTTTTCATTTGACTTTAATCTGTGTCAAGTCAACAAAGAGTTGACCATTGTCAAAATAGGATTAGCTGAAATTTGCTGTTATCGATACAGGGGATAGTTTCTCCCGGGTCCAATGGCAGTGTTTGCCAAGAAAGTTTCACAAAATTTTACATCCTTTTTGTCCCTGTCGCATAGGTAGAATCACAGATTTCCAGGCAAAGCACATTACATGTTGTATGCCGGATTTCATTAACCAAGTTAGTGCAGAAAAATATGAAGTTAAACCCCAATTCATGTCGTACCATATTGCATCAAGATCCTTGCTTGATTTAACATGGTATTCCCCTAACAAAGAGTCCAACCTCGTGGGTTTTCTCCGGGTCCTCCGGATTCCTCCCACTGCTAAAGACCCCTACGCGCAAGCGAATTACGTAAATAAAGATTTAAACCATATGTTAGTCCCCACATGACCTAGTTTGTGTCGAGTGGACGTTAAACCCCATTTCTCTCTCTCTCTCCCTAACAAAGAAAAGTCAATAAACCATTACAGGAATATTATGATCCATATTTTAATTAGACTGCAGGGGTACACTTGATTAAAATTTACAAGTAGCATCTAAATTATTATTATTAATAATATGGTTATGGGAAATGTATTGTAAATTTGTTGTAGAGGATACACCATATATTTATTTTTTTTGCACAAGAAATCAATCACTGCACCTAATATTTGAGGGATATTTGGATTATAACCAATAACAGTCTTCACAATTTTTAAGTATGAAAAGTATTATGATATATTCGCCCCTTGACTATTATAGAGTTTTTTGTCTTACAGACTGCTAAATGTACTGCTAAGTGTAACATGTACTGTGAATTTAATTCATAAATGGTAAATCAAGACTTAGTCTCGATTATCAAGTACCGTTGCTACGATGATAAGCAATCTATGCTGCAACTTGACAAAACTTCTTTGGGGGGGGGGGGCCGGGGTGGATGGCCGAATGGTGCTGAATCACAAGGTCTGTCATTGAGTCAACTGCCATGGTTTCGATCCCCGGTTTGTATGTTACAAGAAAAAGGGTCGTGGGTTTTGTCCGGGTCCTCCGGTTTCCTCCCACTGCTAAAGACCCCTACGCGCGAGAGAATTATTGAAAAAAAAAATTGAACTATGTGTTAGTTCCGAAATGACCTAGTTTGTGTTGAGTGGACGTTAAACTCCCTACTCCTTGTCACGTCGTCATATGAAAGTCAAGGGAAATATGTCATAATACTTTGCACATTTGACTGGTGTGAAGATGAACAATTACCGGCTTGTTGAATGCTTATTTTATAATTATGTCAATTTATTTCTGTAGTAGTATTAGAGGGTTGTTATATTTTATTTAATTATATAAAATATAGAACATTTCTTTAAATTGCAGAATTTATTATTAATTTTCACCATTTTGATTTGAAAGTCTTGTGCCATCATCAAGATAGTGCAAATTTATATTCCTTATAGATGGCCTAGATTTATAGCTTTGAATTTGTTTAACACATCAATTTTTAGAAGAAAAGAAAATACTTTCATTGATTGAAGTTTCTCATTAATCATTTTCACTTCAATTTTAATTTGGTTTATTTCACATATTAGCTTATTCAAAATTCATAAAAGTTTTTGTACTCCTGATCAGAAATTGAAATTGAAAGTAGAAATTGACCAGTGATCGATCTTTTAGGTTCTGGTGGTCAACAAGGTACGCAAGCACACCCTCCAGGAAGCAGACGACAGCATACGGTAGACGGCACGTCAACAAAAGAAAGTGCGCTAACAGCAAGAATGAAAACGCCATCTGGTGGTTTGGTCGATTCACCTAAGGTTGGTAAAAAGGTAACCTGTATAAACATTTATCAAGTTATCAGTAATTATTAGGCTTGCTGCTTGTTGTATTTATTTGTGAGTAGTCTTTCTGCATGGTTAGCAAAAGGTGTGAAAGTTTAACATCCCCCTACCCCTCCTCCTCCTCCTCCTCCAAAAAAAACCCAAACCCTTTTATTCCGGTTTCCTCCCACTACTAAAGACCCCTACGCACAAGCGAATTAAAATTAAACCATATGTTAGTCCCAAAATGACCTAGCTTGTGTTGAGTGGACGTTAAACCCCATTTCTCTCTCTCTCTCTCTCTCTCTCTCTCTCTCTCTCTCATTTCTTCTAAGATTATACAAATCTGTTTTTGGATTGGTTTCTATTGGTATAACACCACTATCTTTATATATCTTAGTCATACAAAGAAATAACTCTTCTTTCTTTTTTTGTACACACAGCCCATTCTTCTTGAATTTTTTTGTTCTGGTTTTTGTTTGTTGCTTTGAGACATCTTTATATTTTTTTCTGTTTTCTGTGATATAATTTTAATAAGTAATTGGGAAGGAGGAAAGACATATGGTATCAAAGAAAAAAAGACGTTTGTGAATATTTAATAGTAAAATAGATTTAAAGGATGTATTTAGATCTGTCGATGGTAACGATGCCTTAAAAAAAACCTTCCCACAAAAATTGATGTAGTGCATTTGAACCAAAATTGTCTCCATGTATTTGATAACAGCCTTAACCCTCCTTCCAATTTACTCTCAATAATTCTTTTACTAAACAATTCTTTGTGTTTCCTTATTTGTAATAATAATTCTGCTTCAAGCCTAGATTTATTTACGGGAATTACCAAAGACATGAAAAATTGTGTTTTGTGGAGGCCTTTGATTCATAGAATGATTTTTTTATTCATGAACTTTGTTAATCTCAATTTTTCCTTTAGATGCATTGCATGTTTTTTTTTTCCTGTACAAAATAAACTATCGATGTGCATGTATTCTTATGGGATGTGAAGGGAATCATATTTTAGGTTTTTATTTATTTTATTTTTTTTACAGCTTACTGCCCCAAGTCCAGCCAGGGCTACAATGCCAAGAAAAACAGGTAGTGGTCATTCGACGTCGACATCGTCCACGCCAAAAAATAATAGTGTGATAACGCATGGTCAAGGCCATAATACAAGCATTCCTCGTCGTAGTACCTTCAGTCCAGGAGATAACCGCAACCAGACACCTACGGATAAATCGCGACCGACTAACGGTCAAGACATTAAAAAGTAAGTTTTGATTCCCAATGAATGTTTGTGTGGTATGCTTTTACTTTAGGCCAATAAAAAAATATACCCTTGTTTACGGCTACTTGGCCCCCCAAAATAGGGTCAGTCGGGGAATCTTGCCAATTCGGACTGTTATCAATACCGAAATTTCAGTGGTGGAATTTGTCTGCAGAAAACCACACCAAGACCGAGTTATAGGACCTTGGAAATGAGGTGAGGGGACCAAAAAAGGGTCGGTCAAGTAACCATGAACACAGGTATTTTTTTTGTTTTTGTTATGGCCTTATTTTAATCAATTGTCTGTAGTTTGTAGTACTTTTAACATTGTCTTTGATCAATGATTTGACTATTGCAGTTTTATTTACAAATTTATTATTCTCCCCAGAGATAATTAAAGCCACTGATTGTCAGTTGAGGGATGTTAAATCCCTTGCAAACTAGGGTGGGGTGGGTGGCCGAATGGTTAACGTGTTTGCGTTGCGTCAAGGTCTGTCATTGAGTCATGTGCTTGCACAACTTCATGTGTTTTCTCCGGTTTCCTCCCACTGCTAAAGACCCCTACATGCAGGCAAATGTGGATGTTAAACCCCATTCTCTCTCTCTCTCCCTACAAACAATGCTATTGTGGAAGTTGAATGTCCAAAAGAATTCCATTCCAAACATGGTTCAAATCCGTTCAGTATTTACAAAGATATGATGAACTGAAAATTTCGCAACCATTCAGCATCCTCCACAGACGGCACAGATGACATACACCAGCCAGGCTGTTCTTCAATGATGTTAAGACAGAAGAAATGATGACGTGATAAAATCCATATAAAATAAAGAGAGCTTTAAATGGCCATAACTAACATTAGAAATGATTGATTTGAATCATTTTTGGATTAATATTCTTTTGGATGGAGGGGGGGTCTCGGTGGGCAAGACGCTGGCTTGCTAGCCTGGAGGTCAGGTGTTTGATCCCTGCATCCAGATTTCCCTACGTGGTTCCCCCTTGTCAGTGATGCAGGACGGAGGGCCTGGCAAGGGACAAAATTTGGATGGGACGAAAAACCAAGGTCCCGTGTACACATTGGCGTGCACGTAAAGGATCCCTTGACAGTTAGAATTCGATATAGTGCCGCTGTCCGGGCAAAATTTCGCTCATAGCACACTGTATGGCATACATTTTCTTTTGGATGGGACTACTGAAAGTCTGTAATAGTCGTTTAAATGATGGTAGTAAAACTGCAATAGAAAAGCATGTGATATATGTACCTTTTAGATTTCTTATATTAATATCATCGTACTAACATTGTGCTAAACTTTATATATCATCATTGTTATCGTGGGATGTAGATATAGATGAAAGACTAAAAAAAAAACAAACCTCGTTTTGCTCATTTGTGGCAATGATAAATGATAGGGTCAAAAAGCTGAAATATAGAAGTGCAATGAAAAGGTTTTATTTCGATGAACCATTGTATGGAGTGTTATTCAAATGTTCTTGATCAATAATTCTGCCTATTTTGAAAATATTTCCTTCTGGCAAATCTGGGATTTTGCTCCATTAATACAGTGATAAAAATGATACGCTGAAAACACTCAAATACGAAAGTACAACAAAATTTGTTAGCTCTGTGAACCACTGGCAAAAGCCTTATTAGATGTTATAGAAAGTGTAAGTAAGCATGCCCTGCCTCTGACATGACATCTATCACTACAAATTGTTATGAGCATTAGTTTGGATCATTTATTCTGGCACGACATCTATCCCTACTTACATCTAACGTGTGTGATGGTTTGGACCAATAATTCTGCCTGTTTTGAAGTATTTTCTATAGCTCTAAAATCATATCTACATCCATGTCATATCATCTCATGTAATACACACAATAGAGGTTTAATACATTAACACAGTAAGTTCATTGAAGAAAGTACTATATCAATCTGATTAAGAGTACATATATTCGTTTCATTTCTTTATACAGGCGATTGGATGGCCGAATGGTCATTGAGTCAACTGCCGTGGTTTCGATCCCCTGGTTGTACGTGACAAGGAGTAGGGTCGCCTGTCCAACCTCGTGGGTTTTCTCTGGATCCACCAGTTTCCTCCCACTGCTAAAGACTCCTACGCGCATGCAAATTATTGAAATAAAATTAAACCATTTGTTAGTCCCAAAATGACCTGGTTTGTGTTGAGTGGACATTGAACCCCATATCTCTCTCTCTCTCTCTCTCTCTCTCTCTCTCTCTCATACAGACCTGAGTTGGGGTAACAAGGAATAGGGTGCCCTGCCTACCCTCATGGGTTTTCTCTGGGTCCTCCTGTTTCTAGGGGGGTTGGATGGCCGAATGGTTAGCGTGCGTGCGCTGTATCATAAAGTCTGTCATTGAGTCGACTGGCGTGGTTTAGAATCCCCGGTTGTACGTGACAAGGTTTGGGTCGCCTGTCCAACCTCGTGGGTTTACTCCGGGTCCTCCGGTTTCCTCCCACTGCTAAAGACCCCTACACACAAGCGAATTATGGAAATAAAATTGAACCATATGTTAGTCCCGAAATGACCTAGTTTGTGTCGAGTGGAAGTTAATCCCCATTTCTCTCCCTCTCTCCCTCCTGTTTCTTCCTACTGCTAAAGACCCCTACCTATACTTGAAGTAAAATTGAATCTTGTGTTAGTCCTGGAATCACATAGTTTGAGTTGAGTGGATGTCAAACTTTCTCTGCCTCCCTCTATACAGATCTGACTGTTTACGAAGGAGGTTATATCAGGGGTCATAGCTTTTCTGTTATTCTCTACTGCTCTGACTCCTTTGATTCTAGATATAGCTCTGATTAAACATGGCATTTCATTGGCTAATTTCCCACATCAAAACATGACACAGTTTATTTAAAAACTCTTCCTGGTCCCACTGAAACAAACAAACCATAATTTGAAATATAAAATAACGAATATATGTGTTTCAATCAGATTGATAAAATATCTATCCGGATCTTAAAAGGTAAGTTTTAAAAGAAAGTCTGAAAAAAATATAATATATTAATTTCCCAAAGATGTTTCTGTTAACAAAACTCTCGCTCCGTTCTTCTTCATCTCCTTCTGAGTTTAGGATTAATTTAGTAGAATACAGGCCAGTCGAATATGAAATACAAAAAAAATACCTGAGGAACAAACAATGTAATTAAGATTAAAGGCTGCTTAAACAATTTACATGTAGTTAGAATTATTTGTCAATTTTATTTTATTTCTGATGTCGAAATAGTAAGCCAAAAACAAAACTGAGTAAGCAAGCCGACTTAACTTGAACTTTTCAAACAAAAATTTAATCATGCAGAACTGAGTTCACCCTTCAGCACCATAAATATTCGACATAAATTAGTAAACTTGAAAACAAATTGAAACTTATAGTGCTTACTCCATCACTAAGAGAGAGGTTTAGCCCCTTTGAAAATTAAACTAAAGTTTGTAAAATAAGGCAGACTAACGCTTACTTTCAAAAAGAAATTAACCATATAGTTGAATTAGTAAACTTTCAAAACAAATTGAAAATTATAGAGTTTACTCCATCACTAAGAACAAGGTTTTGCCCCCTTCGAAAATTAAACTAAAGTAAGGCAGACTAACATTTACTTTCAAAAAGAAATTAACCATATAGCTAAATTAGTAAACTTTCAAAACAAATTTACTCCATCACTAAGAGGGGGGTTTAACCCATTGAAAATTAAACTAAATTTTGTAAAATAAGGCAGACTAATGCTTATTTTCAAAAAGAAATTAACCATATAGCTAAATTAGTAAATTTTGAAAACAAATTGAAACTTATAGTGTTTACTCCATCACTAAGAGAGAGGTTTAGCCCCTTTGAAAATTAAACTAAAGTTTGTAAAATAAGGCACACTAACATTTACTTTAAAAAGAAATTAACCATATAGCTAAATTAGTCAACTTTAAAAACAAATTGAAACTTAAAGAGTTTACTCCATCACTAAGAGCAAGGTTTAGCCCCCTTCGAAAATTAAACTAAAGTAAGGCAGACTAACATTTACTTTCAAAAAGAAATTAACCATATAGCTAAATTAGTAAACCATATAGCTAAATTAGTAAGCTTTCAAAACAAATTTACTCCATCACTAAGAGGGGGGTTTAGCCCAATTGAAAATTAAAGTTTGTAAAATAAGGCACACTAACGCTTACTTTCAAAAAGAAATTAACCATATAGCTTGCTCGATCATTATTTAGTGGTTTATTCCCAAATAAAGGTAAGTAAATGTATGAGAGATTATTGGCATGATCAAGAAAGTCAGTATGGAGTCACATGTTATTACTGTGTAGTAATTTAATCCCTTAACAGATTTCTCTAATTCATCACAGCACTTTCAGATTGCATTCAAACATTGTTTTATAAACCGAAAGTAGAAAATAAAACCTTCTTTGTCTTTCTCTCTCTCTTATTAGTCATCTTCCAAATTCCTCAAGTGCAACGTCAGAAACGGCCCCATCAGCCAGGCCGAAAGGTCCTGGACACGTCAAGTCTGCAAGTATTTCTCAAACTGCTAGGTATGGGGAGTTACCTGCCCTTTCTACAGACGAATCTTCTTATAGACCGACGTAAGTAGATTAGTTCCTGTAGTAATATATGTATATACATGTAATAGTCATTACCCATATTTAAACATCATATATATATATATTTATCTATTTTTTTGCTGCATAATCGTGCATGTTAGCTTTATCATATTTTTTTTTTTTTTTTAAGAACATTTAAAAGTTTTTCTCCGATTTATGTATTTTTCAACAGATTGAAATGCAATAATCGCATAAGGATTATGGCTTCTGTACACCCTTAAAATAATGAGGCATATTTTAATTATGAAATTCACTAATTCTGATTGATGACTAATTGAATTATTAACTAGCTTTGTATTATTGTTATTATATCAGAAATGGTTCTAATTTCAACAGGACGGCACCTGGTAAAACAGTGGTTGCTCCTAAACCGAACTTATCACGAGGAACACGGGAAAGAAATACATTCCACGGGAAAGAACGTCAGCAGAGGATAAATAGTCCTTATAATGGTCCTGGAGCAGTACCAACACACTCGCAAGACACGTCAGCAATGGGCCCAGGAGGACGGCCATCTTTCTTCAATAGAATAACTTCGAAATTTAGTAGAAGGTATGTGTCCCCTTTCACCCCAAAGTCAGATTTTAGCCCTTCCCATGATTTATTCAGTATTATTGAGTTAAGATTAAAAAAGCAAGGTTTCACATCAGTTCCATTTGGACATGATCATTCTTGCTCTCTGCGGATTCCAATATTATTTATTCCCCTCTTGAATAATTTTTCGCTAGTTCTCTTGGTAGATTTCCCAGTTTTTCACAATTTCTTGTAGTTGTAGAGAGTTTTTGGTTTGTATTTATTTATGAAAATACTTGCACAATTCCTCCCAAAAAGTTATAAAGATTTTAATTTTTTTGGTGCTAGATTTTTATTTCTGTAGTATTCAACTTTTAGTTTCACTTATTTTATTAAATTTATTTTGCTTTTTATTTCTAAGTTAAATTATAAAAATGATTTGTTGATGCACAATCGCAGGCAGTGAGCAATGAATGCAAACCAAATGGGCTCAAAATTTATATTTCTTTTCAAAACTTTCAGTCCTGTTAAAATAAATTAAAATGAGATGTTTATTCCGTTTTGGTTTTATTTTTTATGTTGTACTACATTAACATCTGACATATATTCCTTTGAAGTCATCATTCACTTCCGTTCCTGTGGACATATTGACTAATCAAATTGTCTGTGTTGGGATACAGGGTGGTCACTGGTGTATTGTGAATTATGGCAATGATTCTGAGTGGTTATAGGGGGGATGGATGGCCGAATGGTTAGCGTGTGCATGCTGCATCGTAAGGTCTGCTATTGAGTCAACTGGCGCGGTTTCGATTCCCCAGTTGTACGTGACAAGGAGTAGGGTCGCCTGTCCAACCTCTTGGGTTTTCTCCAGGTCCTCCGGTTTCCTCCCACTGCTAAAGACCCCTACGCGCAAGTGAATTATTGAAATAAAATTGAACCATATGTTAGTCCCGAAATGACCTAGTTTGTCAAATGGATGTTTAACCCTATTTCTCTCTCTGAGTGGTTATGAGGTTATAGCCGTTTGAAATAAGGAACTGGTTAGATTTCAGTGTAGTGCAAAAATCAAAAAAAAATAAACAAAACAGAATTGTAATCTATTTTTAATTAGATTCTTGTAAAATGCACGTGTTACGAAAATCCTTAACAAAAAACAAACCCAAACTAACACAATTATTCTGTTTGCTGTTGCTTGAAAATTTCTTAAAAAACAAAACAAAAAACCCCACACCCTTTCACCCTGATCGACCCCTCGTGGAGTGATACTCAAACTGATGGAGGGGTGATAGGGAAAACTAACAATTAACCTTAAAGCTTTTCTATTTTCAGTAAAGATTATCGTATAAAAAAAATTGTTAACTTCTTTATTTTATAAATTATTTTGGATAGTCAATGACTATAACTTTTAAATGTTGAATGATATATATTTAAGTTCATTTCCTTTTCATAAATGTTTCTTTTTATGGAATCATTAATTTTAATAAATTAAATTTCTGCAATCCATAAGAACTTGTGAAAAATAAAATGGGAAATTTACTTACAATTTCTTTTGTTTCACATACTCAAATTTTAGAATGAATAAATTTATTTTAGAGATTTACAAAATAACAATTTGAGATTGTTTAATCAGGAAAGCAAAGAATTTTCTTAAACTAATAGTAAAGTTTTATCTTAACTGAACTATCCCACTTTTCTCATTCTTTCAAAGCACTGAAATCATAAGTTTCGATCATTTTAGCCTCGTACAACTAATATAGTCTGGGCAAAATTTGTATGCAGTGTCAAAGGTCATTTAGAGATTCTGGTTTGTCTTATGATTGGTTGAGAGGAAAATGACCTTCACCTTGTAAAATTCATTTGTTAACTGATGGATGCAGACAACATTTCCCATAAGAAAAATCGTGAACAGCATACACAAAGAACCTGTTGCCATATACGCAATGGCTGCTGTTTTGTCCAGGCTAATATTAGTTATTGTCAAATCAGAGAGAATACAGGCATAAATGATCACGACTATGAAATCATCAAATATATTTAACAAAAAATCACGCAAAGTTCATTATTCAATCTGAGTTAGTCAAACAAAAGGGATTGTCAAATCTTGAAAAATATGTTGCAATTTTGTTTGAAAATGATGAAAAAAACTGTTCCTCAAATTTATTCTTGTTACAGTCTCCTCACTATTCCTCAACTAAAATTATTTAAATACATTATCTTTTAAAAAAATATTTCTTTTATATTTATACTTCACTCTTTAATATATATTTCTTTTCTAATATATTTACTTCTAACAAATATAATCTTGATACTTTTAACCATTTCATTGACTTGTCATGACTGTCTTTTAACTCCATGCCGCTATAAATAAAGCCGATAATGTCCATTGGAACAAGAATAAATTTATTAAGGAATTGGTTTTGAATACACGATGAATAAAACATAGTTTCTACTTGCAGTAATAGTAGGAATGCATGTGAAACCGTAGCTGCTTCCCCAAATAGTGCATGTCAGAATCGCTTTGATCATCATTTTGTCAGGTGCGTGGTTATTCTATTCTTTGAAACATCTCTTCTGGGAACTTTTTTATTTCCCCTGCCATTTTTCTTTTTCTTTCTTTTATATAAATCCATAAAAACCCACTCAAAATTCAAGGTATTTAGTTCGATAAAATAAGATATTTTGAAATTAGGTCCATTTTTTTTTTTTAAATAAATTTTTAACACAGTTCTACACCATTCTGATTATTATATTTAACCCATATTTTGGGGGATACTGATTTTTTTAAAACGATTAACATTATATCCTTAATAAATTTTTAATTACGTCCTTTTATATTTCTATTTGACTACTTCCTCCAAAAACCAAATTATAGCAACCCAACGACCAATATATCCATATATCAATATTTATATATTCTCAATCTGTTTTAAGTTCCCAGAAGAGGTGCATGCTGTGATACCTAAAATGACTATTTGTATAATTGAACAGTTTTGACATGTTTTTTTTTTTTATATTTTTTATGACTGTTTCATTGATTTACTAACTTGTTAATTAGCATGATTATATTTCAGCTTCATTTAAAAAAACATAATAATAAAAAAACCAAAACAATTATACAGCTGAATGGTCTAGAGTTATTAAAGTTGACTTTGGTTATGTTGATGTTAAAATAAGTTTACTGTCTCGGCTACATGGATTACAAGTTACAGTTTTTGCTTTTGATTTAAAACAAGATACACTTTAGATTCTATGTCAGTAGATTGTTACAGTTTGCTGACTGAAAATCGGTAATATAAATACTGAAGTTGGAGTTACTTCAACTGCTGAACAAAATAAAGGAGAGTGGATTAGATTTGTAACTAGATGAAATACAAGAGTTGAAAAGTCCCGGGATGTTATATTTATGTTTCAAAAATATCCAGCATATAATGATTCTTGGAATTGCAGAATCCTTAGAAAAAAAGTTAGCACTTGAAAAATGAATATAGACATTTCTGTCTTGAAACTAGGCAAACTTTTTTCTTAAGGTATGTGATTCGAATGATGTTGGATGAGAAATGAATAAAAAACAATACAAAAATTGAGGGATTTATAGTTTAAAAGAGGAAGAAAAATCTGTTCTGTAATTCTTGTTAAGAGACAGTGGCTTGCATTGGGTGCCGGTGGCTCGTGTGGCTGAATTCTATAATTGTGTTCGCAGCTTTACTAATAATCTCAAGATGCAGAAGTGACGCATACAGTTCTTGTGGCATGGCAGCGCCTGTTTCAATCCCACCTCATGTCACTTATCAATAATGTCTGTTATAGAAGTTATGACAAGGTTATCAACCTTGTTGACATCAACATAAATCCAGTAATAACGTAGACCTTTAGCTTATTTATATGATATAAACAAACTAACTAGAAAATCAACTAAATCATTCAATGCCACAATTGTTTTTACACTTTGCTGAAAAAAAAGTGTTCGACGTTTAGTCACGAAACCATAAACTCAAATATTTTAAGAAAGCATTTTAAAGTTTCTGTGAATAAGGACGGTCCCTGGGATCTTAAATTTAATTCTGCTCAAATGTAAACATCAATTTATTACTTTATTCACAAATGGAGAAAAGGTTAAATATTTGGTATATTACCGGTTATATCATAGCTTAAGACTTGATTTAGTTGATTTTCAGTGACTATTTAAAGATAAAAGTTCTTAGAGCCGAGTGTCAACATTGCAATTTTACTATGAAAACTTGGAGCCAAGGCTGCTGAGTGAATAAGCTTGGTGGCTTGCTAACCAGGAGGTCTCAGCTAGTGAGAGATCCTCGGGGTGGCAAGGAACAGACAGGACGGATGAGACGAAAAAATGAGGTCCTGTGTTTACCTTTACACATGACACATAGAAGAGTCCTTATGGGTTGAATTCGATGAAGGCAGAAATGCTGCTCTCTGGACAAATTTTCGCAACATAGCATGCTCTAGCAGTTGACACACTGCATGAACTCGTCTTGGATAAACATGATTGGTGTAAAACTAACACTAAAATATCGGTTGGCACACTGCACGACGTATACATGTCAAGACTGACACTAGCAGTTGACACACTGTATGAACTAGGACCCATCTTGGATAACCCTGATTGGTTCAAAACTGACACTAGAATATCGGTTGACAGATAAGATCTGTACCAATGTTTTAGTTTTTGTGAAAATGGCTCGTCAATTTACCTAGAAAAAATGATAAGGACTTTTATCTAAATAGATCATATATTTGAAATGTTATTAATATGGATTTTGATGAAGATTAATTCAAAATTGATTCTAAAATGTCAATCAATTAAACTGATTTTAAGGAAATTGGGACAAAGCATTAAATTTTTAAAGATCCATTTCTCATGAGAAATCCATATTGATAAAAAAAAAAGGAAAGTTGTATCAAAACTGAAACATTTCTTGAATGATATTTAAACGAGAAAAAAAAATAGAAGCCATCAAAAGTTAAAACCGCATCACAAGGACATCATTCAAGTTATGTTTCTGTTCTATTGAATAATTATTTATGAAATTAATCAATATTTATTTATATTATTATTATTATTATGGCAACCCTCCTCACACAGAGTAACTCCACAAGTTGATTTTACTTCATTACACTTCAAAAATATGTTTAATTAATATTTTTATTTCAGTGTCAATAACTCTTGACTGATATTACTTTGTTAGTATAATTAAATATGTTCGTCCAATAGAAGTGGTTGAAAAAATTGCGATTTAAATTTGAAGCCAATTACCAATGCATGATATTTTTAAATAAAGAAAAAAAAATTGTTTCTGAAGCCTTTTGTGAAAATTTGAAAAGATCATTGAAGCCTGGTTTAGTTCCACAGTTTAATTGTTCACCTCCTTAGGTTTTTAACCCGAGTTTACACATGTGCAATCACCTGTTCAACCTCGTGGGTTTTCTCCGGGTCCTCCGGTTTCCTCCCACTGCTAAAGACCCCTACGCGTAAGCAAATTATTGAAATAAAATTAAACCATATGTTAGTCCCGAAATGACCCATTTGTGTCGAGTAGACGTTAAACCTCAGTTCTCTCTCTCTCTCCCTCTCTCTCACACACATGTGCAAATTATCTTGAAAAGACAGGAAAACTGCACACAGAACAATTTCAGGACGAGAGAGAGTAGATGTATGAGTTTTGGGGTCCACTGATGTACCGCTGGGGATGGGCAGAGCATGTAGACCCCAGTTTTAATACTAAAACATACCTTGTAATTTGTAATGAACTACCTTATAACGAGGCCCGATGTAGATAAAAAATCACAGACAATACCAGTATATCAAATTAAAATGGATACAGTCGAAAAATATCTTGTGTGGTTTTTGTTAACACCTTGATAAGTTGTTTACTCTAATTAACAATACATCGATTGCTGATGGACCAATTATATTGACCGTGACATAACAATATAAAAGCATTAATAAGAATATAGAAATTCTGGTATTGTAAAATGTTAATTATTTCCCTGGGCATGAAATACAGATATTGCTTTGATCTATATAATATAGCACAGTTGTAATTAATAGGTAGCAAAAAAATGGTTCAGGGAACAAATCGCTTACTCTTATATGCTTATTCCTGCTTTAGATGCAGTTACCAAAATTTAAGTATCGCTTTGCATGTTTCACCCCTAAATAAAAAAAGGAAAAAAGAATTGTACTCTCATTGTTCTGATAGAAAATTGCAAGTTACCCAGGAAAATTCTAATGGTCTATATCAAGTTACCCTGGAAAATTCTAATGGTCTATATCAAGTTACCCTGGAAAATTCTAAGGTTATATTACAATTACAAGTTATAATCTTTAAGTGGCATTTAGCGATTGGGAAACACATAAACAAAAGACAATTTCTATGGAAAAAAACAATCATTGGTTTAATTCTAAAAGCACAACAATTCGACAAGTATCCTCTTACGGTTACCAAGAGGGTACTTGTCGAAACATCATCCTTTTAGAATCAAACCAGTGATTGTTTTCCCATAGAAATTGTGTTCTGTTAATTACAAGTTACCAAAAAATCCTAATGCCATATTTCCTTTTACAGAGAAAATTCTAATGTCAGTTTGCAACTTACAGGGAAAATTCTAATGTTATACAGATTTTGAAGAAGAAAAAACCTAATGTCAAATTTAATCCTTGAGTGGCATTTAGTGATTGAGAACATTAAAAAAAAACCACAACACAATTTATATGGAATACAATCACTGGTTTATACTTGATACTTCTACTTGATAACGATAAGAGAATACTTGTGGAAACGTCGTGCTATATGTGTATAAACCAGTGATTGTATTCCATATAAATTGTGTTGTGTTTTTTAATGTTAAATTGCCAGTTAACAAGAAAACTCTCATTTTATTACAAGTTACCAATACTGCTTGAGTCCATGAATTTCTTACTACAATAGCAAGTTACTGGTTACCGAAAAAAACCTCTGTTATTGCAAAATTCTAAAATCACTTTGCCTTTTACAGAGAAAATTCTTATGTTATTTTACAAGTTACAGAGAAAATTCTAATGTCATTGCAAATTTCGAAACATCTAATGCAAAATTGCTAGTTGCCAAGAAAACTCTAATTTTATTGCAAGTTACCAAAACTGCTTGGGTCCATTTTGTAATGAATTTCTTATTTGAAGTGTTGAATATTTTAATTTTAGACTCTTCCTAATTTGAAGCATGGAAATTAAATAAGCCCCTGCATGTTATGTACCCAAATATATTATAGCACATTGCATGATTCCTTCCATTATTATTCTTAACAAATTCAATAATATGTTGAAAATAATATCATTATATACTAAAAAATACATTTTAACTTTTGGAGAACTATCAAAAAGTTATTGAGAGAAAAAAAACCCAACATAATTTTCAATCAAAATCAACAAGAATTGCAACACCACAGGTCCATCTTGATAAAAAAGATGGCTCCCAGATGAACAACAGAAACTATTTCAGATTTAAACAAGAAATTCTACCAAGTGATGTGAAAGCTCTGTTTGCGAGGGTTGGCCATTGTTTTTTTACGTGTGTGGATGTTTTTCTAATTTTCAGCAAATTGTTCCGCAGGTCTGTGAATGAAACTAAGGATGGTGAAGCTGTGAAGCCGAGAGCTCTACGATTCACCTGGAGTATGAAAACGACAAGTTCTATGGACCCTCACGACATGATGAAAGAAATACGGAAAGTTCTTGATGCAAATAACTGTGATTATGAGCAACGGGAGAAATTTCTCTTACTCTGTGTGCACGGTGATCCAAATACAGACAGTCTAGTGCAATGGGAGATGGAAGTGTGCAAACTACCGAGACTTTCTCTAAATGGAGTTCGTTTTAAACGCATTTCCGGTACTTCAATAGGCTTTAAGAACATTGCATCTAAAATAGCTAATGAACTGAAACTCTAATGTTTAGCCCAGAATTATCTGAATGTTGTCTGTCTGTGTGAAATGATGCAAGAGATTCATTCAAGTGGAAAAAACGTTTTTTGTTGAAATTCCACTTACATTGTATCCTATCGGACATTTTCAAATTAAAAACATCGTGTTATATATATATATATATATAAATATATAAATATTATATCCTATTAATCTGTATTATAATAGGATTAAAAGAAAAACTAGGTTTTAATTTTTTGTACCTGTACATTTTGTAATATATATTGTATAAAGTAATAAGCAAATGAGAGGACACCCTTTTTTTTTAGCCCCCATATTGTATCTAGTTTTATTGTAAAATAACGTATATATATCTATATATATATATAAAGTCGTCTTGTAATATTTTTGAGGGCGAGTTAAAAATTGAGTGTCCGAAGCTAGGAGATCTACACATAAAACTTGTTCTCTACCTTGCACCGTTATTTAATTGATGTCCCTTTTAAAGAAAAAAAAAACCTGTGCAACTGCTGTTTGTCTAGAGATGTGGATATTCAGCAATAAAATACATCTATTAGTCTTTTGTCGTTTAACTAATTATTATGGTTATTGTTCCAGATACATTTGTTATTTTCAGCAAGAAAAATTTATAGACTATTCTTCAATAGATATTTTCTTTAAATTAATATTACCACAGTGTTTAAGTAGAAATTATGTTTAATATTGTATGAAAGATGGTTGATTGTTAGCATCCATTGTATTTCTCTTAGACTCTTGTCATTCTGGCCGTATGCTCTTCACCTCTTGGGGAAACTGAAAGACAAATACAGGGCCATTCAAGCTTCTAAACTATTTATTTCCTTTATGAAAATAAGAAATCGTAACGACCAAGAAATGGGAAATTATAGAATTAAATCGCCATATTATAAAACCACAATAAATTCTGGGTTATTGTCTGGTAGGCCGAACGCTCTTTCGTTTCTTTGCAACTACTTAAAAATTTGTAGATTGTCAAAAAGCTTCCCTTGAAGTATCGCGGAATATAAAAAATATTGGGTAAACTATATTTTCCCCCAGAATCATGTTCATTTTATTCCCAGAGAGGGGGACTAGCCGCAATGGCTCAGGGAGTAAAACGTTGGCTTGCTAACCTGGAGGTCTCGGGCTCGCTCCCAGTATTGACTGAGGAAGTTCATCAGGATTTCCCCTTGTCAGAAGTGCAGAATGGAGGGCCTGGCAAGGGACATTATTTGGATGGGACGAAAAACCGAGGCGTAGTGTACACATTGATAACCATGTTAAAGAACCCTTGACAGTTGGAATTTGATATAAGAGTAGGCTGTAGTGCCGCTGCAAATTTTCCCTCATAGTACACCATATCTCATAGACCTACCTTCATTAGCCCAGTCGGAGTAGGACATTTAACCCCATTTCATTTCCCAGAGGAAAGAGCGTACAGACAGAATGGAAGAGTTTCCCAGAATGCATCTATTGTAGTGAATGTTGTACAGTTTTATTGATAACTTACATACCAAACCCCTATACCCTAATGCCTTTAAAGACTGGATATTCTTTATAAATACTGTATTCTCAAGTCTTTTTGTATGTCAAATTCTTTCTCCTGTCGCTCTCTATTTACTCGAAATGTACTTTTTTGGTCAGAAAATATTGATTAACTCTTAACAATTGCCACAAGCCTTATGCACGTAATTTGGTCACATTTTCAATTAGAATACATTTGCGTATGTATGGTTGTTTCTGAAAAAAAAAAGAATCTCCTCGTATATTCCTATTGATAATGGTAGAGGTAGGAGTTTTCAATATTTTCTTAAGGCCTAACGTAACACACCTTGATTTATTTATCTGTGACACTCTGTCTACTGATTTATCGGCACCGAAGTTTCGATTGGCCATTGTATGTCGTATACAAGAATTCCCTACCCTGTTAAGGTTGCAATGATGTTTATTAAAAATCACCCACATAATGAGTCGTTTATACAAAGCAATTAGAGTGGCATCCATCAAACCATCTCCACAATCAAAGCGTGTATTTCTAAATATATCTATGCCACCGAGGCGGTTTGCTGATGAGGGAATGATCTGCCAGCAGCAGAAGTGCAACAGATGATAGGTCGAGAGCAGTCCTATCACAGACCATTGCTTATTAGTCGGGTAAAGAAGATGGCTTACAAATAACTCTAGGTGTGTATAGACAGGCCCATTTCTCTCCAAAAATCTCATTTATACACAAAAAGTACTAACTATTAATGAGGAGATGTTGATATTTCATTTGGAACAAAAGCTCAAAAGATAGAAGAAAAAAAAAACCTTGTAAGGAAACTATTTTGTAAAGTATTTATTTTCTAATTGTTTAGATATCTATATATGGTAATTGTATGATGATAACTTATTTTATAATTTTGACTCTGATGCTGTAAGATGTTGGTGGATGAATAATGTATGATGATAAACTCATTTTGGACTCTCATGTTGATAGATGTTCGTAGATTAAATATGTATTAGTTCATATGACTAGATTATAAAGTCATCCTTAGTAGCATATGGTTTACCTGTAGATCACTTATACGTTATTTTCTTTTCAAACCTCAAAAGTAGGGTGGATCTGGTCCGGATTTCAATCCTGGTGTTAGCTGAGCAGGTTCCTCAGGACTGTGCAGGACGGAGGACATGGCAAAGATCAGCATATAGTCGTAAGGATGGGATGAAAAACTGTATCCTATAAACCCCACGTTTCTTGAATACAGAGTGCAAATACTCCATTTCCTAAATTAATTGTCAACCAAAATCGCGTTCGTTTACAGAAAGCAATGCTATGGAGAGAGTTGCATGTTTTACTGCATAAATTTTTAGAACTTCCAAATTAAAAATGCAAATTTTACTTTTAATATGGTTGTAGGCCGTTGAATGATGAATTCTTATTACAGTATACCCAACGACATAAATTAATAAATAACGTAAATGTGAAATACTTGTATATTACCCAGAATGGCAATGTATATGTATCTAACCATTACTGTTTTACATCATGATGTCAGTTTTAATTTCTGTCTTAAATCTTTAGAATTATAAACTGATTTTAATCACAAAACTTACTAGGTACAATATTATTCTGTTAACACTAAGAGTTTCTTTGTACGTGGTTAATCATCATTATCCCGGTTGGTGAGATGTTAAACCCCATTTCATTTGTACCTGGTTAAGTGATTTTAGTCATTGTGGATACACCACTTAGCCATTAGAATTTCTATATGATGAACTCCTGTCGAAAATGCTATTATCTCCATTTCAGATTTTTCCACAAAAGGAAATACAAAAGAATGTCAATATTTTTAAAACAAACTTTTCTTGACAACTCATTTTCATCTATCTGAGATATATGCAAAGAATAATTAAATATGTTTTTTTGAAAATATCGACAATCTGAATCGCACTAACTGTGTTTTAAAAAAGAGCTGTTAATATTATTGTTTTGTTTTGATAAATCAGTGTAAATGTTAACATCAGTGAAAGAGCTGGGCCCTGTTTCTCGAAATCTCAACTAAAGATAAAATCCAAATTTTAGTAGATACTTCAATTTTGATTGGCTAAGCACCAAAATCAATCTAATATTATCCAATCAAATTACTAAAATTTGGATTTTATCTTAGTTAAAATTTCGTGAAATAGGACCCTGGTTTTTCAGCTTGTCAGTTTATTACCACATTTGTATTATTAGTAAGTTACTAACTGTTTATGGTCAGTTCAATGCAATATTTAAATGGCAAGAACAAATTTGTGATTGTGGGTTTGTAGCTATATTGGGGTACAAATAAATTTATAACTACAGGATCTCGTAATTTTATGATTAAAGGTATTTGAAATAGATTAAAATGGCAGTTTTAGTAATATTGTGGAATTATTAAAACATATTTTCTGAAGAAAGATCAAATGATATGTTGACTTGTGAAAAAACCTGAAATGGCATTTAATATTAAGACAAACTAGGTCCTTCTGGGACTAATTTTAATTAGCATTTGCATTCAGATCTTTAGCAATTGGAGAAAACCTACAAGGTTCTATCTTGCAATTAAGTTCACTGCTGGCATAGAGACCATTGATCTGTAGCGTTAAACAATATGAAAAGTTGAATATTTTCTGAAACATGAAATTTATGAACTGATTTCAAGCCTTAAAAAAGTTATTAAAAATTAAATTTTATTTTGTGGCTAAATAAAATTTGGGTGTGACATTAAATAGCATCAATTAGAAATATGTTTGGCTTCTAAGTCTGAAAAGTTATGTTCAGTTAATGATTTGTTAGCCCCTACTCTGTGATATTCATATGTGACATTGATTCCAGTTGTATTTCTGATATCAGATTATTTCTTCAGTGAAAATGTCATTTAAAGAGATACTGAGCCATTCTCAGAAATCAATTGTCCATTGCTAATATGTAGACTGTGGGAGTTTGATAGTGAAAATTTTGTTTATGTACAGAAGAAAATGTAATTTGGCTTCCAGTTGATAAAATGAAGTGTAAGCACTAATACTTGTATCAATTTGGATACAGTCAAGTATCACCGATGGCCCAATTCACAAAAACTTAATCTCAAATATTTTAAGGATGCAAACATTTCATTGGTTGAAAGTTAAAATCCTTGTACAAATTTCAGTTCTTAGCTATTGAGTGGTCGGAATCCGTAAAATATTTTAGTTTAAGTGATTGTGATTGTGAATAGGACACCGGATACCTAGAGTCAACTGTTAGCAAGAAATAATGGATTACTGAAACAATAACCTACAATGTATATTTATTTCATGTTAGCCTCCTGTATCTTAATTCACAGTGTTTCGTTTCTTTATTCATGTTAGTATTATATAACATCATTTACCTGGCATCCATCTTGTTCTTCACCTTTGTCCATTACTAAATTAGCTACCCTTGGGGATGGATTGGGGTAGTAATTGATTGACTGTCGACCCGAAGTACTACTACCGGTACTAGGGTTCTTGCTAGTCTTTCAATGAAACCCTTCTTTTTTTTTCTTTCAAAAATTAAGTGAATTTATGAATTAATTTTTGAATGTTTGAGCATAAATTTAACTGTATTTATTTTTTTCATAAGTATCTAATTTTATGGAAAGTAAATTTACAAATTCCTAACCAGTCTTAGACAAGCAAATGTTATGTTACAGTTATAACTCAATCCTTACCAAGGGCAGGTAGCATTAGCAATGTACAACAAGGTAAGGTCAAAGATGCCTTGTAGTTTATCTAACTTTTAGTTATCAACAATGAAAGAGTCTTACAAACATCCTATTCTTTTTATGGAGGCAAGTTTAGTCTGAATGATGTTAACACTATTATATATATTTAGTCTACTCTGTGTACTATTATCAACATCAGATCCATTCATTCATTTCAAATTATCTATAATCATCTGAGGTTTACTTATAACTTTTAGGGTATATTCAATCTGTTTCTTTATCTTTGTATTATTTGGTATCATCTTTTTCCAAAGTAAAAAATCTTTCTGCTAAATTTTCTATTGAGAAGAAATATTTAAAGAGAAATTTAAAGAATAAAATTTTAACTTTTCCATCAAGAAGAAATTTGAGTTTCAGCCAAATGTGTGTTTTTTGGGGTTTTTTTAAATACCATTTTGGTTATTGTTTTGCTTGCTTCTGTGTTTTTATTTGTCCTTACTTGCAGCTCTATTCCAATCGCACTTGATTGAGGTGTGTACATTTTGTCCCTCACCTTGCCTCCCTAAATAGAGTTGGTGCTAAGCATGAATGGTCCTGTCTGTGAAAAGATCAAATATGGGGCTGGAAGGTGAAATAATTGACCAGGTGAAAAATTATTGGTTGAAAATCATTTCAGAAACATTTATTACTTTGAGCATCATGGTAGAAAACATACACATTTGAATCATTTGAAACTTGCCGATTTTCAGGGCCGCATATATAAAAATATATATATATACCTTTCATGTAGATGTACATATTCATGATGAATCAAAAATTCATGTCTGAATGCCTGCTGCCATGAGCTTGGTGCTGCTGTGGTTTCATTTATTTCAGTTTGATGAATGAATAATGAGATATGCGTTGAATATATAGCTGTAGCCATGTTAGCGTATAGTATATATGTAGGTGTTTATAATGATTTTACTACTGTTAATGTATCTGTGATTATGAAAACAACAGCAGTATAAGACCTAGTCAAAGTGTAATATCTTAAGTTTTTATATGTATGCCATAAAAGGTCTGATTTCTTATCAATGGATTAACAATAATCTCCATCCTGCCTTATTTACGAAAACTTGCAACGAAAATATTTTAATAATGCAACATTTGTGAGCAAATCAGTCATTATTTAAATATTTTAGTTTTAATTTTCTGTGATAAAAGGTCCCTTTCACAAAACACACAGATGACTTGCGTAGGGTTAAATCTCACACTTTCTTTTGAACACAAGTGTGCATAACATTTTGTGTGTTTGGTAAAATGGACCCCTGGTCGTTGGGGTAAAATACAGCAGTCATCATTGTATAAATCGTTAACTGTAATTGCAGTATTTTAGCCCCAGGTTGTCAGTCTGTTGTTAGGAAATTGACTTTTATTAAGATACATGTTGATAATGTACAGTTCAAGTGTCATTATATGTAAGCATCTTTTGTTTAATTTAAGCCTTTCATACACATCTTTCATAATCGTATAGTTTATCCCCGCCACATCATACAAAGCAATGAGGCTTGGATATGTAATAAAATATCCATCTTTAGATAGAATCTAACATTAATTATAAGATGTAGAAGTATCTTTCAAATGCATCTTGGCTGTTACTTTGTCCTCCTACTATCCTTAGTTACCTTAGGTAAACGGGTCTATAAGTATAAGTGTCACTGTACTGGGAAATCAAGACTCTTGTACTACTACACGGAGCAATAGACCTGTATATAGACCCATGTTTTTTTTTATACAAGTCTATATTACTGGGAGGTCAAGTTTTGGGTACTTCATTTCAGATCAAGACATTTATTTTATAAAAGACCCATGTTTTCTTAAGAGTAGCTAACCTTAGTAATGGACAGAGAGTGGTAAATTCAAGGTGCTTTCTTTGTTGATTGTAAATTGCTTTTCTTTCTTTTCTTGTCTTTTATTTATCATATTTCCTTATTCTTTGTACATGTATTTATTTAAACTGCAATAATATGAATTTATTTTATCTACATATCATTAAAACAATCATGGTTGAAACTTGATAGCACAGTCTTGGTGGTCTCTATCGGGCCTGGTCTCATAGTAAATATGTAGTTCCCCCGACCCTTGTCTGGTTAGCTTATTATTATAGAAAATACTTTATATTTTAGGGGATGCTGGAAGTCCTCGATAGTGGGATAAATAGTGTTATTTATGAGGATTATACACTTACGGTATTATAATTATCACCTTGATCAGTCATACCACCAATAGCCGTAAATATTTGGTCATTTTGACTTAAAGGGCTATAAAATGGTCGAAATCAAAATGACATCTCCGTCGCAGATACCATATAGCCAATCAATAATTCACATTTTAAAATAAAATTATCTTGTCTCAATTTTTTTTGTTTTATTGAAAAATATAGTAATATTATTCTTATTTGTGAATGATAGCATAGAATGTTTTTGTATAGGGCAGGGGAGATTACTCTTACTATAGTAAAATGTATTGTTATGTTTTCATATACAGTGGTTGTAAAAATATTTCTGACCTTCATTCTCCAGTAGAAATATGGGCTACATTTGAGAATCTCTCCACCATATATATTGCCCACATGACTCATCTGAAGATATTGGCATCTGGGTGATAGAAATTTGGTGGTCTGATTCCGAAATAGCCTTTGTTCATTATATGTGATATCAACTAGGCCTCCTCTCAGTGTAAGTAAAGATATAAGTATTGTTCAATCCCCTCCTCCAGAAGAAAAATAAAATACCAGCATGGTTTCTGACATGAGTAAATTTTAGTATAAAAAAGTATAGCAATGAACAATTGACTGATTAAAATGTATAAATTACCTACTCGCTGTGTTTTAGTTTTATTTATTTGGGGACGGATCTGGTAGTCAAGTAGTCAATGACTTGAATTTTTGCGTGGGCCAAGAAGAACCTGCATGATTTTTTAATCCCAGCCTTCATTTGTCAGGTGTGGAGCCTGCAGGGCTAACAAGAAAAGCGTGCCAAGTCATCCAAATAAGAAAAGCCATTACAGTTTGAAATTGAAGAAAAATAGACTTAAAATGTGGCTATCAAGACAAAATTATCCTACTCACCATAGAAATAAAAACTACTGTATGACCAAAGTATTGCTTTGATAAGACTTTTAACCATATTCTATTTATTATGAATCAAGAGTCAAGAGATTCGTTACGATTTCTAATGAAAGTATTGGACAAACTTATGTCTGCTACTGTTCAGGGATAGCAGATGGAACCCGTAACCAGTTGTTTGGGTTCATGTACAGATTGCTAAATATCCCATGACAGAGTATGCACCCCCCCCCCCCTCTCAGACAAAATTGACTCTCACCCCCATACTGCCAATGACCACAGAAATAAACATTACCCCAAATTTCGAAGCCCAGCCAAGGTTGAATTTTCCTCATGTTTGGAATGTGTTAAACAAATATTATATAAAAATTAATCTGAATACATTATATTTATCTTGACAAAAGTACTTTATTTATACAACACAAAATGGAATTTTGGAGAGATGCACCAACATATCTGAATTATATATATATATATATATATATATACTAGATATTAACAAAACAAAAACAGAAATTCCTAATAACCGTATCAACATAATATATATATATATATTAATTATATCACATCATCAATTAAGTCTATATTAACCTTTCAGCGTTTAAGACCTCCTGAAATCGTCATTTCACATGCATAGCTGTGACGTACACAAAATGGTCCTAATCTATTCACATATCACGGTCCGTCTAAAGAACAGCAGTTTTATACTTCACTTTTCTCTTTAAGTCAATATTTACATATACCAAAGGTTAGGACAATTTTGATCAGAAAAAAAATGATATCGGCTTCATAATGTCAAATTATACCAATATACATGTATCGTTAATATCACATTATGAAATTAAGTCGATATTAAAGGTAAATCTGCCTATTGCAGGTCTTTATTTTGGTGTCAAATATATAAATTATTATTTAGACATTTGTTCATATGACAAGCCCATAATAAACTCTCGAGACCACTGGATGGTGGAGATATAAACAGATTGAAACATGGTTTCCATTAATGATTTAATTAAAAAATGGTGAATAAAGGTCGAAACTTGATTAACCTGTAGTGTCGCTACGATAATAAACAATCTATGCCACATCTTGTCAAAACTTCAAACCGTGATAACTTTGCTCAAAATAAAGTTATTTTAAATATTTTAATTTTGCATTATCTATTTTGGAACTATTATAGCTAGAACTAAACTTATGTAATGCATCTTTAAGTGATTTTTGATGAGAAAAAATGATGTCAGCTTCACAATGTCAAGTTATACCAACATACATCTGACATGGGGGGGGTTGGATGGCCGAATGGTTAGCACGCATGCTGTATCATAAGGTCTGTCATTGAGTCAACTGGCATGGTTTTGATTCCCTGGTTGTAAGTGACAAGGAGTAGAGTCGCCATCTGATGATCTAGAGAGTTGATTATGGGGTTGTCATATAAATACCTTAATCAGAATTTATATACTACATAAAAGGTCGGCGATAGTCAAATTTAGCCCTCGTATTACCCCTCTTTAATAGAAGTATTAAGTAGAAATCAAATTATCGTTGCTGATGTTAATCAAAGAAGGAATTCAATGATCAATGTTAATGATAAAAGTAGAAATTTCATGATCAATGATGACATTTTTTTTTTTATTGTGACCAATATTAAAATATAAGTAATGTAGAAGGTACAAAATATATTACAGAGGTTAGAACACTGACTAAGGACGAATCCACTCAAAAATACGAGAAGTAAAGGGTATACCAGTTCATGAACTAAATACCAGCAGATTATTCAACAATCACAACACTAATACTTCATTACTGGGAAATGTTGTCTGTAAGAAAAGGGCTGTTCGTGCATACTATGGTCGATTCCAAAAGATGTAGCCACCCTTAAAAAAATTTAACTGCAATATTTTGAATAAATTATATGAATAGTGATGTTGACAAAATATATTGTGGGGGTAATCTACAAATTGTTATGGGTCAGCTATTAGATAATGATGTTAATTGATATAATTAAAAATAAATCTCATTAATGAGTTATGTAACATGGTAAATAAACTTCAAGTGACGATAATAATTGATCCTATTCTCTAAGGAAAAACTGCCACAAATTCATAAACACTGTTTCAAGACCTGCAGCACAAGTAAAAACATGAGATGATATGTGCTGATGTAACTAAAAATAGGCCATTAAAATAATTTATGACATACATAAGTCATAAACAGGTCCTGTCTTCATTAGCCTAGTCGGAGCAGAAAAGTAGGATGTTAAACTCCATTTCATTTCATTTTATTTCATATACAGGTCACAATTCTAGAGAAGCCTAGTCGAAACATCGCTCAGTAATAAGCAGTAATTGTATTTCATAGAATTGTGTGCTATGTATTTGATTATGACAACAGAATGACGACAGAATGGCAGTCGAAACGTCGCTCAGTAATAAGCAGTAATTGTATTTCATAGAATTTTGTGCTATGTATTTGATTATGACTACAGAATGACGACAGAATGGCAGTCGAAACGTCGCTCAGTAATAAACAGTAATTGTATTTCATAGAATTGTGTGCTATGTATTTGATTATGACTACAGAATGACGACAGAATGGCAGTAGAAACATCGCTCAGTAATAAACAGTAATTGTATTTCATAGAATTGTGTGCTATGTATTTGATTATGACTACAGAATGACGACAGAATGGCAGTCGAAACGTCGCTCAGTAATAAACAGTAATTGTATTCCATAGAATTGTGACCATTCTGAACATCTGATCTACACAGGTCATGACATTGACGTCAATGGGTCATGAGGTCAACAACATGTTAAATTGTAAACAATAGGTTTATTTTCAGCATTGTTTCCTTTGCACCCATAAAGACTATATAATTCGTCCAGTCCCAACATGTTCTCTCTTCTTCCAATGATTTTTCACAAAAATAACATCTACAACTCATAGAATTGACGTCGTTCATAGGTTCATAGAGGCTGCCATCTTGGCACTATTTTGTGCGTCTGTTGTGTCTTTTTCAGATATACACCATCAATTCTGTTGATGTTTTTAGCGTTGGGATTCACTAATAGTTAATTTATTTCAGTTCTAAAACAAATATTTTAAACTTTAACGCAAGTTTAGAAAATAGCCAAATTCTGGCTGGAATTACTGAGCAAAATGGCCATTCACTGTATACGTGCGAAAAAAAAGCTAGACACCAATTAATTTTCATACGTTCGTTACGTACGAATTGTGACCTGTATATTAAATATCTAACACTAACAGAGAAAGAAATGAAAACTTGGATTAGTTAAATATCATGCTTAGTCAAAACGTCACTCAGTAACTGTATTCCATAGAATTGTGACCTGTATATCCCAGTTCAATTACCAAATGCCATTGAAACAATTTATATAAGTCATGCATTAAATTCATATCAAGACTTTAAATTATATAATTTTCAAAGAATGCGATTTTAGTTTAACAATTATAACATACAAACAAATATTGCACCAATACCTCTGAGATTCTGCAGCAGGGTGGCAGAAAGATATGATTATCATCTATACAATGTGAGTTTAATCCCATGGTTGTTGACGACAAGTAGGAGAAAATGTTGTGTTGATTTGTACGATGTAAATCAGATAATAATTTAAACATACATTATGCAAGAGGTAAATCTGTCTATTGCAGGTCTTTCTTTAGGCCTGAAATGTTATCTAAATTATTAATTAGACATTAATTAACCTATCCAGACCATAATCAACTCTTGATGGCATCGCTAGCCTGTGATCTTTAGTGGATTATGAGCTGATTTACTGCATAACTTTCCTTCGCGATTTAATGATTAAATGGATAATCGAGACTATGCTGTTTATCATACTAACTTTAGTAATGATGATCGAGGCTAGGCGGAAATTTCAATCGCTTAATTCTCGGCTCATAGTAGATCAATTTGAATGAAATTTTCAGCAAATTGCCTTAACATTATCTAGTTTTTAACTATTATAGTTAGAACTGCCAACTCGTTATCTAATCTCCCATAATGTATCTTTAAGAAAAGAACAAACACAATCGATACATAGAGTATTGTAGAGGATGATCTTTCTTCGGTTGTTAATAATAGATATTAGCCTATGAAGGTTTGACAAGATGTGTGCATTGATTGTATAACCACTGTACTGGTTGTTCAAAGCTCAGCCTCACTTCTTTATTTTTAGACTAAATCATTAAATGACTGAACGGTTCTAATCTACTTAATATCGGAGATATCTGAAGGCATCAAGAGTTGATTATGGTCTGGATACGTTAATTAATGTCGAATTAATAGTTATATAACATTTAAGGCCTAAAGAAAGACCTGCAATAGGCAGATTTAGCTCTTGCATAATGCCTATTTAAGCCAACTCCTATTCATTTCAAATACACTCAGTAAATGACAGAAATCTTCTATTTTAATACACAGTAGTGATTGCAACTAACATCAACAATATCTATCTTGTAGCACTTCCAAATCATAAAACAAAATTGATTGATCAAGGTCAATCAGCAATAATGTACACGTATTCTCTAGATTTGATTGATCAAAGTCAATCAGTAATGATGTACAGTATTCTTTAGTCTTAAAAATTAAAAAGTTTTAACAATAACAACTATAATTTATTAATTGAGGATATAAATTAATACTAATATGATCGACATCCTTCGATGGCATTCCAATTGATTCCATTAAAAAAAGGATGTGATTTTATAGCTTCTACTCCATCTAAACTGGATCCAAGTCTTTCTTTAGCACTATAACATAATAACTGAAAAGAAAAATCCAACATATAAAGATAAGTTATAACTTAATTATTTGGTATAGCTTCATGATCGAGATTCGACACATACAAAGAAGGGCATACATGTACACTATGAGGGAATTCCTGATAAAGGGAAACTATGCTGAAAAATCCCAGAAATTTTCTTGATCAACAATGGGACTGAACCCGAATCCACCTGGTTAGTGGGCCAGGGACATACTCAACGATCTATTGTTACCAAAAGGTTTTATATTCAGTCCTCATATTGATCGAATGCTTGTGCAATTGAATAATAACTAAAACCATGGTTACCAGAGCCATGTCTTCATTAGCCCAGTTGACTGAGCAAAGCAAGACGTTAAAACCCCATTTCATTTCTTATTTTGTAATTGGGTTCTGTTCCATTCGCGTTTGGGTTGATTGTTTGTTTATAACAAAAAGAATGACAACACATGTGTTGGATTCATTCATGCTGGAACTATATTCTTCAAGCGCATAAATACATTTATGTTTAGTAACAGGTGAAACCCTCTATTAAAGGTATAAAACAACCAATATTCTGCCAGGTACATGTACCAGACAATGCAAGGTAAAATCAATTTATTTTATGACTCAAGGAAGGTAAGAACATTATAATATAAATGGTGGACTGACCTCCTGTAAAAGACCTTGAGCTTCTGGTGATACATGTGAAGGAATGTATAGCTGGGTATGAGAGTTAATTCCCCCTGGATGACACATTAATAATGTCTGAAAAATAATACATAATAACAGTAAAAAATAATACATAATAATGTTAAGATAATTTAACTAATTGGTTTTCATTTTCTGGAAAATATCAAATTCCTCAAGGCTTATTATCCATGCTAATATGTACCCAGATTGATTATTTAAAACTAAATTAAAAGATGGGTTGCCAGGCAACGAAACATACGCCCACAGCAACTAAATCGTCCGGGCAGTCAACAAGGGTTGTCGCATATTTTTACTTTTTTCAGTAATGAAACATTTATAATACACTAAAATCTGATTAAGAGCAACAACTCACGAAGTAATTATCAGAAAACTATTAGAATTTGTTTGGTTTTTCTAAAGTTCTGCCCCATGCTAACGTTTTGTATGCAAAGCTTTTAATATCATGGATTTAACTGTTTAAGTCATAAAAATTCATTGAAAATCAATATACTTGTTCGTCTCAAGATCTTAAACTCTGTGTATCAATCTGAAGTCAATCGGATTATAACTTTAGCCTTTAGAGCATCACAAGATTTTGCAAAGTGATCAAGGGCCATAACTTTGGCAGTAATTATCAGAAATCGTTGAAAATCAATAGGAATCTTCGTCTCATGACCTCAAACACTGTGTATAAATTTAAACTCAATCGGATATTAACTTTAGCATCTAGAGCATCCACAAGATTCTTTGAAGTGATCAAGGGCCATAACTCTGGCAGTAATTATCGGAAATCGCTGAAAATCAATAGGTTTCTTCGTCTCATGACCTTAAACACTGTGTATAAATTGAAAGTCAATCGGATATTAACTTTGGCCTCTAGAGCGTCCACAAGATTTTTCAAAGTGATCAAGGGCCATAACTCTGGCAGCAAATATTGGAAATCGCTGAAAATCAATAGGCTTCTTCGTCTCATGACCTTAAACACTGTGTATAAATTTAAAGTCAATCGAATATTAGCTTTCGCTTCTAGAGCATCCACAAGATTGATTGAAGTGATCAGGGGCCATAACTCTGGCAGTAATTATCAGAAATCGCTGAAAACCAATAGGCTTCATCATCTTATGACCTTAAACACTGTGTATAAATTTAATGTCAATCGGATGTTAACTTTAGCCTCTAGAGCATCCACAAGATTTTTTGAAGTGATCAAGGGCCATAACTCTGGCAGTAATTATCGGAAATCGTTGAGAATCAATAGGTTTCTTCGTCTCATGACAATAAACATTGTGTATAAATTTAAAGTCAATCGGATATTAACTTTGGCCATTAGAGCATCCACAAGATTTTTTGAAGTGATCAAGGGCCATAACTCTGGCAGTAATTATCGGAAATCGCTGAAAATCAAAAGGATTCTTCGTCTCATGACCTTAAATACTGTGTATAAATTGAAAGTCAATCGGATATTAACTTTGGCCTGTAGAGCGTCCACAAGATTTTTTGAAGTGATCAAGGGCCATAACTCTGGCAGTAATTATCGGAAACTGTTGAATATCAATAGGCTTCTTCGTCTCATGACCTCAAACACTGTGTATAAATTTAAGGTCAATTGGATATTAACTTTGGCCTCTAGAGCGTCCACAAGATTTTTCAAAGTGATCAAGGGCCATAACTCTGGCAGTAATTATCGGAAAGGCTTCTTCGTCTCAAGACCTTAAACACTGTGTATAAATTTAAAGTCAATCAGATATTAACTTTAGCCTCTAGAGCGTCCACAAGCAATTGTGGACGCCGGACCAACAGACCGCCGGACGGACGGACGGGGGCGACGACAATATACGACCACATTTCAATGTGGGCGTATAAAAATCAAAATACCAATGCTAGGTAATCTCCCGGTTTGGGTTCTATCGGATTATAAACAGGCCTATCAATTTGGTTAACAGCAAATAGTTTGTATAATAACTTAACTAAATGATAATTATCTCCCCGACTAATAGTTTGCATAATAACATAACTAAATAATTACCTGGCCGACTAATAGTGCATATAATAATTACCTGGCCGACTAATAGTTCATATAATAACATAACTAAATGATAATTACCTGCCCGACTAATAGTTCGTATAATAAGGCACCTAAACTCCACCAATCACAAGTTTCATCAAAACCATTCACCGATAGCACTTCTATACAAACAACATAATAAAATTGACTTAAAAAACTATTATAAACTTCGACTAAACTAAAATAAACATAATCAACCAGAAAACTTTTCAGTTTGAAATTATTGCGAAATGGCTTGATTGTTGATGCCTTTTTCAAAATAATATAAATAGGATCATTACTGTGCCTTCATTTCACAATTTCCAGCCCTAAATTGTTTTTTTGTAAGTAAAATAATGAATAATGTACTGTGTGCAACATATAATTGATGAATACAGCATAATAATTTACCTTGTTGAATACAGTACAATAGTTTACCTGGTTGAATACAGTATAATAATTTACCTTGTTGAATACAGTATAATAATACATTTACCTGGTGCAACATATAATTAATGAATACAGTACAATAACATACCTTGTTGAATACGGTATAATAATTTACCTTGTTGAATACAGTATAATGATTTACCTGGTGAAACAGATTATAATTGTTGAATACAGTATAATGATTTACCTGGTGCAACATATAATTGTTGAGCAGCTAGTGGGTTAATTACTTCATCTACCTGAGGTAATCTAGAGAAATATGTTAACATCACATGACCATGATCTCCTAGTAATATATTATCAGGATTTAAATCTCTGAAATAACAAAAATATTCAAATCCATCATAACATTTTTATGTCATTTTCCAGGAATTTACCATAAATCTAATTAAATTAGATTACTATATTGTTTCATGGGGGTGTTGGGTTGTCGAGTGGTCTAATGCCTGAACTTTAGATCATAAGAGAGAGAGAGAGAGAGAGAAATCGGGTTTAACATCCACGCCACACAAACTAGGTCATTTCGGAACTAACATATGGTTCAACTTTATTTCAATAATTTGCTTGTGTGTAGGGGTCTTTAGCAGTGGGAGGAAACCGTAGGACCCGACCCTACTCCTTGTCACGTACAACCGGGGAAATAAAATCACACCAGTTGACTCAATGACAAACCTTATGATACAGCGCGCATGTGCTAACCATTCGGCCATCCAACAGTGGGAGGAAACCGGAGAAAACCCATGAGGTTGGACAGGCAATCCTTGTAACGTACAACCAGGGAATCAAAACCACACCAGTTGACTCAATGACAGATCTTATTATACAGCGTGCACATGCTAACCATTCGGCCACCCCCCCCCCTTTAGATCATAAGGTCTGTCATTGAGTTAACTGGCATGGTTTCGAACCCAAGCTTGTATGAGTCAAGGAGTAGGGTCGCCTGTCCAACCCCAAATTTATTAAGTATAAACGACTGTACCTGCAGATTATTCCTACATGATGTAATTTAGAAACGGCTACAACTATTTCTGCTGCCCATTGTCTAATACACGATTCTAATAATCTCACTTGTTCCGGTTCCACAGAATCTAACTGATCAAATAAATTAGACACAGCTCGCGCACGATTTTTCGTAGGAGATTTCAAATCACATTCAAATGATGCAGAACGAGTTAAAGTTTTAGAATTTAGACGACTTAATGTTCGTTTTCTTCCCTGTTGAAGACTCGTACTCGTTGATGTCTCTTTCACAGATTTTTCGGCACCTTTATCTACATTAATATTGCAATCTTTAATTTGAAGAGATAATTCAGATGGTGATGTAAGTTTCTGATCGCTCGATTCACTTTCATCCAAATTATCACAGTCTACATTAAGTCCACTTAATTGCCGTTTTGGATCTTTGCTTTTCGTCTCAGAAGTCACCTGCTGATCTAAAACTAAATGTTTTGAATCGAATTCACTCGTATCACTAGTACTGTCGTCTGACGGTTTATGTAAATCGTAAATGCTCGGTTCATCAGAATCGTGGGATATATTCGCAGCTTTTTCAGGGGGAGATAAGCTAATAGACCGTCTGTCAGATTGTTCTAAATGTCCAGAATCCGATAAAACTCTGTCCACAGATTTTATTAAAGCTTTCGATGATCGGATGATTTCACTGGCATCCGAATTATTAGAATTGTTGGAGTCCTCATTCTCCAATTTCTCTGAATCAAAAACGTCATCTAAAACATCAGCAGTGCTTGGATCCAGACCAGGTGAATTGTTCATGGCTGACTTTTCTTCCAAGGGAGATGACTCTTCCGGTATACTGTTGATATGCTCAGATGTACCACTGGTGTTGCTATCCATGCGCTGATACATATCGCTACTACTATCAAAACTATTAATCGTAAAATTTTGAATCGATGGCTTATTATTCCCTAACACCTCTTCAAAATGATCGTCATGGCTAATGCTTTTCGAGGCTTCAGAAACGGAATCATCAAATGTCAATTCTGCAGACGAAAATGAGGACAGTCTCTTTCTAACAACTCTACTAGAAGTTGATGGATCTGTAGAGCTTTCCTCTGTTAAACTTTCAACTTCAGTCGGACTTTCATCCTTATTTGATAGTTTTGGAATAGAAATCGGATTTTCGCCGGCAGAATCTTCACATTTCATTGTTCCATTTTCTGTTTCACTTAAAACTAAATATTGTTCTGAATTTGTCAGTGTTTTTGTTCTTTCTTCACTTTTAATCATTTCGTCTGATGCATCAGCATTAAGCTTTGAGCCTGTGTAGACATTTTTATATGCAGGGATATCCGTTCCCACGACGCCATCCTCGAACCCACTCGTAGTTCTACTGTGTAAATATGCACCGATATAGTTCCACAATTTACCCCCGGAAGCATACTGCAGTAGCAGATAAACAGCGTTCTCCGTCTCAAAGAATTTAATCAGATTACACATATAAGGACAGGACGTCGGCAGTAGACATGTTTTATTCGACTCTAATTGAGCACTTGATTTATGAACAGTCTGAAAAATAAAGAGAAAAAATGCAGAAACACGAACAAGAAATTTTTAGAATAAATACTATCAAATGAAAATTAGTTTGTTTTTTCCCTTCTATCAAAGCCCCAAAATGTCAGAATATATGTTCAGATTTAATTTAAGACCATACACAATTAAAAGTAGTGTCATTGGGCTCAAAAATTATTCAAATTGATCAATTAAAGGGAAAGACCAACGATTTTCAATAAGGTTTCCATAAATAATAAATATATATTTAGAAATAATCCCTCCTATAACATATGCAAAAAATAATTTGCAAGCGAGAAATTAATTTTTATTAATACCAGAAGTGACGTAATTGGTTCGATACGCTCACTGGTCACTATAGTAAACATACAAATTTGGAGCAAGTTTAGCGCTGTATTTTGTGATCGTTTCGCCGTTTGGCAGAAAATCTGATGAAATGTAATCTTTATTAGGATATTAAGAACAAGAACTTACGGTGTTTTGAAGGTATAATATATAACGCGTTTGTGTAAATTAAGTTTCTAAACTGGACACTGTGACACAATTTAAGCCACATGGCTAATTGTTTACATCACGTGACAGCTGGCACATGACAGATATTAACCGAACACAAATTGGCGACCTATTCGGCTAGTGACCTATTCGACCGATCCAGCTGGCAACCTGTTCGTTGGCAACCTATTCAGAATGAGAGCGCACCCCTTTAATATGATTGTGCCAACTTTTACTAATAATATTTCGAAAGCTTATTTAATCAGCTTTCAGAATATATTTAGTTGGAAATCCAGAATTTTGTAAGATAATGCGAAATTACATCTCTATTCTGAGCTAAAGGAATGGATAAATGATAATATATTCTACTTTCATTTGATAGACGTTACGTTGGATTTTATTGGTTGATAAAAATAGATGAGTTTGGGCGACTGTTGAATTTATTCTGAATAGGTTGCCAACGAACAGGTTGCCAGCTGGATCGGTGGAATAGGTCGCTAGCCGAATAGGTCGCCAATTTGTGTTCGGTTAATATCTGTCACGTGCCAGCTATCACGTGATGTAAACAATTAGCCATGTGGCTTAAATTGTGTCACAGTGTCCAGTTTAGAAACTTAATTTACACAAACGCGTTGTATATTATACCTTGTTCTTAATATCCTAATAAAGATTACCTTTCATCAGATTTTCTGCCAAACGGCGAAACGATCACAAAATACAGTGCTAAACTTACTCCAAATTTGTATGTTTACTATAGTGACCAGTGAGCATGTCGAACCAACTACGTCACTTCCGGTATTAATAAAAATTAATTTCTCGCTTACAAATTATTTTTTGCATATGTTATAGGAGGGATTATTTCTAAATATATATTTATTATTTATGGAAACCTTATTGAAAATCGTTGGTCTTCCCCTTTAAGTTATGGAAATCGGTTTCTTAGATAAATAAAGTATCGATAATAACAATTATGCTATTGGTTGTACCAGCCAACCCACTTAAAAACGAAAGACTGGGCTAATGAAAAAGGGCATGAGGAAAATGGTGTCTGGATTGCGGCACTATAATCAACTCTTATTTCAAATTTCAACTATCAATGGTTCTTTTTCATGCATGCAAATGCATACACAGGACCTCGGTTTTATATCCCATCAGAAAGACTAGACACTAACAAGTGGAAATGAAATGAAATGGGGTTTAATGTCCTACTGTTCTGCTCCTAACCTGGGCTAATGAAGACGGGCATACGCCATACAGTGTGCTATGAGGGAAATTTTGCCCGGGCAGCGGCACTACGGCCTACTCTTATATCGAATTCCAACTGCCAAGGGATCTTTTACGTGCACGCCAATGTGTACACGGGACCTCGGTTTTTCGTCCCATCCGAACGACTAGACAGCTTTCCTTGTCAGCCCCTCCATCCTGCATCACTGACAAGGGAGAACCACGCCGGAAAATCTGGATGAACTTTCTCGGCCAATGCAGGGATCGAACACCCGACCTCCAGGCTAGCGAGCTAGCGTCTTACCCACTTAGCCTTGTGATCCCCCACTAACAAGTGGAAGCTGCACCAGAAAATCCAGAGGCACTTTCTCGGCCAACATTGGTTAGCGAGCCAACGTCTTACTCCATGAGCACCACGGCTCCCCAACCTACCCTGGGTTTATTTATATTTATTACATAATAAAACAGTCTTTACTTTTGAGATTAATGTCATTGATCTGGCTTGTTGTGCAAGATATGTTCTTTTACAGTAATTTTCGAGTGATTAACCCTAAAGTTTTCGATATGAGTTTTTATGCCCACTCTGCAACAGGTCAGCCTCAGCTTGGGGGCTAAATAAAAAAAGGTCTTGTTTCTTTAATTGACAGCCATGGGTAACTGTATCAATTGATAGCCATGGGTAACTGTATAGCCGTGGGTAACTGTATTAATTGATAGCTGTGGGTAACCGTATTAATTGATAGCCGTGGGTAACTGTATCAATTGATAGCCATGGGTAACTGTATAGCCGTGGGTAACTATTAATTGATAGCTGTGGGTAACCGTATTAATTGATAGCCGTGGGTAACTGTATTAATTGATAGCTGTGGGTAACTGTATTAATTGATAGCCGTGGGTAACTGTATTAATTGACAGCCGTGGGTAACTGTATCAATTGATAGCCATGGGTAACTGTATAGCCGTGGGTAACTATTAATTGATAGCTGTGGGTAACCGTATTAATTGATAGCCGTGGGTAACTGTATTAATTGATAGCTGTGGGTAACTGTATTAATTGATAGCCGTGGGTAACTGTATTAATTGATAGCCGTGGGTAACTGTATTAATTGATAGCCGTGGGTAACTGTATTAATTGATAGCCGTGGGTAACTGTATTAATTGATAGCCGTGGGTAACTGTATTAATCGACAGCCGAGGGTAACTGTAATAATTGATAGCTGTGGGTAACTGTATTAATTGATAGAAGTGGGTAGCTGTATTAATTGATAGCCTTGGGTAGCTGTATTAATTGACAGCCGTGGGTAACTGTATCAGTTTTTCTTCTTACCTTAATAACATAGGTTTCATCTAAAAGTTTGTCCATCACTAAAATAACACTATCAATAGTACCTAATACTTTATAGTTTCTTAATTCAGACATGGACCCTCGAATAAAAGCAAATGATGGATCTAATTCTAAGTTTGGTGATATACAACTGCTGGCCTACAAAATATAAACAATAATCATTAGCAATTTCAAGAGAGAAATTAATGTAATCTACATCAACCTTTAACACTTGGTATTAAAGGAAAGTTCAAATTTTTTGCCAGTCATACAGGCCTAAAATTCAACCCCTTTTATTTTTTTTTCTCACAAAATTGCAATCAACAAGACTTTGGTACTTTGAAGAGTACTATATGCATAACAAACAAGTGACAGTAATACATTTGATTGGTTGTGTCATCTAGTAATTGTATCTCATCATATCCTCCATACATTGTGTTCTGATCCCACTTTTCATGGAAGAGTTTCCTCCCCTTTGTTACTTATTGGAGTCCTTTGGAGTTATCTCCCATTAAGTAATCTTTGGACTTGATAACTAAAGAGAGAGTGAATAATCATCTCACATGTGGTTTTACATTCATTATATCTTAAAGCATGCCATCCATTTTTAACCAGAGAACTACCCCACACAGAGCAGTGGCTATGTTTTAATGTGCCCAATTGCTAAATGAGACTTGCAGGATTGTAAGGATGCAAATATTTAGACCTGTCAGAATCGTTGCTTGCATTCATTAGATTCTGAGATTCTTTCAAATTTCCAGCTTGCCTAAATAAAAGAATTAAACTAAACTTACAGCCCATCTAAAATCATCTAAACTTTCTTTAGCTAAATAATTACTATAAAGTTCTTCAGCTCTGAGTAAATATTGAGCTGTTTTTCTACGTACAGCATCCTGTCTATATTTGTCTGTATCAGCTTAAAAACAGAAATGAAATAAAATGAAATGGGGTTTAACATCCTACTGTCCTGCTCCGAGTGGGCTAATGAAGACGGACATATGCCATACAGTGTGCTATGAGTGAAATTTTGCAGACTGCAGTGCTATGGCCTACAATACTCATATCGAATTACAACTGCCAAGGGATCTTTTACAGATGGAATTCGATATAAGAGTAGACCATAGCGCCAAAATAGAATTTATTTCAAAATTAGAGCCAAATATATGGTTTTAAGGGAGACGTGCAAGTGCTCGGTGAGTATGACATTCGCTCACTAGGTTCAATCTCAATCTCGGAGTAAGTGTGGAAAGTTGACAGTGGTGCAAGATGTGGGGGGTGGGGTAACATTCTTATGAGACGAAAAGTTCCCATATATACTATTGCCAGCATGCTAGTGATCACCTCACAACTGAAAATCGAAAAATAAGACCAGACCAGAATGTGTCTCATAGAAGATTGTATGACATATGCCTGTCTTCATTAGATTTGGTGCATAAAAGCAAAACGTTAAACCACATTTTATTTCTTTGGGTTTAAATAATGTTTATACCTTAAAACAAGAAAATACCCACTAATTTCTCATATTATAATTTCCAATAACAGAACACAATTTTTATGGGAAAATTTCCAATAGATACTGTCACAAATGCATTATTTAAACAAATTTGTGTCGAAAGAGGGCCATATCATGCTTGTTTTATTAAGTTATACACTCATTCAAAATTATTTTTCATGTTTTTCATATTGTTTTGCATAATGTTTTTCATTAGTTTTGCATTTTCACTTTAAATAATTGACCATCTGCTTTTCTGATTTTGATAAAGAATATAATACTCTTACCTTGGACACCTTGTATTAACACATCAACACCAATCTTATAATAAGCAAACGCCATTTCAAAATTACCATTTACTTCACATTCTTGGGCCATTCCAATCTGACTAGCAGCCACAACTAAATAATCCCCCTTTGTCTGGGTCAACGATGACACACTGGATTGGGTATCTGAACGATTTTTGACAACTGGACTGTGACCTCTCGGAGTGGAGCGACCTGATTTAATTGGTGTTGAGGGTAAACTGGTCACAGAATTAACGCTACTTGACCTTTGACTAGAGTTTGACAGATCAATGTCCCCTTTCCCACACTCAACACTCGACGGAGTTCGACTTCTTAACGGGTCAAATTCCTTTAAATCAATTTCTAGATCACCATGCCCGTGGCTAGAACTATCTAAAAGATTTTCTTTACTCCCACGAAGAGATGATGACTGTGATGTGCTGACAGATGGCAGATCTGAAATTACTCTTAAGATATCGTCATCTCCGTCTATTAGATCACTGACGTCGCATGATTTCATTAAAATAGGATCAAAGACAGACAGTTCTGAATCTTTTAGTGGAGTTCCAAACGCTGAATCTAAATCTGTATCTTCTCCCGTTGAGGAACCCAAACTGATATTGTCAGGTACTTGAGGAAAATTCCATGTTCCTTCTAAAGGTTTAGACCTAGAAATTAAAAGAAGACTTGGTCATCAACATTTCGTGCCCATGTTTTAAAAAGACTAAGACAAATTTAAAAACAAAAATTATTAAATCCTTCATTTGCTTGCACGTTGGAGTCTTTTAACAGTGGGGGGAAACCAAGGACCAGGAGAAAACCCACGAGGTTGGACAGGCAACCCTACTCCTTGTCACGCACAAGCGGGGAATCGATACGATGTACATGTAACTTGACTCAATGACAGACCATATGATGCAATGCGGACGCGTTAATATAACTAAAATGTTATGTTGAATGACATGGGCTATACTTGTCATGTATTTATTTAAACAAACTATAAAACTACCTACTCAACATCTAGTCCATCTTGTCCACTACTGGAACTACACGTAGGTCCTTCACTAACACTACTTGTCGTAGACTTCTCTTCACTCGGAGATCGGACATCTTGTTTGTGTACATCAGTAACAGTTATTGGTACGATATCTGGTGGTTGACCAGTGGCATGTCCATCATCAGATAGTAAGTCTATCTTATGAGGTTTGAGTATAGCACTATCAGTGTAAAATGTAGATGATGGAAGTTTTTTACCTCCCTGAAAGAAAAAACGAAAGAAGAATGAAACAAAAAATTAGATAATCTCCTGACATGGATGATGGGTGATATGGTACGTCAGGCCTGGGGTCTTTCTAATCAGTTGTAATCAGTTTTTATTTAGTCATGTACTTCCATGTAATTAAACATATTTAATGTCGTTGATCCAGATTTTGCATTTATTGGACACAATTTCATTTTTCACAGCTAAATCCACGCTAAAATGTACTCAAAATTGATTATTCAACAATTAAAAATCTCTCAAATGCTGGTCAACAGCTTAAACAACAAAAAACGTATCAAAATTATTTGTTTATGTCCATTTTGTTAAGTATTACCTCTAAAAACTTTTGAAGAACAAGTGAGTTACTCAGGTGAGGTTGTTCGCTGATAAACTTCAATAAACGTAAAGCACTTTGTCTTCTTTCTTCTATTACACTTTCTTCAAATCTTCCTGTAAATATAATCATATTCTGATCACTCGATCGGACCTAAACAATCTAAATTCATTTTGAAAAACACATAGATGTATATTGTGAAATTAGTCACTAATATTCATGGATAAAGACTTTGAAACAATCATCCGAAGATTCTTTTGAGGAAATAACTCTTGATTGTAATTTAGCACTATAGAAGACAATCCCCAATAAAAACAATAAGAAGGATATGTCAGGTTTCTTCTAGCCAAGCTCCCACTTTTCAGGAACATAGAAGATAAAAATGATGTGTTAGTCCCAAAATAACCTAGTAAGACATGTTATGACAAAATGTAAAACCATTTTATTGGATATGAGAATTTTTTTTTTTTTGATAGAATCATTAAATCACATACCAAATAATTTAGGTTTAGCAAATTCTGGAAATTTATCTCTGCGATGTAGAGCTCTATGAAGTGAAAACATTGCCTTGAACAACTGTTTAAAGTCATTGTATCTCTTCCAAATAACAGTCTACAAAATAAATCAGTTGGCATTAATCGTACAAATAAAAAATTACATTAGAAATTATTTATACCATACTTTTAAAGAAATTGACCTAAAAGTTACATCATGAAACTAAAATCCCAACATACCAGAGTAAAGGTTACATATTGAGATTAAGGCCATATACAATGAAAAGTAATTTTATTAAAAAAAAAAAAAAAAAAAAAAATTGGTACCAAGTATGAAAATTATTCAAATCAATCTTTTTTAACTAAAGTTAGGACTCCTTAAGAGAGCTATGTGAGTGTCTCTAAAGTTTGTAAATGGAAGATTTTTTATCCAAAAAGTATTCCAAAAATCATGGTTATGTAAAATGACACGATAAAAACACCTGTATATAAGTATTATAAAATCTTGTCTCAAATACCATCTGGTTAGTACATTTCTACTCTAATGGTTACATTAGAGCAGTAAGATATTACGAGTTACACAGCTGTAACTTCGATATATTTATGACACAATCATGGTAGTATGGTAGTGGTGTACCCTCCATGAAAATGAAAGTAGAACTAGAAAATATTTTTACCTCTGTTAGACTTTCTGGATTACTGACAGGGAATACCTACAAATAGAGAACAAAGAACTTATCAGTATTTCTCATTGTTTATTCCTATATAATAATATGTCGAGTCATCCGTCCTAACAACATGTAGTTTTGGCTGACACTAGTCACTAGTGACAGATAAAAAATTGACTAATGTCAATTAGCATATCTTTCTTTACAGTTATCTTTCCATAGAATAATTGAGAATTATTTACAAATTACAATAGAATTAAATGTTTATTGAACAATATTTAGTACCTTGCATGTTACTCTGTAAATAGTGAAACCACTGGGATGAAGCTGGGGATCTGTCACATCAAAAAACCAAATTTTCTCGGGCCTTAATTTGGATGCCATATTTTTTACCACCGACCTAACAAAACTCTACAATCAGATGCAACATCCAAGAGATTCTTTCAACAATACGAGAAGGAAACATAAAGAACGTTGATTCATTTATTTAGTCTGAGGACAGTTTATGTCACTTCAATTAATTTTGCATCCTCCCAAAACCTCCATCTTGTAAATAGAACATAGATACATCTTTGTGGCCCAATATTCGAATAGTAATATTAGCATTTATTTTGATGCCATTAAGTCTTCTTAATCGATCAATGTTAAACTCACTTTGATCAAATTTATAAATATAAAGTGTACTGTTAATGCCATGTTCATCTGATAAGGATTTTTAATGGAATTGTTATTAAGACAATAAATCAACGAAACCGAATAACTAAAGACGAATATTATATTATTGGACTAACGTCATTTAGCAGGTACCCGTCAAAATTATTTTTTAGTATTAAAGAGTTCCACTTCCGGTTTCTAATTCCTGACGAATGTTTTATGGATGAGAACATAAGTACTAAGTAGTATTAGATATCCCACTCCTTTCCAATATTTCTGATTTTTAATTCAGAATGGGTTTATTAACAATTTTAAAGAAGATGAAGCAAAAAGAAAAAGAAGTTAGATTGTTGATGCTGTATCCTTTTCATGCCAAATACAATAATAATAATAGGGGATTTTTTTATTTATTTTTTTTTTACGATTGCAAGTTACACTAAAGCTATGACACGCAGGGTGCTGTAAAAATGATGGACAATGTATATCTAGGGGGGCTTCGAGAAAAATTTTAAAATAGAACTGCCGGAAACGCTATTTCCTGCACTCTGGGCAGCCTCGTCAATTGTCTTTCTCCCTTTCACACCAAAGAAATCGGTCAATTTTCATGCAAGACCCCTCATTTGAAGAAAAAAATTTGAGCAGAAAACCCCAAAATAGTCCTCTTTGAAGATCTGAAAAAGGTTAAAAATCAAGAAATCTGGATAAAATCTGTAAACACTGCGAATCCGATATCAAATACCGATGATTTTTTTCACATGGGGCGAAATTTTTTATGGTCGACCAATTTTAGTTACGGGCGTGCTACCAATATATTTCATTTCCAACCGTGTGTTTTATTTGACATCCGTATATTTCATTTACTACCCATATATTTCATTTCCAACCGTGTGTTTTATTTGACACCCGTATATTTTATTTACTTCCCATACATTTTATTTCCAACCGCATGGTTTTTATGCCAACCGTATAATTAATTAGTGTTAAATCAGTACTTTATCAAGATTTTAATGTGCTCCCGATAATATCGATCAAATATTCAACGAGTTTTGATTGTGTCTGGAATAAAATGTTCAATAAATTACGTGTTCTTGAAAGGTTTAATATATCAAAATGGCTATTGAATATATTTTTTTGTAAAGTAGCAAACTGTTATGTAAACATACTTTTTTTTTTTATAATATCTAATATAAGGTTATTGTTTATTATATAAAGCCACCAATTTAAAAATATCTTTCTGAGAATTATCATTTCGTATAAGGGCATATTATGTTACCTCAACACCGTCACATAATTCCAACACTGTCACGGGAATTCAACACCGTCACAGAGTGTAAAATCTCTTATTGCTACTTTTTTTTTAAAGTTAAAGAACCATTTTATAAGCGGACAGAAATATTAATTGATCAGTCTGTGTTACTGAATCAAGAAATCAAATACAAAATCATGTTTTTATTGCGCTACACTTTAATACAATTACAAAATGTGGAGCGATTTGAGGTAAGTGGTATAAACTACAAATTACAGCAAAGAAATTATGACGATATAAAAAATATTATTTTTGAAGTGTAATCCCCTTCATCTTTTCAAAAGGGTGAATGTTTTTGCGTTTTCTGGTTAATTTAAAATATTTTTTGACTATACAATACGGTTACGGTGTTGAGATTTTGTAAAACACGTTCCACTAAAAGCTTAATTTTTTGTCTTAAAATTCTAAAGACTGCATGTCAATTCATAACATAAGACGTAGAAGATACTAGTTGTCAAAACAAAGTCAAAAATGTATCGCTTCGAGATGGTTCAATAATTCGGAACTCTGATACCATGAATGCACACTCACGAGATAATTACCCTTAATTGTAGTTGAAAGTGGTAGAAATGTAATAAATAACAATATAATCAATCGTTGTTTTGAAGAACATCTTGATATTGAATGCTAACATGGATCACATATATATATGTACATATATACCTACTCTCAAGACATGGAGGGCCAAGAGATGAGGTCCTTAATATTCAAGTTATCAGTGTGGAATTATAGGGTCAGATTATTAGACAAATGCTATGTTATTTTCCTCAATAAAACAGTGGGTTAGATAATGCTGGTAAAACAACTATTCTGAAAAAATTTAATGGTGAAGATATTGATACTATTTCTCCTACTCTAGGTTTTAATATAAAGACTTTAGAACATAGAGGGTAAGAAATGACCATGTTTTTTTTCTGTTTGATCTGATTTAAGGAATTCCTGTGATAAAACACAAATTAGGGTGGTTTATTTTCAACAAGACAAATAATAGATTTAAATTAAGTACATTTGCTAAACTCTGTGTTCTACCTGAATTCTCACAATCGGATGGGCTCCTACTATAGAACAGTTCTCTGGATGACAGTTTCAATATGCAGTCGGGATCAGACTCAGCTGGTTTATTGTAAAATCCTAGTCGGCCTATTATGTAGTTAAATAATATTGAAATTTTTATTTACAATATTCACTATTCTGTAGAATCTTAATCATATTATATCGATATCTTTTTCTAATATTTCAGTTTTAAATTAAATGTTTGGGATGTTGGAGGTCAGAGATCATTAAGATCCTATTGGAGAAATTATTTTGAGAGTACAGATGGTTTAATATGGGTTGTGGATAGTGCTGATAGAATGAGACTTCAAGATTGTAAACAAGAATTACATTCTTTATTATTGGAAGAGGTGAGTTGATTGTTAACCAAACAAACTCAGAAAACAATTGTTTTATTTGTCACTTGTGTTAATTTGTTGTCATTTATAAGTCTTTAATTGTACAGGAGGGTTGTATCATAAGGTCTGTCACTGAGGCAACTGGCATGGTTTTGATTCCCTGGTTGTACATGACAATGTGTATGGTCGCCTGTCCAACCTCGTGGATTTTCTCCGGTCCTCTGGTTTCCTCCCACTGCTAAAGACCCCTACACGCAAGCGAATTATTGAAATAAAATTGAACGATATGTTAGACCCGAAATGACCTAGTTTGTGTCGAGTGGACATTAAACCTCATTTCTCTCTCTCTCTCTAATTGTTGAATATGCATGTTTGAAAATTTTTAAATTAGTCGTGAACTAATTTAAGAAATGTGTGAGTTTGTAGTAGCCTATAAATAAAATTTGTTGATAACCGTAACATATTTTACTTGTATTAACTCCATACAAATTGGTTAGTTTTTAGATTAATAACATTATTGCTACTTTAAATCAGTGTTCAATGTTCTCTAATTCCTGATGATCCTATCCCCAACCCTGGAACATAATTAATACAACCCTCAATTTTCATGCCAATCCAATTAAGTCTCATGGACAAATTTAAGATGTTACAAATTAGTGGTTCACGGCCAAAATAATATCCAGTTGAAGAACTATTGCATTGCCACAAGTATACATGAGCTCAAAAGTTAGATACAGTAGATTGGCTTTTAATGATTGAATATGACAAACTGTAGCTGATTGCAGGCCTGATGTTTTGAAGATACATTGTATTTCATGCATATATCCACACCTTAAATAACCATGGGACATCATTGTACATTTTTAGAAGTAGTGTTTCTGTTTATGATCAGTTGTAAAATGCAATTGAAATGGATTTGATATACATTACTGTTATCCTAGCCCTTTTGAAGCTCCTGATTTTTTTATATTTTATATTACAGAGATTGGCTGGATCAACATTACTTGTTTTCGCTAATAAACAAGATTTACCAGGTTCTTTATCTAGTGATGATATCAAAAAGGTAAGATATGGTTTCAATTATATTCCATTGTGTTGTTAATAGATCGAGTCCAGCACCATTAGTTTCTCATAGTATGCGCTTGTTACCTTGTTGCTAGCTCAATAACAATGGACGAGAAAGTTTCTCTTAAATGACTTCTTGTCAGTGGTGAAGGACAGAAGACCTCAGAAAGAAAAGAGTATAGTCACTGAGATGGGACAAAAAATGAGGTTCTGTATGGTGAGAGAGAGAGAAATGGGGATTTAATGTCCACTCGACACAAACTAGGTCATTTCGGGACTGACATATGGATCAATTTTATTTCAATAATTTGCTTGCCCGTTGCGGTCTTTAGTAGTGGGAGAAAACCGAAGAAAAGACGAGGTTTGACAGGTTCAGTATAGTATTTGTAAATTGAAATAAGAGTACCAGTATAATTTAGTGCTGCAGTTCGGGCAAAATTTCCATCATAGTAAACTATGTATCGTGCAGAAGTGTGAGATTTTAAAACTCTTTTTAATTTCATTTCATTTTGTTATTTTCAGATGTTAGATCTAGACAATATTAAAACACATCATTGGAGAATCTTACCATGTAGTGCTGTTACAGGAGAACATTTATTAGAGGGCATAGACTGGACTATAGATGATATCGCTTCCAGGATATTTACTATGGACTGATTTAAAACTTAAAACGGTGTGTTTGATTGGTCAGTACCTGAATTTAACCTGAAAGAGTGTGTTTGATTGGTCTGAATATGCTGTTTAGAGTGTTGGTATGTGTTATTGATATGAGAGAAGATTGGGAGTTCAAACAAATTTGATCAGATGTGGAATCATTGAAATCTGATCTGGATTCCGGTTTACTTGGATACTTTTAGTCAAATGCACCTATTAAGATCAATTTATTAAACTGTGATATTCATTTTGAGAAACTTAAAAATGTGGTATACAGGTCAAAATTCTATGGAATACAATTACTGCTTATTACAAGCGTGACTAGGCTTCTCTAGTCATTATCAAGCAATGATAAAATATGAAAATAAGGAGTATCTCTGGTTGGTCAGCATTAACTATGTATTGTTGTGTAAATGTATATATTGTCTTGTCATATTTTCATATTTTATCATTGCTTGATAATTACTAGAGAAGCCTAGTCGAAACATCGCTCAGTAATAAGCAGTAATTGTATTCCATAGAACTGTGACCTGTATACTCTAGTTCAATTACTAAATGCCATTGAAACAATTTAAAAATGTGGTGTTTATTTACATTACTTCTATATATGTGGAAGAATATTTGATCAATGTTTGTGTCATATAGACAGTTTCTGTTTTAAGGCTGTTTATGCTACATGCATAAGGCTCTCCTCTATTTATTCTTTAACCCTTACCGATTTCGTTATTGAAGTTGAAGATCACAGTCGGCAAGCCTTAACTACAAGCTGAATTGCATCTATACTATTCGTTTAATTTCCATTGTCCAGTAATTTTTTTGTTTTTTGTTTATATTTCATTTATTATTCTTACGTCAATTAAATTAAATCACAAATATGGTATTTAACCTGGTTGTTTTGTTTTAATCTTCTAAATTTTTGCCAATTTTTAGCCCTAAATTTAAATAAGGGCATGTTTATTGGCTTTGGTGCATTGAGGATTCAAACAGGTGTATATTTGAACTAAAAACATATTCAAACTAATTTGTTTATCAAAAGTTTGTTTCAAACCCCTCTCATTAACTATTTTAATGGCAAGAAAATTACCCCACGCTGCAAGAATCTATTTGAATTGAAGCACCCTTGTTTGACACATGTCTTGATTGAGGGAGAATCCATTATCAGCTTGTATTTGTTATTAGTCGCTGTCCATTTATAATAAAATCGAACCCTAAGTCAATGCTGATTCTACGTTTAAGTCTCTCAATGTTCTCACAGCTGCTAGCTATTGGATTAACACCTACAAGGTGTTCCTTTCGTCACTTGACGAAAGTGACACCCTTACATTTTGGTCCTGTTGGTGCCCCATGGCTGTTTCTTGTATAGTGCTACTTCCACACTACAAAGATCTCCTTTCGTCACTTTAGCGGACAGACTTACATTTTTGTCCTGTTGGCGCACCATGGTTGTTTCTTGTATAGTGCTACTTGCACACTTAAAGTATGATATATGCTCTTGATACACACAGTTTCAAATTAAATATATCGTATATATATTTCAAGTCTGGATTTAAAACGCTCAATAGAAGTAGCACTTTTGACGAATACTGTACGATTGTTCAAGTTTGATGGAGCAAGAAAACTAAAAGCTCTTGCACCAAAATTTTCATTTTCTCACATGAGTGTAAATTCCACAAAGGCTCATAACTTTGAATTAGGGGGTGCTAGGTTATTAACATATTGATAGGTCAGTGAAAGTATCTTGAAATCAACCCTTTTCCTGTATACACAGTTAGTGTAAAGAGTTTAATATTGGTGTTACATGGGATGTCACCTTGAGTTACCATCCGAGCCACAGTGTTTTTGACATTTTTGTATCTTTTGCAATATATACAAAATATGGCATACTTTTAATGGAAATAACTAACCTATAAATACTTTGGTGGAGATGCATCTTTAATCACCATTTCTAAATTATATCAGTTGCTAAGACAAGTAACAAGATGTTTATAATTTATTTCCAATCGTACACATCACCATAGAATTTACATATTCAGTTAATGTTATTGAGTGTGACAAATTGTAAATTTATGATGTAAAATGAAAATATGACGATACGTAACCGACCGTTAAGATGAAATTTTGTGGCCTGATGTGGCTATCCATCACTGACTACACGGAGCAGGTAACTGATGTTTTGATGCTAAATCCCTGAGTTTACCCCCCCAAATCAGTAAAAAAAGAACCAAGGCTAATTTGCATATTACGAATGAAGCAACATATTTTTTCTTGTTAATAATAGCTTCTTAGATTTCCTGGATACCGATAATATATTGGTATAATGAAATCTTATTTGTACGACGCCATGAACAATGCCGTGACAAAACTCATTGTGTGCCTTTATTTGGTTACTAATTAGAATATATGACCCCATTCATTAAGATTTTTAATATGGTGTATAGGGGAGGATTCCTGAATGAATGCAAGTGTAATTGTTTCTGTTGCAATTTGTGGTAGGTCAAGCCCTAAAATTGACTGTTTAACAATTAAACCACAATCTAGTTTCAGTCTGTTAGTTTTAAAGCTAGTACAGTATTATCCAAACAACCAACAACTATTTCTGTTAATCCATCATTATCTATATCACATGTATCAATCGTATTAATCCAATCAGACATTTCATATTCACAATATACCTACAATAAAACAAAAGATAAATTATCAAATTAATAACGTAGAGAGAGAGAGAAATGGGGTTTAACGTCCACTCGACACAAACTAGGTCATTTCGGGACTAACATGGTTTAATTCTTTTATTTCAATAATTAGCTTGCACGTAGGGGTCTTTAGCTGTGGGAGGAAACCGGAGGAAACCGGAGGACCCGGAGAAAACCCATGAGATTGGACAGGCGACCCTACTCCTTGTCACATACAACCTGGGAATCGAAACAACGCCAGTTGACTCAATGGCAGGCCTTATGATACAGCGCGCACATGCTAACCATTCGGCCATCCACATCCCAAATTAATAACAAGATTTCAGCTTCTCTATATCTATCGGGTTAAACTTGACAACCAGTTAATCTGATTAAAACACAGATCCTATTTCATTTCGTTTTTTATAGTTCAAAATTTTGTTTTACATGTCTCTACTACACTAGGATCTGGAAGAATTGTTATCATTGATGTGTGAGGGATTAGTCAATGAAATGATCTTTTGGCGTGAGGTGTACGGAACTGTGGGCAATCCACTAAAAACATCACTGTTTTAAGAATTAGTAATACTGGTATAATTCTAAAACCTACCTTGCCATCTTGAAAAACTAGTAATGAATTAATATGACCACAACATAGTAGATAATCTGTTTCTTTATCTGGCATCTTTAATACAGACAACTCTGTTATAGGACATTTACAATTAGCAAATTCATCAAGAGTTATCTATAAAAAAAATAAAACATTTTTTTATTGAGCTACTTCTCTTCTACAAATATGGGCTGACAAGGAAAGCTGTCTAGTCGTTCGGATGGGACGAAAAACCGAGGTCCCGTGTACACATTGGCGTGCACGTAAAAGATCCCTTGGCAGTTGGAATTCGATATAAGAGTAGGCCGTAGTGCCGCTGTCCGGGCAAAATTTCCCTCATAGCACACTGTATGGCGTATGCCCGTCTTCATAAGCCCAGGTTACAAGCAGAACAGTAGAACGTTAAACTCCATTTCATTTCATTTCATTTCTACAAATATATCGTAAAACATGTCTGTGTGGAAAACATCTGTAACTTTGGAATGAGTAAAAGTATAGTCTACAGGTTTCGTACACATTCCAATGAATATGTCCTATTTTAAAGTACATTTCTGTCAGAGAGAGAGAGATAGAGACATTTGCGTATGAGGGTCCTTAGCAGTAGGAACACACCAGAGGATGGGGAGAAAAATAAAAGAGATTAGGCAGGCGTCCCTACTCCTCGTCATGTAAAAATAGGGAATCAAAACCACGCCAATGGACTGAATAACAGACCTTGTGATCTAAAGTGCTAGACCATTCAGCAACACAACCCTCCCTTCAGTCAAAATGACTAAACCACTTTGATTTAGGTAAAAAAAATAAAACTATAAATTTCAGGTGTTTTGAAAAATGTGTATGGTCCTTTACATGCAACCAACCCAAATAGTAGCCGTTGTTTATTTTTCAATATCTTCGCTATCCACGCTTTCCAAGTCAATGTCTTTAAAGTACAGTTCAGTCAAAATGACTAAACTGTCTTGATTTGGGTAATAAGGTGAAACCTTCATCCTTCATTATGAATTAAAATACTTACTGAAAAATTATGTAGAATATAAACCGCTCCTGTTCTAGAACCAAGAGCTACTTGTTGAGATATTTTTGATGTAATTGATGTGTTGATACCAGTAGAAGATGGTGTCTGAACTCCTAATTTACTACTATTAATAAATCTTCCTGCACACATCTAAAATAATAGTTACATATATGTCAATTTCAAAATAAGATTGTTTTAATTTGCTAATAATCTGTGACAGTATCTTCAATATCTCAACAGAAAGAAAGGTGTAAATGGGGCGGGAGAGAAAGAAATAGGGTTTAACGTTCACTCAACACAACTAGGTCATTATGGGACTAACACATGGTTCAATTTGATTTCAATAATTTGATTGTGTGTAGGGGTCTTTAGCTGTGGGAGCAAATCGGAGGACCTGGAGAAAACCCACGAGGTTGGACAGACAACTCTACTCCTTGTCACTTACAACGTATAAAGTGTTGACGAAATGTTACTCCTATTCCTAAGGATATGATGTATGTAATGAAATGAAATGGGGTTTAACATCCTACTGTTCTGCTTCGAACTGGGCTAAAAAAAAGACAGACATACAGTGTGCTATGAGGTAAATTTTGCCCGGACAGCAGCACTACGGCCTACTCTTATATCAAATTCCAACTGCCCAGGGATCTTTCACGTGTAAACAATATGTACATGGGACCTTGTTTTTTTTATCCTATCCGAACGACTAGACCAGCTGTCCTGCAACACTGACAAGGGTAACCAAGCCGTAAGATCTATGTACTTACTGCTGTTATAATAGCTGGTGATTTTAATGTCATGACTATTGTACCCTGATTGATAACATGTAACATACTAGCGCTATCAGCAACTAGTAAATATGTAGATATAACACCACATTGATCTGACAAATCAACCACTAACATACTTGTTATTGTCACTAATTTACTCGGATCCTGAAAAAAAGGGAGAGAAAATTAATTTAGAAGAATATAAATCGTGAAGATCAACAAGAAATCTCTCAAAATATAATTAAAGCAAATTAGTTCAGAAGAATAAAATTCAAACAAGTTCAATAAGAAATTGCTTAAAATATAAATAGAGAGCAGGGATCGAAACCACGCCACTTGACTCAATGACAGATACACATTAACCATTCGAACACCCTACTTCAGAGCAGTACTTTTGCTTAGAGCATATTACTGAATATTACAAATTCTAATTGCTCTGTGAAAATAATGCGGACAATCCTTGTTAATAATTTTTATATAAAACTATTGACACATAGTTTATGTACTTACACTTTGATTAGTGGTATGGACATCATTAAAATTGATTCTCCATAATTCTGAAGCTGGAAGTGAGGCTGTAATAACACCGGTATCTGTACCAGTTATAATTTGACTACAACCGGCTGAAAATATAAGATACCTACAATTATATATCATTTACATATCAATATACCTACAATTATATATCATTTACACATCGATATACCTACAATTATATATCATTTACATATCAATATACCTACAATTATATATCATTTACACATCGATATACCTACAATTATATATCATTTACATATCAATACACCTACAATTATATATCATTTATACATCAATATACCTACAATTATATATTATTTACATATACTAGTTATATTACCCTTAGTTAATCACATACTGTTGCATCCTATTAAAACCTCAATCGAAGCAGTTTGGTATAATGTGATAAACAACATGGCTCCAGCCAAGATGCCAATAAGAGAGAGATATGGGGTTTAGTGTCCACTCGACACAAACTAGGTCATTTTGGGACTAACATATGGTTCAATATTATTTCAATAATTGTCTTGCGCATAGGGGTCTTCCGCAGTGGGAGGAAACCGGAGAAAACCAATGGGATTGGACAGGCGACCTTACTCCTTATCACATACAACCGTGGCCATCGAAACCCCGCCAGTTGACTCAATGACAGACCTTATAATACAGTACGCACGTGCTAACCATTCAGCCACATGCCAATGAAAACAAAACAATCCCATCAAACAATATATTCTCATTTCTCAAAATCCAGATACAGGGTCTTTGCACCTGGAATTGGGGAACAGGTATCTATCTACCTGGTCCAATAATTTTTCTTGTGTACTTACTTGAATCTTGTAGAACTTGAAGTGAATTAATACAGTCTGTTGATATAGTTTGTCGACTGAGAATCTGTTTGTTACAGAAGACTGTTAACAGACCCTGTGAATCAGCTACCAATAAATCGTTATGATAAAACTTGGTTATATCATATATACACATAGTCTGTATAGGTCCACCTTTACTCTCTAAAACAACCTGAAATACAAAGTTAAAATGTTGGTCAATTAGCTTAGTGTTTGTTCTCAAACCGAGATAAATGTAGACAGACAGCATAAATTTAGTATGGCAACAAGTCTGACAAGACTGTATTTAAAGGAAAAGTTTTGCTTTGAGAATATTATATATAAATGGTTATCAGCCCATACCTATTTCTTCTGGAATTCCTAATAAAATTTTGCTTCTTAGGGAAAGAAATAATTTAAAAACAAAAAACTGTTTGGTTGCTCACAGAGATCTGTGGCTATTTAATTATCAAAACCCAGAACTAAAAATTGATTTGGCCTCACACTGGCATATTATATTAAATACCTGTGGTTTTGATGGACTACCTGTAATAGGTAAATCATATATTCTAATGTTACCATCTTCTCCACCAACAACCAGACTTGATCCCGTTTGTCTATTACAGTAAGAAAAAAGACAGAAAACCAACATTAAAACCCATACAGTACTATTGAACTGTAAAATCTAGAAGGTATCACACAACCTTTTTTTTCTAAATTGATAGAATCAAAATTAAGTTATTTTCAATCACAAATAACAAATGAAATGGGGTTTAATGTGCCGTAAGGAAAACTTTACCCGGACAGAAGGGAGAGAGAGAGTAATGGGGTTTAACGTCTACTCGACACAAACTAGGTCATTTCGGGACTAACACATGGTTCAATTTTATTTCAATAATTCGCTTGCGCGTAGGGGTCTTTAGCAGTGGGAGGAAACCGGAGGACCCGGAGAAAACCCACGAGGTTGGACAGACGACCCTACTCCTTGTCCATACAACCATTCGGCCATCCAACACCCCCCCCCCCCCCCGGACAGAAGGACTATAACCTACTCTTTTTCGATATTCCATGGTTTTCCATACCATCCAAACAACTCGTCACAGTCCGTGACCGACCATCCATACCACAAATAAAAAACTGGGAAACGACTGGTCTTATTGATCAAATATAATCAAGATTATAAGTAATTTTGGTTATAATCCTTTCAAATACCAATATTGCTAAAAAAAAATCTGGAGCAGTTTCTGTCCATAACACTAGGCTACAAACTCACTTGAACTGTGCAATTCAGATAATGCTGGCATTTGATAGGTTCTAACATTTAGATTAGACCAATAACCGCTTTGACAGTACGATTGATTGCAATGGTAAACGAACAAAAGTGCATTTTATTATGTATGAGGTGAATTGCTCACCGGCGTAACTTACGGTAGTAGGCTGGCTACGGTACCAAGTCCGGAATATGACTATTGTGATAAAATGGATGGAAGCTCACCCATATTTGAAAGGACAGATTATCTCTCTGGAAACGAACCCTACTGTGTCCCACCCTCCATATACAAGCTAAAAGACATATTAAACTGATATCCACCCACGAAATGACGAATTAAAAGACGAGAGAAGTGGACTGGAGTGGAAGAGTTACCGGTACGTTACATTCGATATTCTTTTGCTGACAGACCAATTTTCCAAAGATTATATGTACCTGAATATGGTGCCTAGTCGTATACAATTAAACCTGTCTTTAGCTGTAAAACTCCATAGTTTCGTTAGGGTTTTACTGGTAATAAGTTGATGATTGTTTTGAAGTTTCATGTTCGTATTTTTCTTACATGTTTTTGTTGACAACACCAATCGAATCTTTAATTAAGAAGATCTTTGAAGAAGGGAGTCAACTCATCAAATGGGAGATAACTCAGTACAGGTGTTTGGAGGCAGACCACCATTAATTTCCCCATTGACTTCAATGTTAATTCTGGCCTCTTTGCCCACCTCCAACTTTTCCCCAAATTTTCGTTGGGCTGAATGCTTTTCACTACAGACAGAGGAACAAATGGTCATGTCCTTGCACTAAAATTTGTATGAGGTTGACCACCAAAATTTTGAGATACACAAACTTGAAGAAGCATACTAAAAACATGTAACTACTTGCCGTACATATCGCCGTAGCTAACCTGATAACCCTCTTATCCTTCCGCCTCAAAATCATGAATATTTACCAAAACCTGGCAGAAAATGTTAATTCAAACCCTCTTCGTCCATTCTAGACCAAAAAATCAACAAAAATGGGCATGCAAAAGGGGAGAAAAGAGAGAGAGAATTGCTATAAATAGACGAACTACAATTCGTGGGTACCGAATGGTGAAATTTAATGGTGGTCTGCCTCCGTTTACGGACTTGCTCCATTCTTACAATTAAATACCACACTAATTAAAATTGTTCAACATATTTAATACACGATTTAAACTATCACAGATATAAATGTTTTATGAAATAATAAATATTTTCATAAAGTATAACAAAAACTCAAAAGTAATATAGGTCATATCACACAAAACTCAAATAAATAAATGTATATTTTATCAAAATAAATTAAAATGTTTTGGATGGAATACTTTTATTAAACGCGACACAAGTAATATAGGTCATATCACACAAAACTCAAATAAATAAATGTATATTTTATCAAAATAAATTAAAATGTTTTGGATGGAATACTTTTATTAAACGCGACACAAGGATTAAAATTTAAAATCATATTACATTGTTTTTCTAAGATCTCGATATATACACAATAAGATTTTTCTATCATCAATGTAATCAACGATTACTGCCTGGAGAAAATCCTATTTATCTTTGGACGGATATATTACAAATTATATTAACTGATAATACTGGTAATAATAAAATCAAAGGAAAAATAAAATAAAACAAAAATAATTGTATTATTAAACAGAGTTTACAGTATTATATTGACTAGTTTTTATTCAGCCATTTCAGTGAACATAATGAAATAATTTTATCAGCATATAAAAAAAAGCTAGAATATATAATAACAGCAGTCATGAATAAACCCTAATCAACAAATACAAAGTATTTCATTTATAAACTACACATGAGAACAAATATCAATTTGTCATATAAGATATTTGAAAAAACAAAAAACACACAATTTTGTCTGATACAAGACTTGCATAAACGATGTCAATATAAATTTATAATACCACAATTCGACCCCTATAGACAGGGCCTCATTAAAACTGATGGGCTTCCATGTTTATTTAGAGCCTATTTAACACATAGACACTCAACAAGCAATTTGTGTGTAAATTTTCATCTAGAAAATATGGATCCCTTTTTAAAACTCCCTGTTAACACTGGGAATTTAAATGTGGCTCTTTCCATTGGGTCTGTCTATTGGTGGAGATTCAATTAATCAAGTTCAGTGTTCAGCAGAGCTTCAACAGTCTGGATCGAGCCTACTTTGTTCATGACTAAATCAAAGCTCCTGTGACTACATATCAACTCTCCTTTGAAACTACATGTTAGTAGCTTCTACCAATGCTAGCAATACTACTATAAACAATATGTTCAGAATCACCTCTAAATTTTCCAAGAAAACTTTCGATTTCTAATGTCAAGAAAAAAAAAACAACCTAAAAGATAATTTAAAAAATTGAGCAAGTTTTTATCAACACAGATGGTATATCAGTTTACAGAAGAAGTGTATACAACTGTTTAGGGATGTAAACGTAAACTTTTAATCAACTCTTCTTGTTTCTCTGTGGTTTCTTGAAGCTGTAAACAATTAGGTAAATTATTAAGTTATTATTTTAATTGGTTATAAGTTTATCCAAGTTATTAGAAAATCATGATAAATTTGATATAAAGAAATAGAAATTTAAGTAACCCTGGGTTGTGTAAGCACGATCTAAGACATCAAACTTAGGACATCCTGGTTAGTGAGCCAATGGCGTCAACACCTGTCTTGCACGTTTTAGGAGCGCTTTCGCTCCTGCTCCTCTCAATGCACCTTGACTTTCCTTCGCGGGAGTCAATGAAGACTCCTGCAAATTAGCTAAATCACTCTCCTAAATATTGAGATTAATACACTACTTTCAGTTTTTGTTTATTTTTAAACTGCTACATTCCAGCTATCAGTTTCAAGGATAATAATTCTGATGTTACCATATTCATCAAATATTAAACAAGACTAAAGCATAAATACAATTTGGCTCTCCTTAATTCAAGAAAATGTAGAATAACTTTTGCAATATAATTAAGAAGAGTTTTTTTTACGGGAGCTTTTTTCTCATTTTTGAAATTGGCAGGAGCTTTTTATGGCTCCCGCACAATTTTATAAACTTGAAGGCTTGCATTGCAACCCCATACTCACTGCTCCGCCCTGACTCCCATATAACCATCCTGTCATTATCTAGTAAAGATTGTCTTAGTTATATATTTAAATAATAAGCAGTCAGTCATTTTAGATGAGAGTAGCATACTGCAGATCACATTAATTTCAATACATATTTATATCACCCTCTTCAGATCACATTCATTTCATGATGCATTAATTTCTTGTCTGTTAGTATCAAAGCCTAATGAGGACATAAGTGGTGCATTTACTCATTCATCCCTTTATTAATTCCTTCCTTCATTTAATGACCAATGTGTTGTTATTGGTGGTGCTCGATTCACAGTCCAGAATGTCCTGAATTGACAGAATTGCAATGGAGTGACGCAGAATTCAGTCCTTTCACAGTTCTGTCATTCCCGACATCAGAGGTGGTATGAGTAGAATCGTGATGTAATTAAACACAACGTATATGTTTCGGCTGCTTGGTTTGTTGATATATTTAATTATCCAGTCACTTAGCCTGAAATACCCCTTTTCACTCGATTGTCACTATTTTTAGGATTGAGAGAATTCGTTCCCGGAACGTTCAATCGAGTACCCCCTTAATAACTTATTTAAATTTCAATATATTTCTTTAAATACCAACTATACCTGAAGCCATTAATCTTGTATGACTGCAACAAATGAAATGAAATTTTCCCCGAACGATTGCAAGGGATCTTTTACGTGCACCTTGGTTTATTATCCCATCCGAACAACTATACAGCTGTTCTTGGGGAACCATCCCGGAAAATCTGATGACTGCAACACATCGGGCATTATATGAAGAAAATAATTAATAATGCACGAATTATATCCCCATTACAAAAGTCCCTCCCTGATCGTGTTTTTTTTTATCTTACAGTAAAAAATTCAGATAACAGTTTATTATTAGAGTATATATTACCAGTTTATTTTCTTCTAAAAGTTTATCTACTTTAGCTCGGAGTTGAGCAATTAATATATCTTTATCAGCAGTTGTTCTACCATATATCTAAAATTATAAATCAGTAAAAAATAGATTTAGAATCATAATCAAAAAGTCATATTGTTCATAGAGTTCGACGTCCGGTTTCAACAAGAGTTTCCTTGGAAACTTGCCACTTCAGAAGCCCTCAGTCATGTTTGTGAGGCTAGTCCAACATAGGGTGAGAATGGGATTGCAAGAAAGGATATTTGTAACTTACATTCCCTGCTAAATAATCATATCTGATATTTATATCAGAGTAAGTCACACAGATATAACTTAAAAATTTGACTTTTTATTTCGGAGTATATCTCATAGATCGTTTAAGATATCTTTGAGAAACTTTGTACACACATAAACCTATTATAGTATTTGTGCCTTTTGACAATTAGAAATTTCTCAGATTTGATCATTTCTTAGTTTTCATGGAAATAAAATAGAGAGAGAGAGAGAGAGAGAGAGAGAGAGAGAGAGAGAGAGGATTTAACATCCACTGACACAAACTAGGTCATTTCAGGACTAACTCATGGTTCAATTTTATTTCAATAATTCACTTGCGCGTTGGGGTCTTTAGTAGTGGGAGGAAACTGGAGGACCCAGGAAAAACCCATGAGGTTGGACAGGCAACCCTACTCCTTGTCATGTACAACTGGGGAATCGAAACCCTGCCAGCTGACTCAATGACAGACCTTATGATACAGCGCGCACATGCTAACCATTCGGCCATCCAACCTCCCCGAAATAAATTAGACTTATATTTTAATGTATGCTTACCTCTTTTTCATCTTTCTCTGAAACTGGACTTAGATTACCAATTTCTAATAGATTACTTTCTTTACTGGGTATACGAATAATAGCAGCTTCTTGAAGCTCCTGAAACATGTACAAAATTAATTAGATACTTTTATACTGTTATACTTTGGAAAAAATATCAGATATACTTTAGTTTAAATATGCAAGACATACAATCTGGGTGAGGATTTTCTAGCCAGTTTTCCCATCTCAGTGGTGCAGGATAAAGAGAGAGAGAGAGAGAGAAATGGGGTTTAACGTCCACTCGACACAAACTAGGTCATTTCGGGACTAACATATGGTTTAATTTTTATTTCAATAATTCGCTTGCGCGTAGGGGTCTTTAGCAGTGGGAGGAAACCGGAGGACCCGGAGAAAACCCACGAGTTTGGACAGGCGACCCTACTCCTTGTCACGTACAACCAGGGATTCGAAACCGGTGCAGGATAAATGGCCCGGCAAGATAAACTGCCTCATAATATCGATGGCCCAGATGAAAAAAAAAAAACAGAGGTAAATTTATATCATTTCGTAGCATGTTAAAAATCCCTTGGCAGTAGAAAATTGAAATAAAGAGTAGGTTGTAACGTCGCTGCCTAGACAAAAGTTTCATCATGTCACACTGAATGGCATATTTGTTTCTTCGTTAGCCTGGTTGATGCATAAAATTAAGATGTTGAATCCAATTGTATTTTGTTTACTTACTGCTTCTAGCCATGGTGGTATAGAACTTTCATCTCTATTACCCGAAGAAGGTCGTGAATTGGGTGGAGATGCTGCGTTACTGGAATCAGACGTGAACGGAAGATCTTCACTACAAGCCGGTGATATTGGTTGACTTCCTTCAACAAAAGCACTGTCTTCTGGTACAGTTTCAAACGGAACTCGAGCCGCTGTAATAGTTTAAAATACATGTACACAAAATAACATGCTGTCAAAGGATCTTTCATTTGCAATTTCTATGAGAATACTGAACATCCAGAGGTGTTTATGAGGCCAAGGACCCGGGGAAAACCCATGAGGTTGGACAGTTGACCCTACTCCTTGTCACGTACAAGTGGGAAATCTAAATAATGGCAAACCATTAAACCACTCAACCCCCATCATGAAAACCAAGGAAGTGTATGAAATATTAAAGATGGGTTCCCGCGTAGAAACTGGGTGATTTAATGGAATATATGGACTAAAAACATATTCAAACTAATTAATTTGTCATAATTATGCTTCAAATCCTTCTCAAACATTGTAATTGCGAAGGAATGCCCTGCTATTAAAATTCGATCAAACCAGGTCATGTTTACATCACGTCTTGCAAATCAGAGGAGAATTCATTGCATACATAAGACGTTGTTGTCTTTAATCGCTTACTATTTATTACAAATATCGAATCCTTATTAAATTCTCGGATTATCCACTACCCGCGTCTTTTTCCGTCATTTTTATCTCTGAAAGTGTTGTACGTCTAACTCTTCATAAAGTTTATCAACTTGTACATCAAGCACTCAATGTTCGAGTTTGACCTTTGACATCAAGGGTGGAGAAACTCTTAATCGTCGGGCTGTTGATTAGGGGAACCCTTACATTTTTGTCCTGTATACGCTCCATGAGTGTTTTTCGGGGAATCCAGTATTTTTCTAGTAAGATTGGATATCTCTACTTTCCACATATACCAAAATTACCATACTTTTATTGGAAATAACCACCCGATAAATACTTTTCTGGGAACCCATCTTTAAGCCTGCTGTCCAGGCAAAATTTTCCTGCTTTGAACTGTGCACATATCTACAGAATTGTTTAATTTGTAGTTTAAGAGTGAGAATAAAATTGCATTTTGAAATCCATATAGTATGGTAACTAAGAAATATCATTTCTGATAAAATATGGGTTAAGGTCAACTTAAGGAGATAATTCAAGATGTTTTCTATATACACCTATAGCTTTTACGAAATAAAATGTGAGCTATCTGTCATTAGTACATCAAGTCTATCAAATATCAAAATATCTTCACTATTTCTCTACACATCTAACTTGAAAAAACATGCATGAAATGAATTGATCGACTGTTGAAACACTAAATCAGTCTAACCACTCTAAAGAAAATTCAAATGAAGGTAGCTACCCACTTAACAAAACAAATCAATTTTAATTCAATTGACCAAAATCAAAGAGGTCTAGGCATTTTAAGAGTTTTCATTTATATTGAAACACATCTACAATGTAAATATTCACAATGCAACAGACATTTAGGGCCACAGAAGTTTTTTTTAACCTTAAAACTTATAAAAACCCTAAGCAGTTAACACGTTTTTTAACCTATGAGGCTGATACGTACACAGCATAATGACCCAATGGACATTTAGAAACATCAACATAAACCTTGTGTATACATTCAGAAACATGCATATATTCTAAAGCTCAATCATCATGCTTTAGTCATTCCTAAATTTAAAATAACAGAAAATATACAAATGTTATTTACGATTATAGTTCTCATGCATAAATAATCAAATATAACAAGAGTGGCAGAGTTAGTAAATTCATTCAACATTCACAAAAGTTACAAAATATTATTAAGAAATAGTGGTCTGAATCCTAAGAGCATTGTGATAAAATAAGTTATTTCCCTTTATTAAAAAAAAGGGCCTTGAGCCTAGAATGATTATGGGATAGAGTGAAATGTAAGATGAATGTTTAAAGAAAACAATCCTTTCCTGTCATCTATATCCTCCTAAACCACAATTTATCATAAACTCCTCCTTCATTTAAGCACTACTTCAACAGCCAAACCGAAACTATGCTTTAGGTATGCATTTCAAGCAGCAGCATTCTTCTTGAGGCTTAGCTCATGAATCTTTGCAGCAGCATATTTTATTGTTGAGAACATTAAACAATATTTTAAGTAGGACTGACATATATGACACTTAAAGAACAAAATGTTAGGCATGAATATCTTGCAAGCAACAAAACAACATGGCATGTATGAACATCTAACTAATATCTTACCTTTAGGACTGTTTAATAAATTATCTAAATATTATAGAGATAATGAGAAGAAATCATACTAAACTATTAATATAGATACACACACGTATTTATGCTGCATTTGAAACCAATATTGAAATTTTAAAGAGGAGTTATGTGAGAGCTAAATTTGCCTATTGACTGGTATTTATCTGGCTTCAAATGTAATATGTTTTCTTATAATCAACTCTCTAACCTTCAGATGGCTTAGATATTGAGTGGATTAGATGGCCAGATAAATTAGGATGAAGCTAAAAACCGTCAGTCTTTGAAAAAAAAATTGTTATGCCAATATAAGGCAACCCAAAATGTCACTGAATGACATAATTTTAAAATGTATGTGCTCAATTAAGAAAGGTTTTACTAGTATTTTCAATAAACTCAGTTGGAATTTCAGCACTGTTGGTTAATCTGACTACTTTTGTCATTCATCTTTTCATTTCTGTTTTTCTTCTCTTTTATCCTAGTTAGGGATATGGTGTCTGTAGGTTCATGGCTAGGGTTAGCCATCAGTGGGAGGGGGCCACAGGGTTAGGGTTAGGGCCGCCTAAAAAAGTAGTCAGATCAGCCAACAATGCCGGAATTTCTAATGATTTAGGAAATATAAAATATGTATCAAATAATTCTGACAGGTTTCATACTTAAAAGATTTCAAATGCAGCATAAGAGATACTGTAAAACAAGAAATTGATAGATTAAACATACATTATGCAAGAGCTAAATCTGTCAATTGCAGGTCTTTTTTTTAGGCCTGAAATGTTATCTAAATTATTAATTAGTCATTAATTAACTTATCCAGACCATAATCAAATCTAGATGGCATCTCTAGCCTGCGATCTTTAGTGGATTATGAGCAGATTTACTGCATAACTTTCCGTCACGATTTAACGATTAAATAGATAATCAAGACTATGCTGTTTATCGTACTGACTTTAGTGATGATGATCGAGGCTAGGCGGAAATTTCAATCGCTTAGTTCTTGGTTCATATTGGATCAATTTGAATGAAATTTTCAGTAAATTGCCTTTACATTATCTAGTTTTTAACTATTATAGTGAGAACTGCCAACTCGTTATCAAATCTCCCATAATGTATCTTTAACTTCACCAATCACATTAATTTCAATACTAATTTCTGTTTTTAAAATATCTTGTTTCACAGTAGAGAGCAACAGATAAAATAAAAACATAAAAAAAGACCCCAAAACAACATATTTTAAAGCTGTCAATCGTCATTTAAGGGATTTTGGGATCTACCATATCGTGAAAGTTAAATTTCCAAAAGGAATATCAGTCGCAATATTCAGCAGATTATATAATCAAACCAATGCCACCTAAAAGTGTAAGTAAAACCTATAAGGACTGGGTAAAATCTAATTGAATCCTACAGTAGATATTTTTGTTTTGTTTTCTTGATGAAAATGTTAAATAATCAGTTTAGCATGGATTAAATTGTAAAAATTCAATACTATCCAAATGACAACCAGCAGCTTTATTAAACTTAATCTTGATCTAATAAAGACTTTTAGAAATTCTCAAAATTTTGGATATATTTCTACAATCTGATCAAAGAGCAAACAAAGGCTGTGCAAAAAAGGTTATCAGGGCGATCTTCGGTTGCATGGATTTTCGCACTATAGTTCAACCTGTGGTCGTGACCAGCCATACCATACAATAGAGCATGGTCGGGATAGTTCAGACAGTAGTCACAACCATAGTCTACATCCGAAGGTCGCCCATAAAGCACTGTGCTCTAATGGACTATGTCTTTTTAAAAACTTCATTATTCCCTCTCCAAATAAAGAAATTAGCTTAAGAAATAGCTTTACAGGAAAAAACTGAAAGGCAACCAGAAATATAAAATTATATCATAGGATTTTTAAAACTTACATTTTGGTGAAGAAACTCTTGGTTTTAGAGTTTTCTGATTCAGTACTTTTTCTGAAAGAAATCCGATTTAGAAGTTTCAAAATAAAATAGAAAAACAGTCTTATTATTAATAACTGTACGTTCATATTTCCATAAGTAACTTTATAAAACTTTTCTGGTTGAAACTGGTAGTGTACTCTAGGCTCAATTATCAAGTACACAACCCTGATTAATGATAATGACAATAAAAGACATTAGATAAACACATATCCTATAAAACAGCATGAATAAACAGGTGATGAGGTAAAAGTGAGGTTTGTGAGAAATCATTTATCCCAGTGACAAAATAAAAACAAATAAAATCCTCTGAGAGCCAGATTATTTTTTTTTTGTATGGTGTAATTGTCTTACCTGCTATAATAATAGTATTCCAGTGATGCGATGATAAATATGGTACAACATGTAAAGATCCGAAGATGGGACGAGGTAAAGACGTACATTTGGTACTGGTCTTTTTACCCTGTTCTTTAAAGATGGCACCCAACTTGCCATTCTCACCATTTCCCCATGAATATAACTGACTATCTGGAAGATATAATAACATTTTATAAAGCTAGAATGTATTTATAAACATAACCAGGTGAAGCAGGAGATGTTGGCCCTTTCAAGATCCAGAAACAGGTGAAGCAAGATATGTTGGCCTTTCAAGATCCATAAACAAAGAGATGCAGGTGACAAAGCTAGGCAAGGAGAGAGAGAAATGGGGTTTATCATCCACTCTACACAAACTAACATATGGTTTCGGGTCTAACATATGGTTCAATTTTATTTCAATAATTTGCTTGTGTGTAGGGTTTTTTGCACGGGTTAAACCATTCCGCCACCCAACCTCCATTGTTAGGTGAGGGGTCATGGTTAGTGATTTTACATGTAAAAATTATAAATCTAACTATGTTTTTTTATCTTTAATTTAAAGATGTCTTCCCATGTACAAACTGTACACGATTTGAAGATGTATTTGAAAAGTAAAAGATATTCAAACTAATTCATATATGAATGTCTTTCAGGGAATCCAGTATTTTTCTGGTAAGATTGAATGTCTCTCTACTTTCCCTATATACCAAATATGCCATGTTTTTAATGGAAATAACTACCCTGTAAATATTTAGTGGGAATGTATCTTTAATAACAGATAATGTTTCTAAAAAGTTGAACATATCAGAAATATTACCATCAGTAGCTGCTACAGTAAAACCATCTCCACATGAAACTTTTTCTACCTTTTTACTGACTAGAACACCACCGACACGATTTAATGTACTTCTCTTCTTATAATCTCCTAGTCCCAACTGACCGTATCTATTACAACCAAACGTATACAAACAACCATAAACTATTAAAAAAAAATATATATAAAAACATCCATAAAATATACAAAAAAAAACATAAACTATACAAACAAATTATAAAGACAACCATAAAATATACAACAAAAAAATATATAAAAACAACCATAAACTATACAAATGAAATGAAATGGGGTTTAACGTCCTACTTTTCTGCTTCGAACTGGGCTAATGAAGACGGGTATAAACTTGACACAAACCAGATCATTTTGGGACTAACACATGGTTAAATTTTATTTCAATAATTCGCTTGCATGTACGGGTCTTTAACGTGGGAGGAAACCAGAGGACCCGGAGAAAACCTGTGAGGTTGCACAGGCGACCCTATTCCTTGTCACATACAAGCAGGGAATCGAAACCACGCTACTTGACTCAATGACAGACCTTATGATGCAATGCGTGCTAACCATTCGGATCCCCCCCGCCTTTTATCTTAAATAGAATCAGGACCTCAATCGATGGCACGGTGAGTATGGTGCTTTTTCACTAATCAGGAATTCTTAGCTTCACTCTCAGTGTTCCTCAAAATTTTCTAGCTAGATTTCCCCTTATCACTGGTGCAGGATAGAGGGCCTAGCAAGGAAAGGAGTTTAGTGGTTGGGATGGGACAAAAATCCAAGGTCATGTGTGTTTCAAGGCTATATGTCCCTCATTACAAGATGTATACCCAACTTCATGAGCCCAGTTGGTGCTGCGAAGAAAGACTTTTTATTCATTTTCTTTCCACAGAATCTTATGTGAGCCTTGGTTAAGGAGATCAAATTCTGAACATAAATCTCCAACAATAATTTAAATTTGTTTAAATATTTGAGATAAATATCAAAATAAAGCACTTACTATCTATACAAGCTGAATGACTAGTACCAGGTGATACAGATATTATATGTTGTCTACTCAGTGGTTTAACTGTACTGAACATATATTTACATGGTATATCAAATACCTGTTGAATAAAAACCACAAAAATACCTGTATTACGTAGATATAAAATAACAAATTTTTCTAGATATGCAAATTGGGAGAGAGTGAGAAATAAGACCTATCATCCACTTAACATTAATCAGATCATTTTAGGACATGTGGAATATTTTTATTTGAATTATTTGTTTAAACACAGGTGCTTTTAGAAGTTGGGGGAGGGGCATAATCTTGAGGGATTTCTTTAGCCATTGCTGGATAGGCTTCTGAAACTTGAGATTTTGAGGGAGTGTGTCTATTCTTCCCATGCAAACAAATCTCTCCTAAGTACAGCAACATGATCTAGGACAGTGTTTTAAGGTATCAAAAATGCCCAAAGTATTGTTCGTCTCCAAACAGTATTGTTTACATTGTTTGCCATTTTGATAGCCTCGTTTGTCTCGCAATTAGTTTTTCTGCAATATTCTGCTATGCACTGGTTAATTGGGCATAATAAATTTTGTGAGTCATGACGTAACGTTATATAAACATATTTGGAGCTCTGTTTAAAACTGAATGATATTGTTACACAGTTAGGTATTGGTTGTTAAACGGACTATTGACCAGTCATAATTTGGAGCAGAAATTTGCTTTCGTTACAGCAGTTTTTGAGTGGGGTGAGAACTATGAGGGAGGGCCTACACGGTGTCTCAGTGAGTAAGATGCTGGCTCACTAACCAGGATATCCCGGCGTCAGCCAAGTAAGTTTCTCAGTATTTCTAATCCTGGTGTATAACAGTGACAGCATTGGGTATGTCCGTTTTCGTTAACCCCGTCACGGCAGAAAAGTAAAAAGTTAACCCATATTTTATTCGTTTTTTATCAAAAATTATAACTGAAGTTATTTTACAAAAATAAATCATGTTGCAATTTTAGAATTATATTTTTTCTTTCATTACATTTTTGGGTTTGTTATTTTTTTTTTATAGAAAATGAAATGAAATGGGGTTTAACTATTCTGCTCCGACTGGGCTAATGAAGACGGGCATACAGTGTGCTATGAGGGAAATTTTGCCCAGACAGCAGTGCTACGGTCTACTTTTATTGTGAATTTCAACTGCCAAGGGATATTTTACATGCACGCCAATGTCTGCACAGGACCATGATTTTTTGTCCCATCCAAAGGACTATACTTTGTCTCTTGCCAGGCCCTCTGTCCTGCAGCTCTGATAAGGGTTTAAATAATAGAGGTATTGGTAAAATCAATTAGTTTTCTCACCCTTTTCTTTCTTTTTCTAAGACCAGACGTTTGTGAATTAAATCCTAATTTATTATTTTCATTACTTCCACTCGCTAGCAGACGGCCATTAGTTGCTATTAGAAACGTGCCATCAAAACCAGCACATACATGTTTAATGAAATGTTTTCCTGGAATTGCAACCTAGTAAAGAAAACAAATAAATTTTATTTAAAAAAACACAAAAATTTAAGAGATATATGCCCAACCAAAAGTTATCATGCTCAAGTACAAACAACATTCTGAAATATGAAAGTAAACAGTTGAGGGAAACAAAAGTTAATAATTCTAGAAAGTTTTATAGTTACATTTTATAGTAATTTTATAGTTACATGGTGGAGGTCGATCGTAGCCATGTTTGAAAACGGGGTAAAAAGAGGATTTTTCAAAATATGCTTGTTTTAAGGTGTGTAAATTGACGAACAGGTCCCAAGATATTTTGGTCAATTTTTAATACAAGCTGTCATGACCGGCATATATAACTGAGTTGGAATCTATGGTCGAAACATAATTTGAATAAACAGATAACATTTCAAGGATACTCCATGGAACATCCTGGATTCAAATTCTCTCGATCAAACTATCCATCAATTGAAGACAATTAGAAAACAATTTTATCAATTTGTTAAAAGCCTTACTCTAAATTGAGCATTCTCCTTGGTCTCATATTAAATTCCTGTCAGGGTGAGACATATAAAAGATGTAAAATCTTTTTACATGACTAATGGAATCTAATGAAATATGATAAAAATATAAATAATTTTACCTTCTGTGGTGTGGTGTGGTCATCCTCAGAACCCAGCCCTAACCTACCTGAATATAAAAATATGTGGGAAAATCTTAGTTGGTAAGAGAATTTTGCTTGGACAGCAGCATTTCTGACAACTTTTTTATGATTTCCAACTGTTAAAGAGGTCTTCTTTTGGTTTCAAATGTTATATGGATTATCATTTAGACATTTATTAACCTGACGAGCCTACAATTAACTCTCTAGATCACTGACTGGCAGAGATTTAAATGGATTTAAACAACCATTACTACGATAATAAATGATCTACACTATATCTTCAAACGTTCATAACTTCATTTAGAATAAGTAATTTGAATGAAATTTTCATTTTTGATAATCTATTTTTGAACCATTATAGCATGAACATTTAGCTCTTTATCTAAATCTTACATAATGTATCTTTAAATGATCTTATAAATAATAACGGTGAGAGTGTCCTCATTGAAACCTTGCAGTTAATAAACCTATTGAATGTTATCCATAAAACTGTCTGTTTATTATATATCGCTTTCACTAAATGTCTTTCAATGATACGATCTTATAAATACATGCCAATAAATACCAGGTGGACCGGAATACTTTGTTTTATATGACCCTATGCTACCCTGGGCTACACTTACACTATTATCAAATCTGACTCAAAATATTTCTGAATATGAACTTACCAAATTCACCACATCCCCAAGTGTAAACGTCGCCATCTTTAGTTAAAGCTACACAATGTGAATCACCACATGATATTTCCTCTATAGGTATGGATGTAAAATAGTTGATTGGTACTGGTGATAAAATATCACCTTCTTCACTGGTATCACAGCCGACACAGCCATAATAATCGGATCCAAATCCATATAATTTACCTTCATCTAAATTAATATAAAGATTATTATGACAAGCCTTTCAGGGCATTAAACATCCTACTTTTCGTAAATTCCAACTGCCAAGGGTTTTTTTTACACAAAGGAAAACATATACACAAGACCTCAGTTTTCTGTTCCTTCTCAAAAACTAAACACTGTTCCTTGCCAAGCCCCATGTCCAGCACAACTGACAGGGGGAAACTATGCTGGGAAATCATGAGGAACTTCCTCAGCCAACACTGGGTTTGAGCACAGGGCCTCCTATTTAACATCCACTTGACACAAACTGTCATTTTGGGACTAACATATGGATCAATCTTATTTCAATGAGTCTTTAGCAGTTGAAGGAAACCGGAGGACCAGAGGAAACCCACAAGGTTGGACAGGTGACCCTACTCCTTGTCACGTACAAGCAGGGAATCGAAACCACTCCACTTGACTCAATGAAAGACCTTGTGATTTCACTCTCACACATTAACCCACTAGACCTCCTCTCCCCTTTCCCCCCACCTCCTGGCTCAAAGAATTAATAAGTTTTGATTTATTAAACAGGGAACAATGCGTATTACCTGTTACACAGATGGTAAAATCTGTACCACATGATACTTGTTTAACTGGTATTCCTGATAAACCCTCTACTAGTTTCGGTATCTTATAACCAGCAGTATCACCATGTCCTAGTTGACCCACCATACTACTACCACCTTGTGAATTCTAGGAAATAAAATAAAATGAAATAAGGTTTAACATCCTACTTTTCTGCTCTGACTGAGTTAATGCACACAGTCATACACCACACAGTATGCTATGAGGGATATTTTGCCTAAACAGCCACGTTTCTACATACTCTTTGTCGAATTCTTACTGCCAAAGGTTCTTTACATGAGTAAACCAATTTAAACGACTAAATGCTGTTCCTTGCCAGTCCCCCCAACCCTGTCCTGCACTGACAAGGGGAAACCACACTGAAAAATCTAGGGGACTTTCTCAATGAACACTGTGATTGAACCCAGGAAACCCTGGTTAATGGGCCAGCGCCTTACTCACTGAGTCACTGTGGTTCAGATTCTATGAAAACAAATCTTGATAAATATAATAATTGTTTATGTATTGTATATCCAAGAGTATCACGATGTCCCAGTTGGCCCACCATATTATTATTAACACATAAAGTAATGACATGCTAGAAAACACTAAACAACAAATGAGAGATCATGCAATGTATTAAAATAATTTCCTATATTTCTTACGGCCCAAGTAAAAACTTCTCTTTCAACAGTTACTACAGCAAAATGAGATTCACCACATTCAACCTAAAAACACAAATAACTTTTAATTAACTTTGAACTCCAGTTGTTGGAGATCTAACAACTTTCTTATTGTGTATTTTAATACTTCCACAGAGGTCTCTCATTTCAATCAGATTGATCGGTCTTGACTGACTGACAGTGAAATTGACTGGTTGGAGAACTTACCTATCAGTCAATTTAAATGTCATAAAATCTGAATTACAATGAATTTAACCCATAAAAGACATTACATACAATTAAATTTATAGTCTTAATGTGTAAAAGACTCAAATTTGGATAATATCAAAAATTGTTATAATCTTTTGTAAAATATATCTTTCTAAGGTGAAGTAAACAAAATGCATTTAAATACCTGAATTGGACTCTTTTCTTTAGTGAAGAATTCAACTTTTTGTGGGGTAATTTTTCCACCTCCCCAAATATAAACCTATAATTAAAAGGTAATATTTATGTTTATTTATATGTCGCAACACTCCACAGTTTTAAACAGTCTAAATAAGGCATAATTGACCCCAAACAGGTGCTATGAAATATAAACATTCAATTTTATAATTCCAAAACATTCTATTTCATAGCAACCAAAACATTCCAATTCATAGCAACCAAAACATTCTATTTCATAGCAACCAAAACATTCTATTTCATAGCAACCCAAACCCAAACATACACAAAATCAAAGCCAAATATTTACAAGGATTCCTTGACAAAATATAACTAATATTTTCAGAAAAAATATATTTCTTATACAAAAGCTTTATAATAAATACCAGTGAAAATAACCTACCTCACACATTTGAGCTTTGACAACTGGGACTGTCGTTTCTGATACAGAACAAGCAGTTAATCTCGCTTTTCTAGCAACTGAATTTAATTCCCATACTTTCTTCTCTAAATCACTAAAAATTATAACAAAACAACATGTATTCAGGCCTAAAAAATAGGGAGAATCTCAGAGATTCAAACAGTTGAAACTCAGAATATTTGTAGATACTTGCACAATGCCAGCAAACATTTGGACATTCGGCTCTGGGCAACAAAGAGACTTTTGAAACAAAATTATTCTTTTGAATAAATCTTAAATACTTGTGTTTAGGAGAAGATATCTTAAATTAGAATTTTTATCATGAAAACACTGTATTTTTTTTTCAGTAACAGCCATTTACTTTGTAACATATGAAACGTCCAGTTAATCTTACCCTTGTTTTGTAAAAAGTGAATTCTTCAAGATTTCTTCCGAGACTGGTCTATTGGCAGGTTCCTGTATAAGAAAAATACAATCATTATGTTTGTACTGTGAAAATAACAAGCTATCTTACAGCGTGGAAATGAAATAAAATAGGGTTTAACGTCTACTGTTTTGCTCCGAACTGGGCTAATGAAGACGGGCATACACCATACAGTGTGCTATGAGAGAAATTTTGCCCAGACAGCGGCACTACGGCCTACTCTTATATTGAATTCCAACTATCAAGGGATCTTTTACGTGCATGCCAATGTGTACACAGGACCTCTGTTTTTCGTATCACCCGAATGACTAGACAGCTGTCCTTGTCAGGCCCTTCGTCCTGCATCACTGACAAGGGGGAACCACGCCGGAAAATCTGGATGAACTTTCTTGGCCAATGCAGGGATCGAACACCCGACCTCCAGGCTACCGAGCCAGTGTCTTTTTTTTTTCTTGTAAGTATGTTTCTTCATGAACTACATAATCATAATACACTGTACATACATTTTAATCATGGAATAGCACAAAACATTCTTAGTTAATTAAAAGCATTATTTTTGTTTATTTGATTTTATTTATTTTTAAAAACAAGAAAAAGGAAAAGACAAGAAATAAATTCCAGAATCAAAATACAGAACCATTGACACATTAACACATTGATGAAATAATAAATCAATAAATCAATGGATCAATATATTAATTCATAAATATATTTATATTAGGTTAATTAAAATATGTATTAAAAGGTTGTGCTATTCAATTTGAAACTTCAATCAAGATATAATTACACAAATTTACATAGTATGTACATATGATGTTAAAGCTATTGTTGCTAATCTGATATTCAGTAAGGGTAATCTAAGTCAATACGAATACTACAATTCATAGTTAAAAATCAAAAATTAGTTACTTTATCGTTTTCTAATCATTTATATTTAATAGTGGATTTATGGTGTTTTAACAATTACAAAGCTTAGCTTATATTTACGAGCTGATAAGATTTTACACAATAAGTAGCAGACTAGATTTCTGCCGTCTGCGCGACGCTGTGTCTCAGTTAATGACCTTAACTATAGACTGTGCCAGGTATGCAAGCCTTTACTTTCCAGTTCTATTTTAACACTATACATCATAGAAGTCTTGTTCTTCCAGTGCTCTTACAATTTAACACTGAAAAAGGCTATTGTAAACCTGTTAAGGCACACCACTATCTTACCTACATCTTGATTGTTTTGTTTGTTAGTCACTAAATATAGTAAATTTTGGGACATAGAGGTTTGTCATTTAATTTTGAAGCCTATTTTCATGTGAACAATGTTCAACAATTGTCAGTGTGATTAGAATTTATCTTTAAAATGTAAAACAGTAAGGTTCTTATATTAATATTTGAAAGAAGTGTAATGGGTTTTAACCTCTCAATGCTCTGTTCCCACTAGCTCAGGAAAAGGAAATGAAATGAAATATGCTTTAACGTCCTACTGTTCTGTTCCGAACTGGTCGGCCTACTCTTATAATGCGTTTCAACTGCAAAGGAATCTTTAACGTGTATGCCAAGGTGCACACAGGACCCCAGCCGCTCTTTGCATCCGAACGACTAGGCATGTCCCGCGCCACTGTCAAGGGGAAACCGTCAATAATTTATGTTATCATCAAAAATATTAATTATCTCTATCCGTTATATAAAATTTTCTCTTCACACTTTAGGGGTATAAGCTAACACATGTATAAGTCTAGTTTTGTTTCTTTGTTACAACACCAAAAATCCTCTAAAACATGTATATAACTAACATTTATGGAGATAAATAATATTTAATATCACAACAGAAACTAGTCAGTAAGCTAAGATTTGAAAATTTATTATATGACACTATGCAGTCAATGTCAATGAAAAAAAAAATTACGACAAACTTTAATTTAAACCGTAATCTTATATATAGTTCGATATATGGAGATTTTAAACCTAATTATAATTTTAAGAACAAACTGTACCGAGCCAGCGTCTTAACCACTTAGCCACCGCGATCCCCGCTTACAGTGTGGCCTTTGTGTTTCAAGTGACAAGACTGTAGATTTTTAATGCTTTTTGACAATTCTATTGTAAAAAAACAGCTCCCCAATCATCAGCTGAAAGGCTACAACTTCACTTAAGCTTCTCATTATGCTTGAAAAATATTTATGAATGTCTTGTTTACCTTCTTTAAAAGAAGTAGTTCATGTGTTTTGTTCATTTCGAATTCAAAAACATTAATTTATAAGTCAGTTTTCTTTACCTTTTGTAAAAGTTGGCTGACTAGTTTCTGCATTTCTTGTGAATAAATTGAGCTAATATCACTCTGTTGATTGAGGACAATATCTCTGGCTAATTTCAATGCATTCTACAGAAAACAAAAGACATTTATTCTGAAAGGTTATATATAAAAAAATCCAAACACAAATTCTACTAATGAAATCATAAAATCATTGAATATCGTAAAATAATGCAAAAAGCTATATATTTATGGACTACATATATAGCTATAATAGCTCAAAAATAGATAATGTAAAATGAAAATATTGAAAATGTCATTCAAACTACTTCATTCTGAGTCAAGTTGTCACTGTTTGTAGTTTTGACAAGATGTGTGCATAGTGCATAATTACGGCACTGGTATATTCGAGTCTTAGCCTCGCTTTCCCATTTTTAAATTAAATTTTTAAATGGTGAACCGTTCTAGTTTAGTTAAAATCTCAAGTATCTGATGCCATTTAGAGTTTATTATAGTCTGGATAGGTTAATTAATGTCTAATTAATATAACATTTCAGGCCTAAAGGAAGTCCTGCTATAGGCAGATTTATCTCTTGCATGATGTATCCTTAGTTTAATAAAGATGAGAATACCGTCGTCAAAACTCAAAACATTGCATGTTGATAGAATGATGTTGCTCTGTGGCAATGATATGACGATCTTGGGATCATTCATCATTATGTCTGATTACCAGTAGATAATATATCACATAACAACAGAAATCTAAATTCATTGTTAATGAGTGTAATGAATGAGTTATGCCTAAACCAAAGGTGATCTGTTAGAGCTCTCAATTTACTGATAAATTATTGCCTATTCACAGTTCACAGACAAAAACAGTCACAAAAAACCTACTGAAGCTTCAAATGTTCTCCTTAATGTCAGCAATTCATATAAAACACAACCCAGAGCCCAAATATCACTCTTCTGATTATATCTGAAATAATAAGGTGTTCAATATGTTATACTAGAATACTTGGTATGGAATATATAATCCTTATGTTTATTAAACAGCAAGGTTTCAACAAGATTTCAAAAGTCGTTCCAAGCATTAAAGATACATTATGTAAGATTTAGATAAAGAGTTGACCATTCTTACTATAATAGTTCGAAAATAGATAATGTAAAATGAATAATTTGAAAATGTCATTCAAATTACTCTATTGCGAGCGAAGATATTTGCCTTTGAAGGTTTGACAAGAAGTGTGCAATAATTTCAACCACCTTACTGGTTGTACGAAGCTAAGTCTCGTTCCTCCATTTTTATCTTAAATCAAAATATTGCTGAACTGTTCTGAACTGTTCAAATCTATTTAATATCAGAGAAATCCGATGCCATTGAAAGTTGATTATGGCCTGGATAAGTTAATTAATGTCTAATTAATAATTTAGAAAACATTTCAGGCCTAAACATAGACCTGCAATAGGCAGATTTAGCTCTTGCATAATGTATGTTTAACATTTATGTCACAGTGCGATTAACTAGAGCTAGACAAGAGATCTTAAATCGTTGGTAGATTACAGATTTGTCGCTGAGATTTTAGACCACCAGGCAATCGAATCATCCATGCACCTGATGATAACGTGACATTGTATATATTATATGAAATATATCTTACTTGTGTCCCTGCATCAGCTCTGGTGACATATAATATGGTGTACCAACTAGCTGTAAAATATAGCATTTAATTCATCAATTAAAACTTTCATCTAAGAAAAGATATTTGCAGTCCAAAATAACTTTCACTATACAGAAAAATTAGTATATGAACATTTTAAACAGTTTTAAATCAATTTTTGATACTTTTATTCATAAAATTTGCAGTAAGACAAAAAGAGAGGACTGTTATTATAAGGGGAGTTGTATTTATTCATTTATAACTACCTCCATTATGATACATGAATATGATAATGCTTTGACATCCTAAACCATTAGTTTCTTGTTTCATGTAAGTATGGGTTTGGCTCACTAGCCTGGAGAGAGAGAGAGAAATGGGGTTTAACCTCCAATTGACACAAACTAGGTCATTTGGGGACTAACATATTGTTAAATTTTTATTTCAATAATTCATTTGCGCGTAGGGTTCTTTAGCAGTGGGAGGAGACCAGAGGACCCGAAGAATACCCACAAGGTCAGACAGACGACCCTACTCCTTGTCACGTACAAATGGGGAATCGAAACCACGCCAGTTGACTGAATGACAAGACCTTATGATACAGCGTGCACATGATAACCAATTGGCCATCCAACCCCCTCACATTGTCACATACAACCGGGGAATCGAAACCTCGCCAGTTGACTCAATGACAGACCTTATGATACAGCGTGCACGTGCTAACCATTCGGCCATCCAACCCGCCATGTACCAATGATCTCAGGGCATATTGCCCATTTTTATTAGCAATGTTGGAGCAGAGAAAAGTCAAAAGCTAAATCCCATTTCTTTTCTTTTTTTGTTCTACAGTGCTTACTGTTTCAGCCATACCACTCTGAGATTGCATTATCTTTGATATTCCAAAATCACCAAGTTTCAATAATCCTGATTTGGTTAAAAATATATTCAGTGTTTTTATATCCCTGAAAATATATGAACAATAGGGGTTATTTTACCTTATAAAACTTGTCACAATTTGTGTTGCCTATTCTGGATATATCAATTTAGTCAGGGGCCCATCAGCCCTGATTGAAAAATATAAATCGGTACATATTTCTTTCACAATAAACATAATTCATCTACAATTCCACTGACAAATGAAATGGCCTAAATCTGAAGAGAAAAATGGTCTATGAGTGGAATGTGGAATAGGTGAATCAAGCAAGCTTTGTTTTCTTGTCATTTCACATTTTCATCACCACATGGGGGCCCGCAAGGAAACCAGTTGGTCTGAGGACCCAGAGCTACCTAATCTGCCCCTGGATATAATTATCACCGAATAGTCTTAACTTTGTAATACTGGTAGAAAGCACTATTTTGGTTCAATAACTGGAAGGTGCAAACTAGGTCATTTTGGGGCTAACACATGGTTTAATTTTATTTCAATAATTCGCATGCGCGTAGGGGTCTTTAGCAGTGGGAGGAAACGGGAGGACCCGGAGAAAACCCACGAGGTTGGACAGGCGACCCTACTCCTTGTCACGCACAACCGGAAGGTGCAAAGATCAGAAACAAGAAATACTTTGGTTCAATAATCACAAACATCCATTATTACCTGTGTATGATTCCATACTCATGAATATATGCCAGAGCTGATGTCATCTGAAACAAATACCAAATAACAGTCTGAAAAGAGAGAGAGAGAAATGGGGTTTAACATCCACTCAACACAAACTAAGTCATTTCTGAGCAAAGATATTGTACAATTTTATATTTCAACAATTTGCTTGCAAGTAGGGGTCTTAATCAGCGGGAGAAAATGGGAACCCCAGAGAAAACCCATAAGGTTAGGCAAGTGACCCTACTCCTTGTCACTCACAAGTGTGAGATAAAAACCATGTCACTTGACTCTACAACAGACCCTATGATCTAAAGTACATATGTCAGACCATTTGTCCACCCAACCCTCAAACAGATACAAAAATATGTACAAATCAAGAATCGTCAAATTTACCCTGAGTAAGTGAAATTTAACTGTAAAGAAAATTTCGCCCAAATTCGGAATGCTTGACATATCCATATCTTTTATGTATCATCATTGATATACTTTACTTGTATCCATGGAAATTCAAAAATTCAACTATAAATTCCCAAATTAATTATTCTATACCTACTTTTTCTGGAAACAGGCTGGTTTGGTTATAAATCTTTTCATACAATGTACCATCTGAAATGCATATAACATATTATTACCATAAACCCATATTTTACTCATACCAGATCAGCTTGTGACATACCTGAATTTTGGACACCCAATTGCAATTTTCTTCAATTAAAAATGTTTCAGACTCATAACTGAGTACCTTCCTTCACTTTTACACAAATGATGGGTTCCACTGACTACAGACATGTTAATTCTAGATCCCTATAAACAATATAATACACAAGCTTTTCGCTATTATATTGTATTTGTGTGAACAGTTCTATCCTGTAATCTTAATATATATGTATCTATAGAAATCTAATATTACCATTTGCATACTCCATTTCAATAAAGAGAGTATCTCCATCAATAAAATGATTATAATAAGATACAATATTGGCATGATCGAGAAATGATAAAATATCAATCTCATTCTGTGAATCTCTTCTTTCTTTATCTCCACAGTTCGCTAAGTTAATCTCTTTCCATACCACTAAACTGTTATCCTGAAATAATAATAACAAATAAATTTATGAATACAAGCCTGGAAATAAGGCACCTGTCAAAGACATTGTATGGCACAAATTCAGGATTTTTCAGGCACTGCCCCTCTGGTGCCTGTCATTTTGTTCGTTATAGATCTTTATTTTATTAGTGTTTTTATTAATAAATGTCCAGCACAAACTCAAAATGTCAGGTACCAGATTATTATATTAGTGCCTGACATTTTATCATGTACAGTTAAAATCATTATATATTCTCAGACAAATTGATTATTTAATTTAGAAAACGAAATAATTAAATAATCAATTTGTATAATAATACATTTTAGCATTGATTAAGCCATGAAAATCAGATATGTTCCAAAAAAAGCAAACAAGGATTAGCTTCTTTAAATTTCTGTTAATTTATTTTGGGTTCCATGTATGGTGGAGACTGCCACTAGCTTGTTTATATCCTATGTAGTCAGTTTAGAGTATACAGATCATTGCGAAACTATCAGTATTTGTAAATACTGAACTAACTGCAGATAATTGAACAGAACTGAACAAGTTTCCAGAGTGATATTCATTAGCTGAATAGCTGAGTCGGTCCAGAAAAGTGGGACATTAAACTGCATTTTCTTTTTGGAATTCAACTTCCAGAATATTGTAAATCAGACGCTTTTGAGGAATTACCAATATACATAATTTATAAACAAGCCTTTGAACTTGGAAAAGTATTAATTTATTCTAATTTTATTGGTTGAATTGTTTATCAGCTGATTGCTGGGTTAATGAATAATGTACGTCCGCACCAACTGCTTTTATATTTCTAAAAGATACTGTTATTATAAGTGCACGGATATTTTGGCATGCTTTATTTATTAACCTCAGTTTTTCTATACAAGACGGCTTCTCCAAATGCCCCTTTACCCAATACACGGATCAAAATATAAGATGTTTCCTGGGGTTCTGCAAATTCTGTCACTTCGGCCGCCATGATGTAAACAAATGTACAGGAAGCAGCTTGTACGCATGTCTTTTAAAAGATAGCCAATCAAATGAAGCGCACCTGCCTTCGTCAAGAACATCCAGACGATATAAAATTATTTTGGGATGTCTGGTTAAGCAAGACTATAATGCCTGAAAGGCGAAATGAATATTGTCTTGGTAAATAATTCCTTTAAATTTTTGTCAGTAACCTTTGTCATGAACATTGAAGACATTATGATTTTCCTTACCTGTCAAGAAAGAAAACTTTGCAAGAACTTGGCGTACTGACAGTCACTTGAAGTTATTCAGCCGGACTTGCTAGTATTCACCGGGTTTTGCCTTTTTTGAACAATACGCATAGCAAAAAAATTGAAAAAAGATCTTGTTGAATATTTTGGTCAAAACGGCCACAAAAAATCATAATAGACATTTTGTCAAAACCGGCTCATGATTTACGTTATGTTAATATATAATGACAAAATTCATCAGAAAGACTATGAAATTAGATATAAAAAAGATATATTATTTCTGCCTATAGTATAATAACAAAGTTATTTCCCTTAATTTAGCCTTATATAGAGGTTAATAGAATTATGAGATTAACATATACATCAAAGATTTTGAACTAGACTTTGAATCTGTCCAACACTCAAACTAATTCTATTGCATTCAGGTATTATTTTATAGGTATAGAAAAAATTGATGGACAGAAATTACACAAGAAATTATAAAACTGTTGATGTAATTGACTGAATTTTATTCTCTATTTCCAGCAAAGGGGTGTGTCAGTTTCGTTATTTCAATCTGTTTACAAGACTTCTGAACTATACAAACCAACAAATAGAAACTTATGGGGCTGGTTAAATGCAATTTTTAACAGGTATGAATGTCAAAATAAATGTTAAGCACTGGGTGGCTAGGTTAGTTGTTTGCATTAATCGTGCAACAGTTGACTGCCAGTTAGAGAAGTCACTTAACCCAGTTCATATTTTGCACACTTCCCATTATTGGTAAAAGAAAACATTTTTCATCACTGCACAACATTTTATGCTTTGACCATACCCTATAAGTATACCTCGTCAACTGTCTAATTTCACATGCATGGTGAGTTGACCCTAACAAATGAGTATACCTCTATGCTGACTAGCTTATTTCACGTCATTTCTATATAGTCTATGTCATGGCTTTTTTGTTTGTTCATTAGACTGTTGTGTCTTGGTCTCATAGACCATAGTCTCAATTAACAACCAAGTGAAAATCATTGTTGGACACTTTAATCCTTTAGAGGTATTTAGTAACTGGATAGAACAATAAACTATGACACATAGTTATGCAAGAACAATTTCTAATTTATTTCCATGACATGCCAAAGAGTATTTCCTGAACATTTTCAAGCAAGTACAGTAACAAATGTGTAGGGCAATTATATTGAGTTTATTGTTGGAGACAAAAAAGTTATCATAATGTAGGGGATCACGGTGGCTAAGTGGGTAAGACTCTGGCTCGCTAGTCTGGAGGTCGTGTGTTCGATGCCTGCATTGGCCGAGAAAGTTCATCCAGATTTTCCGGCGTGGTTTCCCCTTGTCTAATCGTTAGAATTGTACAAAAAAACGAGGCCCCGTGTACACATTGGCGTGCATGTAAAAGATCCCTTGGCAGTTGGAATTCGATATATAAGAGTAAGCCATAGCGCCGCTGCCCGGGCAAAATTTCCCTTATAGCACACTGTATGGTGTAGGCCCATCTTCATTAGCCCAGTTTAGGAGCAGAACAGTAGGATGTTAAACCCCATTTCATTTCATTTCATTTATCATAATGTGGGGGGGGGGGGGGTTTGGATGGCTGAATGGTTAGCGTGCGCGCGCTGTTTAATAAAGTCTGTCATTGAGTCGACTGGCGTGGTTTCGAATCCCCGGTTGTACGTGACAAGGAGTAGGGTCGCCTGTCCAACCTCGTGGGTTTTCTCCGGGTCCTCCGGTTTCCCCCCACTGCTAAAGACCCCTACGCGCAATGAATTATTGAAATAAAATTAAACCATATGTTAGTCCCGAAATGACCTTGTTTGTGTCGAGTGGACGTTAAACCCCATTTCTCTCTCTCTCTTATCATAATGTTGTGCATATGTTTATTCTGGGTTTTTTATATATTATAAATGAACTGATTAATATTTTATTATTATTTAATTAACTTTAGGGTTGACAATGACAGGAGAAAACAAGTTGGTCCTGACAGAGCATGTGCAGAATGGTTATTGAGATGTGGAGCATCTGTTAAATGGCAGAATTTCAATCACTGGGTAAAAGATTATAACACGCTACCTGGCAGTAATTTCAAGAATTATCAAATAGAAGAAATTGATGCATCAGATTCGGCTGTAATGGCAGTTGGATTTCCTCATTTAGGTATATACGTCTCCAAGTTTCTATAATATCAATGCTATCTTCCCAGTCATACAACTATCAAGAATTCAGTTTTATTAAGGCTTTGAACATTTTAATTGAAACGAAGAATGAATGAATTAGAAGTAGCTTCATTTGATTAATTTATATATATCTGCCCATCACCTCCAGAAAAACATATCTGAAATTTGGGCTAAGCAAGATTATGTTGGTGGACAATGCACGCTAACTTCAAAATACTAGCTGATGTATTTCTGATGTCTGCATTGTTTGGTCTGTCTCAATCTGATTAAAATAAGATCTATATTTCATTTAGTTTTTTTTTATACTTTCAATGACATCCACTATATGCAGACCTGACCCGTAGTAGTGGGAGGTTGCGTCAGGGGTCATACAAATGAATTTTGACCATATGATGTCAGCTATCTTAACCAATGAGCATCGGTTTTTCAAGTAGGTATTCGTAAATACAACTTTTGTTTTGATTTGTTTTCTATCACTGCTAATGTCTATCCATAGTTCTGCACACAGCACGCTAAAAACTCAACCCAACACAGGTCCTATTGTTGTGAAGACAACTAAAACAAAATTTTGAACTATAAAAAAAACAAAAAACGAAAATAGGATCTACATTTTAATCAGATTGGGTCTGTCTATGTTTTGTTGTGTAATTATCCTCCACTGTTTAATAATTATGTAAAATTCAACGAATTTGTGTAAAAGACCAGGTCTTTTTTCTTTTTTTTTCAGAAGGATTAAAACATGTAAAAAGAATAACTCTTCATAATTGTGGTTATTTAGATGATTCAGCATTAAGTTATTTGCCCTGTGTTAAAGACTCGTTGATTTATTTACAATTAAGTAGTTGTGGAGATATCTCAAACCAGGGTTTACAGCCAATTCAACAATTAAAGTAAGATTTTGGTTTTTATACGCCCACATTGAAATGTGGTCGTATATTGTCGTCGCCCCCGTCCGTCCGTCGGTCTGTTGATCACTTCAAAATATCTTGTGGATGCTCTAGAGGACAAAGTAATATACAATTGACTTTAAATTTATACAGTGTTTAAGGTCTTGAGACAAACAAGTATACTGATTTTCAATGAATTTTGATAACTTTAACAGCTATATTCCATGATATTAAATGTTTCGTATACTAAACATTAGCATGGGACAGAACTTTATAAAAACAAACAAATTCTAATGATTTTCTGATAATTACTTCATGAGTTGTTACTCTTAATCAGATTTTAGTGTATTATAAATTTTTCATCACCAAAAGAAAGTAAAAATATGCGACAACTCTTGTTGACTGCCCGGACGATTTAGCTGCTGTGGGCGTATGTTTCGTTGCCTGGCAACCTTTCTTTTTTATTGTTTGTATAACACTATCAGTTTATAACAGAATATCAGTTTGGTAAATATAACTTTTATTTAAATCAGGAAAATGAAAAGGGGTTTAACGTCTTACTGTTCTGCTCCGACAGACATACGCCATACAGTGAGCTATGAGGGAAATTTTGCCTGAACAGCGGCACTACGGTTTACGCTTATATCAACTGCCTAGGGATGTTTTACGTGCATGCCAATGAGTACACAGGACCACGGTTTTCTGTACCATCCGAATGGCTAGACAGCTGTCCTTGTCTGCCATTCTGTCCTGCAACACTGACAAGGGGAAACGACGCTGGCAAATCCTGAAGAACTTTCTTGGCCAACACCGGGAGAGCAAACCCGCGAGCCAGCAATTTACTCACTTAGCCACTGTGGCTCCCTATTTAAACCAGGAACAAGAATATAAAAATTGAACATGTATAAGACAGGTACCTAAACAAGACCATAAACACAGTGCATTACTAAAGGATATACCAGGAAGGTAAGCCCCTTTTAAAAGCAACCATTCCGACCCTCTGCTAAACCACTGAACTCGGGTGAGTCCATAAGCTCGTCTCCCAAACTACAGGAAATAATAGGTCTTATACCTTCAAACAGGAGGGCAATCTGATACTAACATCTGGTCTTAACACTCTAGTAATAAATACATCCCCAATAACATGTGGCAGTTATCAGTCGGTAATTAAACACAACCAATACATATTATTAATGGGTTTATATGTATAGAACATTTCTAAACTTGATAAAAGTTATGGAGCACTTTGATACAATTGTTCACATTTAGATTTTGTTACAGTATTGAAATAAATTGAAATACCGGTAACTGAAAAATTGTCCATTTCCCACGAACCTTGAAATGGTCAGTTACCTCTTTAAAAAGGATCATCAAATTTATGCATGTTAGAGGGGGATGCTCGATTCACAGTCCAGAACTTCCCGAATTGACAGAATTGCAATCGAGTAACGCGGAATTCAGTTTTGTCACAGTTCTGTCAGTCTCAACAACGGAGGTGGTGTGAGTAGAATCGTGACGTAATTAAAAGCTTTCGGCTGCATGGTTGGTTAAGATATTTACTTATCCAGTCGACGCATGCGTTGTAGCCCGAAATCCACCTTTTCCCTCGATTGTCACTATTTTTGGAATTGAAGGAATTCAATTCCGAAACGTTCAATCGAGTACCCCCATAGTTTCCTTGCAATTGTCTTGTACACTTTATTCTAATTTATATCTTCTTCCTTTCTGATACAGGAATTTGAAAAGATTGAAAATGTTTGATTTACCGGAAGTACGAAATATGCCAGCAGTTATTGATGATCTACAGAAGAAATTACCCGAGTGTACCATAGAATATATACCTGAAAAGAAAAAAGGGGAATAATTTTGATACCGGTTTTTATAAAAGTGCTGTTTTATGTAGACATATGTCATAACTAACTGAGATGAAATGGGATTTAATGCCCTACTGTTCTGTTCCAACTGAGCTAAACGAAGACAGGCATAATTTCAATAACGGTTTTGATAATATATATTAGTGCTTGTCTTCTAGGGACAGGAACATACATGTACTATCATCACTAATTGTGTGAATGTGATACAGCACAAAATTCTCTGTGGAATGTTTTACAATTTTTATGGCTTTTTTCAAACTTGTTCAGATTTGTTGACGTTAATTTTAGAGCTTGCTGCTGGTGGGTGTATTAGAGAATCTGACAAGACTCTATGTTTATCTATAGAAATAATTTAGAAGACTGTAAAATAATGTATTGCTGCCCAGGCCTGTCACCATAGGATTTCAGTTCTTTCTTATATGTTTATATAAATTAATGTAAATAAAATGTATTTAAAAAAACCTTTGTATATTTATTTTATTGGAGATGATGGCTGTTCTGAGAACTTACAATATTTTGATTGTTGTAGGCCTACTTTAATGCATTCAGGGATCGTGGTAAAGGCATTTGACTCTTGACTTTTGAAGCTTGATTCCCACTTCCTACATGTAGCTCCTGTGAGGCTGATAAGTGAAGTGCTGCCTAATCGTTTGGATGTACATTTAGTGTGCATATACCATTGCAGAACCTTTGGCAGTTGGATTTTGAAGAAGAGTAATCATAAATGTCACTGTCCGAGCAAATTTTCCTCCCTAGCATTGCGAGAGAGAAATGGGGTTTAACATCCACTCGACACAAATTAGGTAATTTCAGGACTAACATGATTCAATTTCATTTCAATAATTTGCTTGCGTGTAGGGGTCTTTTAGCAGTGGGAGGAAACCGTAGAAATCTCATGAGATTGGACAGGTAACCCTACTCCTTGTCACATTCAAGTGAAGATTCGAAACCACGCCACACTTGATTCAATGACAGAGCTTGGATTTCACGGGCAGGCTTTAAAGTTTAAACCAATAAACGCCCATAGAAAAAAAGACCATATGTTAGTCTCAAAATGACCAAATTATTTGTACACAGGGCGTCAATTTTTTCGACGATTTAAACCAGTAGACTTTGAAATGAAAATAGGTGACATCTTTCAAAGTTTTTTGTCCCATTCTAACAACTAGATACTGTGTTCCTTGACAGGTCCTTCGTCCTGCATCACTGACAAGAGTTAACCACGGAGGAAAATCTTAAGGAACTTTCTTAGCCAACACCAGGATTCAACCCAGGACCTCCTGGTATAGAGACCCAGAGCTTACTCACGGAGCCATCACAGCTTCTGAGAAATTTGAACCTAGGCTACTCCTTTCAACGCACCGCTTCATATCTACTAAATAGGTGTATGGGTGTGTATAGAATAAAAAAATATTTTAATATATCATTCAATATGTGATATTCATGAAAATTGATTGAAGCATTCCATTTAATTGATTTAGAATATTCTAGAACATTCTAAATTCTAAAAAAAAAATTTAAAAATTGAGGTACTATCTTTAATATTCAATTTCAGTTATTTCTAGATTTGTTTTGGGTTTTTTAAAAAAAAAAGTCCATTATTTAGTGACATAATTAATTAATAGAATATTGTGTTTTTGTTGAAATAAAAGAAAAACAAAATTCTTAAGTGTCTGGTTAAAAAAAGGCTATTTACTCACTGGTAACCAGCTCATCCATTATGGGACGTCAAATCGGAAATAAAAATTCTATATTTGTCCTTGTTTTATTATTTATTATTATTTATAAATAAAATGTACATTTTGCAATATGCACCACTTATTAACTTAAGTTTAGAACTGAATTTTTATTTCCTTGGGCGATTTTAATGAAAATAAGGGCGACTTGGTATCGGTGCGTGCGAAGTGACCTTTATAAGATTACTTCCGGTGTACATTCGAGAAACGGGAAACGACACTCGCGTGCTCATGTTAATCTTTTTTTAACAAGTAAACTGAACTATCGCGAAATTTTGGTTAATTATCGACTGAAGTTCCTCCAGGCTTCATCTGTACATTACTGACAGGAAAATATGGCCAAATGGGGAGAAGGCGATCCAAGGTGGATTGTTGAAGAGCGGCCCGACGCAACAAACGTAAACAACTGGCATTGGTAAGGAATCAAGCTTGCTTTTCACTTTTCGTCTGAGAAAAAAACGTCTAAATAAAAAGCATTTACAATCACTGTGTATATGAGTTTTAATGTACATATATTGAACTGATATGTCATTGTCAACAATATTAATTTATCGAGGTTTTTGTCAATACCGAACAAGTATGTGATCTTATTAATTATAAAGTGGATCGCTCTCTCAGTCTCTTTTTATTTAAAATATTTAGGCCTTGAGGTTAGTTATTGGCGTTATTTAATTTATAAAAGCCAAAGGCCTGCGGTGTAAAATTTTGAATGGAAACATTCAGACTATTCTGTTAATCCATTCATTGAGTAGATATCGATGTTTTAAATTTAAAAATTGAAGAGTAGGTCTAATCCATAATATTCTGACTCACGACTTTTAATATATACAGTTTAAAAAAAACCAAATTATTTTATGCCATATAGCTACCATGTTGGTAAATGGTAATATATATATATATATATATATATATAGATTTGTCCGAAAAACATTCAGAGTACTATAATTATAATGTAATTTTTGATACTTTCAAATCTTTTAATCAAGAAAATTCCTTGTTGGTTGCGGTTTGTGCCAGCTGTTTAACCAGGTCTGCAGTTTGATTCCTGTGTTGGACAGGCCTGGAAATAACGGTTTTAGGTGTACCTGACAAAATGTCAGGCAGTAATGAAATAGCACCTGACATTTTCAACTTAGTGCCGGACATATATTAATAGTATCAATATAAAAGACAAATCAGTGCCGGACAAAATGACAGGCACCAGAGGTTTTGTGCCTGACAAAACCTGAATCTGTGACTGACATTGTCTGTGACAGGTGCCTTATTTCCAAGCTTCGACTTGGCCTATCAAAGAAAAAAGCATTTATCATTATACGTGTATGACGTATCTCATTGTTGGACGAATATCCAGGGCATATAATGGAACTAATATATATACTTTAAATTTTATTTGTTTTTCTTTTCCGTTCAGTTATTGAAGTATGTTATTAAATTTATCTAAAAATTTAAGGGTGGAAAAAAATGCCTCGACTTGGTCTAAAGACAAGTTAAAAGAATTGTTAGTTGGGTTAAAGGTTAAAGATGGTACAGGTAATTATACTTAATCTATTCTTAAAAGTTTCAATAGCTACTAATTAGATTTACCAGTAATCAGATTAAGAGTGATTGAGTTTCAGATTTGTAAACAGATTAAGAAAAAAGATACAATTCATCTTAACATGTAATCTGTTAATTATAATTACATTACATTGAAATTGATTAGGGAGATTATACATGTATTTATAACATAATGCTCAGCATGTAAATTATGACATAATATTAGGGATGAAAGATACATCAAAATATAAACAAGTTGATAATGCTATTTTGTTTACTTGAATTATGGAAAAGTTGATGATTTTCTCTTGGTGATTTTCTCCCAATTATAAACTTACAGTTAAATCATTATACAGAGACCCTTTTTAACAAGTCAAAACTTGGTTTCCATTGATTTGCATAGCATGTCTGGAAATATTGATTTTATTTGAACCTCATATCAAAATAAAATAAATTTTAAATTCTAAGAATTAAATTTGATATTACAGGAGAATGTGAAATAAAGGAATTATCAAAGATAGAAGGCGAGGCATCAGCTAATAACAGGAAAGCCAAATTGATATTTTTTTATGAGTGGGAAATCAGTGGAAAATGGTCAGGTAAAATAATTACTTTTATGAAATCTACTCTAGTTCAACATAATATCTTGAATCTCAATTATGGAGTCGCAGTGGCTCTGTGAGTAAGAGGGGCGGGGTGTATGTATCAAATTTACTATTTTTGGGGGGGAATCTTTTATATAGTTGACAAACATGAAAATGATAGTTTTGGTTGTACCTACACAGTTCCACAACATGTAACAGAATGTCAGGCATAAATGAACTGGTACCAAACATTTTGAGTGATCAACCTTATTGGAGAGATGGAATAAATTTAATTAAGTCTCCATGAACACGTCCTTATTACTCACTAACAAAAGAAATTCCTATGTGACGGCCATGTGTAATTTTTATGTTAGGTTTTTACACTTTATTATAGGTTTCTCGCTAGCCTGGAGGTCGGGTGTTCGATCCCTGCATTGGCCGGGAAAGTTCATCCAGATTTTCCGGCATGGTTCCCCCCTTGTCAGTGATGCAGGATGGAGGGCCTGACAAGGGCAGCTGTCTAGTCCTTCGGATGATACGAAAAACCGAGGTCCCTTGTATACATTGGAATGCACGTAAAAGATCCCTTGGCAGTTGGAATTCGATATAAGAGTAGGCGATAGTGGCGCTGCCCGGGCAAAATTTCCCTCATAGCACACTGTATGGTGTATGCCCGTCTTCATTAGCCCAGTATAGGAGTAGGACTTTAAATTTCATTTCATTTATTATAGGTTTTATAGATGAAACAGAAACAACATATAAAGGAGAGTTTGAAATACCTAATCTTAGTGAAGAAAATGATCCTGATGAGATAGAGGTAATAATTATAATACATATATTTGGGTTTTCTGTAATTCAAAAATTTTAAGACAATTGCAGTGTAATTTTTTAAAAGAAAGATTTGTAGATTCTGCCGTTTATGTGGTTTTTATTCAATAGAGCATGTATGTCGAATATTACATGTTCTATTTATTTTGGGTTCAGTGATGTCTTTAATACTTAGTAATTTGAATTAGGAGTGGTTTGGATGGCTGAATGGTTTGCGCATGCGCAGTGCGCCATAAGGTCTGTTTTTTAGTCAACTGGTGTGGTTTCGATTCCCTGGTTATACATAACAAGGAGTAGGTTCGCCTGTCCAACCTCATGTGTTTTCTCCGGGTCCTCGTTCCTCCCACTGCTAAAGACCCCTACGCGCAAGCGAATTATTGAAATAAAAAAATGTTAGTCCCGAAATGACCTAGTTTGTGTCGAGTGGATGTTAAACCCCATTTGTTTCTCTCTCTCTCACTTTGTGATTTGAGTATTTTCTGTTATACTATTATATTTGTGATTTAAGATTCGTGTAACATGTGATAATACGTCTGATGAAGCATATAAAGTTAAAGAAATAATGAGAAGGACTGGAACACCCATAATACAAGCACAGATAGCTAAATATATCAAAGATCTTAGAGAAGGTAAGAACTCTTGAACCACCCCAACCTCGTGGGATTTCTCCGGGTCCTCCGGTTTCCTCCCACTGCTAAAGACCCATATGCGCAAGCAAATTATTGAAATAAAATTAAACCATATGTTAGTCCCGAAATGACCTAGTTTGTGTCAAGTGGACGTTAAACTCCATTTCTCTCTCTCTTTAACCACCTTATTATAGTGATGTGGTTTCGATTCTCCTCTTATACGCGACAAAGAGTAGGGTCTCCTGTCTAACCTCATAGGTTTTCTTCCAGGTCCTCCGGTTCCCTCCCACTGCTCAAGACCCCTACGCTGTAACAAATTATTGAAATATATTTGAAACATGTTAGTCCCAAAATGACTTAGTTTGTGTTGAGTGGACATTCAACCCAGTTTGGCTTGCTGAGTACGGATCTGACTCACTAACCAGGGGGCCTTGGTTTCTATCCTAGTGTTTGCCAAAGAATATCCTCTGGAATTTCCAGCTTACTTTTTCATAATGAGTGGTGAAAGAAGAAGTGTCTTGTCATTCGGACGGGACAAAAATCAAGAGGTAAAATGTACACCATTTGGCAGCATGTTAAGGATCTCGTCTGACAGGATTCGATGAAGAGCAACTTGACAAGTCAACTGTAAACCACAGAGTCAGACTTGCTTTTATATTAATTTATTCACTTATATTTTCAGAATATAGTCAAGGAATTGTCTTGCCAACTAAAACATTGGGAGGAACAACTAAAATAACAGATAATAATATCGGCACGGAGGTAAATAATATTTCACTTACAAGCAGATTAAAACAAACTAGTGTAAAATAACGTTAGCATGCCTGCAAAAGAACCCATGGCTGTATGGGCAAAATTTTCCCTCATAACACACTACATGATGTATGCCTGTCTTCATTAGCCTAGTTGGTGCACAAAAGTAGGATGTTAAACCCCATTTCATATTATTTTTTTTTTCAGAATATTGCTAAGAAAGAAATGAATAAAATAATTCATAAGAAAGCAGATTCAAAAGATACAGGCACAAAAATACGAACAAAAACATTGAAATCAAAAGAAGAATTTAAATGTCGAGCATCTGATTTATATAGAGCATTAACTGATCCTGGGGTAAGTTCATTTAAACATTAACTGATCCTGGAGTAAGTTCATTTAAAGATACATTATGGGAGATTAGATAAAGAGCTGGCAGTTCTCACTATGATAGTTAAAAACTAGATAATGTAAAGGGTATTTGCTGAAAATTTCAGTCAAATTGATCCACTCTGAACCGAGAATTTAGCGATTGAATTTTTGGCCTAGCCTCTATCATCATTACTAAAGTCGGTACGATAAAAAACAGTCTCGATTATCCATTTCATGATTTAATCATGAATGAAAGTTGAGCAGCAAATCATATCCTAATCCAGTAAATATCTCAAATTTAGATAACATTTAGATAAATTTTTAAATGGAGAACCGTTCTAATCTAGTTAAAATCTCAAATATCCGATGCCATTGAGAGTTGATTATGGTCTTATTTTGTTAATAAATGTCTAAGTAACACTTTATATAACATTTGAGGCCTAAAGAAAGACCTGCAATAGGCAGAATTAGCTCTTGAATAATGTATGTTTAAACATTTAAACATTATCCACAGAGGAAATAAAACCTGCTTGTAAGTCCCAAACTGATCCAAAGTATTTTGTTGAAGGGCAGTGAACTCCATCCATTTCTATCTCTTCAACTTTTAACCGGATACTTGAATTTTATCCCCAAACTTGAATTTTATCCCCAAAATTTGAATTGTAACCCAAAATTTGAATTGTAACCAAATACTTGAATTGTAACCAAATACTTGAATTCTAACCAAATACTTGAATTTTGAATTGTAACCAAATACGAATTGTGACCAAATACTTAAATTGTTACCAAATACTTGAATTTTAACCCCATACTTGAATTTTACAGATGGTTTCAGCTTTCACAGGAGCAACAGCTATAGTCGAAGCAGAAAAGGGAGGTAAATTTTCTTTAAATGGTGGAAATATAAGTGGAGAATTTATTGAATTGGTGAGTTTTCTTGTTTTTTGGGTTTTTTTTTTTTAATTTTTAATTATTTTTTGTTTTATTAATGCACATAATCTGGAACTCTATATTATTGTCTGTTTCTAAGGACTAGGGAATATAGTTGTTGCCTGAAACACAGATCTTGGAACAAAGAAATTATCATCAGGTGCAATTTGGTAATTCTTAGCTCTTTTGAATTGTTCTTCCATTATGAATGTATTAATACCAAACCAATTGAAAGTAAGCTTTTATTTTGATTTATTTTAATGTTTTCCATTATTAATATCTGATACTTTTCTTTTGTCATACAGATTCCTAATAAAAAGTTAGTTAAAAAATGGCGTGTGAAATCGTGGCCAGATGAACATTATTCTACTGTGACGATAGAATTAACGGAAAAAGAAGACTGTACCGATTTACATATACAACAAGTAGGAATTCCTGATGCTGATTATGATAGAACTGTTCAAGGCTGGCAAAATCATTTTTGGGAGCGCATAAAACAAGCGTTTGGATTTGGAGTGCGCTTATTTTGACACATATGAGATATTTTAGGTTATTTATCATCGGCTGAAAACTGTGGAACAATCCATTCATCATGTGATCACATCTCGTTGTTTTATTGGCTATTGAAACAGTCAACTACAGATGTGAAAAATACGAAAGAAAGATGTGAAAAAATTTGTGAATTCAGTAAAGTGAAAAATATTTATTGTAGACAGATATTTGCTTGAAAACTAATCTTTTCACATTGTATACAACATTATTCCATATTTTTCACACTTCAATATTAAGAATATGTGTGTGTTCTGAAGTGGACTTCAATAAAATCTTTTATTAAAATTAAAAGGGCATTTATTACAGCTTTTATCATTGATGTCTAAAGATTGGATGACGAGGACTGCAAATTCTAGTTTCATTTTTCAATATAAACAAAAAGAACAAAACTATCAAATGTTTGTCTCAAAATACGTGATTAGTAGAGACCAATGTCCATTAAATGACAGCAACAAAATATACGGTTTTATGGCAAATTTCCATCATGCTTGTCCCATCTTCATTATTCTACTCGGTTAAGGTGTGCGTGTTGCATCATGAGGTCTTTCATTGAGTCAGGTGGCATGGTTTCGATTCCCCACTTGTACGTGAAAAAAAGTAAGGTCGCCTGTCCAACAACATGGGTTTTCTCCCCACTCCCACCCCTTGTTGCAACTGTCCCACAATGCTACTGCGCATCACAAAAGAGAATCTCTGCTGTTTTTATGGGGTTGTGTTGAACCGTGCTCAGTGAATATAGGTCTACAGAACTGCCATTTACTTCATGGTTAAAACTATCATTTTTAGTTATAGTACTTTGGAAGCTGTCACATTTTTGGGACATTGAACGTTAAGATAGCAGCGTACAGGGTTATTTTACAATAGAAAGTTTTGAGACCACCCTGCTAAGCTAATTTAATTTTTAGATCTCAAGAATCTTGATGAAGCAAAAGCCATTCCTGTCACGAGAACAATGTTTTGTTTAATATTTCAAAACTCAAAAAATTAGAAGTAAAAGCTTTTGTGAAAAGAGCATAAAGAAAAGAAAAAAAAACAAAAAAACATTTGACCGGTGTTCCTGAAGAACAAAAATTAAAGTAGTTTGGCAATTTCATAATTAATGTATCTCAAGGTCTGTCATTGAGTCAAATGGCATAGTTTCAATTCCCCGGTTGTACGCAACGATGGGTAGGGTCGCCTGTCCAACCTCGTTGGTTTTCTGCGGGTCCTCAGGTTTCCTCCCACTGCTAAAGACCCCTACGCACAAGCGAATTATTGAAATAAAATTAAACCATATGTTAGTCCTGAAATGATCTAGTCTGTATCAGGAGACCTTAAACTACATTTCTCTCTCTCTCCCATAATTAATGATGACTTTCAGGTACACGTATCTCAGAAATTGTTTGTTCTGATATGCCATGATTGCATTTTATATTTAATGTATGTTTATATGAGAATCTATATTTGTTAAAAATATGTGTGTTTTGTTGAGAAATCATATTATTTAAATTATTTTAAGCTTTGTATTCTGGGCATTAATGCTGGCTTGACCACGATACTGACATTTGTAACAATCCCAAATTTATTTAGGATACTTTGGGACACCTCTCTCAAATCAAAGTTCTTCGTCTGAAATATCCTCAAGTCATTTATGTTGAATAAATAATAGTTATTTCATTTTGCTCATTGAAAGAGCATTCAAGTCAAAATTTGGAAAATGGACGTAACATGTTACATGTAATTTAAGCATCTTCTGAATTCAGATATTCTTTCACTTCCACAAAGGAAGTTAAAAGAGGAGTTTTTAGCAATTTATGAATATACCAGGCCCTGATTTCACAAAGCATTCTCAGACTTAAGAATAATTTCAAGTTGAGTACAGTATTATTACTTTCATTGTATTCAGTTAGAGGACATAGCAGGGTTATATTTACAAATATTTTTCCAAAAATTGTAATTTTTATTAAAATCTTTGATGACTTGGCCATAAGGAATACTTGACTGTTGGTTGGTGTATGGTTCATTGCCTGGCAACCTATGTTTCGGTATTGTCACTTAATAAGAACCGGAAATGCATGTATTTAAAACTATTAAAACCATGTTTTTTTCTCACTACTTATTTTGCTGCATTATGATGGATGATGTCAATTTTAAACCACCATGGGCTGTTTGCTTTTCCCGAACTGAATTCAAAGTCATATATTACAAAACCAAAATGTTAATTTTAGGATCTTATTAACAAACAAATTGTAAAGAACTAAGTAATAGATAATGAATGTCAAATATAGTGAAATACAAACATTCAGTGTGAAATTAAGAATTGCTGAAGTGTAAAATGAAGAATTGCTGAAGTGTGAAATGAAGAACTGCTGAAGTATGACTTTACAAAAAGTAAATGGATGAGCAAACAGCCCACAATTGTACATGTGATATGAAGTTTTGTTAGTTTTGGTGATAAAATTTATGGATTTGTAAATTAATGTTTGTTTTTATTTCTGCCCCATGTTTCAAACTGACCACCACATGTCTGCCAAATTGTATATTTCTATCCTAATTTTCCACGGTCCCTCTAGAGCTGGTCCGCAGGCCCGAGGATACAGAAACCTCTATAATAGGGGAAGGGATGTCGTCCTCAATGTTTAGAAAGGGGAAAATTTGGATATAACTTTGTGCCAGAACCTATAGCTGAATATTCAGTAATAATGTCCAGGACGGTTGAGCATTGAAATAGCAATCAAATTGAAAGGAACGGTTTCTCCTCTGTTCAGATTGACCTGCTCCGTAGACTTTTAAGGCATGCGCTTTAGATCATAAGGTTGTCATTGGCATGGTTTTGATTCCCAGCTTTTATGTGACATGAGGTTTTTTTTTACTGGGTCCTCTGGTTTCCTTCCACTGCTTAAGGCCCCTCCCTGTATGTGAATTATTGAAAACAAAATGACCTGGTTTGTGTTGAGTTAATCCCTCTCTCTTTAAATGTCAGTAGTTGATTTTCATCCATATTTTTCAGTACAGTGAATGTCTTCTTTGAGCGGCATTTAGCAATTGAAAACGTTGAGAGAACCCTCAACGAAACGTCGCTTTAAATAAAATAGTAATTGTGTTCCATATTATGTATTTTGTATTACAGTGAATGTGCTGGAAATTGTTCCAGTTTATACAATTGTTCCAAATATCCAGACTCAGTAATGGTGATTCGTGTGATCTTCCTCTAAATGATCCGATCTCAAAATATTCACTACAAGTTTGTTATCTCTATAGCTGCTTCCCAACCAAAGGAGTCTGTGTAAAAACTATGAAGTTCCACAGGGTCTGGTGGGGAAAAGGGGGGGGCTGTGAAAAAGATGATGGGCAAGTAAAATTTTGGACCCGAATGAGTCTGAATGTGAATTGTAAACAAGGAATGTACAATATTGCTAAACATCTCTACCCAACAAGCTGCATTGGAATCATTCATCCCAGAAATGGGGTTTAATCTCCCATCAATATAGTTAAATGTAACTGCAATGCCCAACAGAAGCATTTCCCTCTTGTCAGTGATGCAAGCTGTCTAGTTGTTTGGATGGGATAAAAAAAACTGAGGCCCCGTGTACACATTGGCATGCACGTAAAAGATCCCTTGTCAGTTGAAATTTGATATAAGAGCAGGCTTTAGTGCCCCTGTCTGGGCAAAATTTCCCTCATAGCACACTGAATGGCATATGCCCATCTTCATTAGCCTAGTTCAGAGCAGAACAATAGGAGGTTAAACCCCATTTAATTTTCTTTTTTTCTTTAAATTCCAACTGCCAAGGGTTCTTTCATTTGCACACAAATCAGGTACAACCCCTGACATGTAAAGGCTTGACTTTAAATAAAACATGGAAGGGCCATCTCTGCGCTTTCTACAATTCCAACCCAAAATATTCTAGGTTAGGTAACTTTTCAGTTCCTTGCCCGTTCGATTACCACAGCCCAGCCCACCCCACCCTCCTTAAAAAAAATTGCAAATTAATTTTGGAAATGTCATCAGTGACAGTTTATTTGTAATAAATCTGTACAAATATTGAAAGCAAATTAACAAGTGCCAAAACACATTACATATATACACATATATTAGTCTTTGACACTTATAGCACACGCACCATCATTATTATATAACATAGTTAGATTTTAAAATATTCCTATTAAAATGGTCCCATATTTAACTGGCAGTGATATTTACATCTTTAATGTCAGAACTTTAAGCACACTGAAGAAAAGAGGGTGAGGGGGAAGTTGATAAAACAGACTCCCATGATGTTAATATAAAAAAAGTTCAGATATACAGAACTTTAACCATAGTAATGAAATCGAATCGGCATCCTAATCGATCTCACGTCTCCTACCTATGCTAGACTAAGCCTTAAGAACAAACGAATTAACACAACTTCCTTCATACCAACAAATAGAGAAGCATTCTGTTGAAGAAAGTGTTGACCTTTTCCTCCATTTTCATCAATGTAGAAAATTTGGGCCTATCCCACTTAACTATTCAGTTCAAATCGAGAAGGATTTTGTTGAAGAAAGTATTGACTTTTCCGCCATTTTCATGTAGAAAATTTGGGCCTATTGCACTAAACAGCAATGCTGACCTGGGTATTGTAAAGATAGGCATAACATAAAACGTATAACAATACGATTTAAATCGCAATACATATCCACCTAACGAAGTTAAGAAACCATGTAAATACAGAATACATAAATGTGTGTGTATTTTTTGTTGTCATTGAACTGGTATATTATTTTGGGATGCGTCATGTGAGAGTTTTTCAGTGCAATATGAGTTGTTATATATATCTAATTGTCTGAATTCTTATAAAAATAAAAGTATCAATTCAGCATTATGACCTAACATATATATCAAATCCAGATTCATAAAACTGTTTATTTGTGACTTGAATCTAGGCAGAGAAAATAGATTTGGATTCTCTGTAATAAACCACGCTCTAAGTCTCAACTCGGTCACCCCTACGTAAAAGCATTGTTTAACACTATTTGCTGACATTAGTGAAGTGGGAGAGCCTATTTTCGGACTGACTGGGGAAGTTTGGAATTCTCACATGCTGAGTTAAGACACCTTAAGGTATAGATAACCCTACCCATATCAAAGAATTCCTTATAGATGTATTTTCCGTATGGAAATGGTTGCCCTAAATGACCAGATATCCTCCCCTAACTGGTCTGAAAATTGACACCACATAAGGAAAGCAACTCTGTTCTGTGATGTGTTCACAGTTCAGTTTTATCTACTGTCTGCGATATCACACAAGGTGGAAATTTAGTCCTACAAGAAGAGAAGAAGAAGTTTTATCTGTGATATCACCTGAGGTGGAAGCGGACATTAACCCTACAAGAAGAAGTTTTATCTGTAATATCACGCGAAGTGGAAGCGGACATTAACTCTACAAGAAGTTTTATCTGTGATATCACGCGATGGGGAAGCAGACATTAAACCCTACAGGAAGAAGTGTGATATCACGCGATGGGGAAGCAGACATTAAACCCTACAAGAAGAAGTTTTATCTGAGATATCACGCGATGGGGAAGGGGACATTAAACCCTACAGGAAGAAGTGTGATATCAAGCGATGGGGAGGCAGACATTAAACCCTACAAGAAGAAGTTTTATCTGCTTACATAAACATCTATATTTATCAATCACACAGTCATACATAAACTTGTACATACAATATCACAGGGCTGTTATTTTACCATATTGTCAAGTCTGTTTTCAAGAATACATTTTTTTTAGTATTTTACTATCACTGTCAATTAAAACCAATATTTGTAGAATTTACAAAACAAAAACTACAAATTTAACTTTATTTATGGACTTTTAAAGCTACCATTATTAAAAATAGTGTTGTTTATAGCATGCGACAGGTGACAGGTAAATACGACTAAAGAGACGAGAGCCTGTTCAACATCACCCACTGAACTCAAAGCATTAACATAGCTTTTATAGTTTTAAAGTTAACATTTTTAAAACGACGTTTTTTTTATGGCAAGTTCATTGACCAACAGGTAAATTTATTAACTGGTAATTCTCGACAGGTAATTACGATTGATATCAGAGCCCATTCAATATCACCCACTGAAAATATTAACATATCTCTATGACTATTTATAAATATTAACATATCTCTATGACTATTTATAAATAGAATATTTATAATAATCATTTGGCACACAACACAAACTGAACAAGAACTATTTCTTTGATTTTTTCTCGATCAAATTTAAAAGTTTTTGTATCTGAGTGGCTGCCAAGTCAACTTTGTTAGGTTTGTCTCTGTTAAAAATAAGACCAGTATGCTGAGGTCTACTGGTGCTGGTACTCGCACTCGGTTGGGTAGTAGATGTACTTGCTTGACTAGAGTTGCTGTTCTTGGTTGCAGTTCTCACGTCTGCTGGTGGTGGAGATTTTTTCTCTGATTCTTCTTCCTGTTTATCAGACGTTGATGCAGATTCTGTTTCTTTTGCACTTTGTTTATCTTCTTCTTTTTCATCTTCTCCATCATTACTTATTCGCCTTCGTTTTGATGGCGTCTCACCTGTAACATAAATTAAACTTTTACGATCACAGTCTATCAACCCAGTGTATTGTCTTTAAACAGGTTGATGACTGGGGGAGATGAGGCCAGTTTGGGGAGATCAAACAGTTGGGGAGGAGATTAGGCTGGTTGGGGAGATCAGACCGCTTGTGGAGGAGATGAGGCTGGTTTAGGGAGGAGATCAGCCAGTTGGGGAGGGGATCAGACTGGTTGGGGAGGAGATCAGAAGACGGGCGTATGCACACACAGTGTGCTAGAGGGAAATTTTGGCCAGGCAGTGGTGCTACAGCCTACTCGAATTCAACTGCCAAGGGATCTTTTACGTGCACGCCAATGTGTACACTGGACCTCGTTTTTTCGTCTCATCCGAACGATGAGGGAGAACCACGCCGGAAAATCTGGATGAACTTTCTCGGCCAATGCAGGGATCGAACACCCGACTCCTGGCTAGCGAGCCAGCGTCTTACCCACTTAGCCACCGTGATCCCCCTTAACCCAAACCCTTGAGGTGTATGATGCAATGTGGGAATTTCCGACATCTGAAAAAAATCTAATTTCAGTTCAGATTAAAAATTTACCTGAATCTGTCTTTTTATCTGGAGACGCGGTTTGCTGCTGCTCCTCTTCTAATTTTTGGCTGGCAAGTTTTGCCTGTTCTTCCGCTTCTAACCTCTGTTGTTGATGTTGTCGACACGCTTTCAAAATATACTGTAGACTCTCCATTAAAAGCTCACTGATTTGTTTTGGCATTTGGACGGAAAATATTATCAACATTGCCCGAACATCCTATAAAATCAGATAAATGTGTAAATAAAGTGGGAGGTCTATGGGTTTCTGCATTGTACACAGTTAAAGCAGGGTGTGCACAACTCTGAACATTTAAAATTCCAGGATTTATTTAC